AACTCACACGAAATCGCACTTACTCGTTGATATACTTGTTCCCCACTTAAAGGTGTTGGGGCTGCATCATTTTCTTGACACCCGTTAAATGATATTTTTTTAATTTACGATATGAATGGTTTGAAGGAAGAAATCTTCGGTGTCCAAGGTACACTGTTTTCCTTCCATGTTGTAGTTGATAGTGACATGTGTCTTCTTCACATATCGGGCAAGCTTTATGTCCCTTTGTGCTGTAGCCACTCAAATTACCATATGTTGGAAAGTCATTAATTGTACAAAATAACATTGCACGCAACTTGAATAAGTCACCTATGTACCCATCAAACACATCAACACCTTCCTCCCACAACATCTTCAACTCTTCAACCAATGGGCTTAAAAAAACATCAATGTCATTTCCAGGTTGTCTGGGACCCGAGATTATCAAAGATAGCATCAAGTACTTACGTTTCATACACAACCACGGAGGTAAGTTGTAAATAACTAACACCACAGGCCATGACCTATGTTTACTACTTAAATTTCCATATGGATTCATTCTATCTGTAGCAAGTCCGAACCTAATGTTTCTTGGATCATTACCAAAATTCTGGAAGATGGAATCAATTTATTTCCATTGCAATCCATCTGCCGGATGCCTCAACTAACCATCTTTAATACGACTATCTGCATGTCATCTAGTGAGCTTTGCATCATTTCCATTAGTGAATAATCGTTTCAACCTTGGAACAATGGGAAGATTCCATAACACTTTTGCCGGGGTACCCTTCATTACATCATTGTCAGAATCACCATCCTTCTTCTTGTATCGTGATTCCCCGCATTGTGGACATTCGTGACAGTTCTCAAATTCTTTCCTGTACAACACACAATCATTCGGACATGCATGAATTTTGTGGTACTCCATACCCATTGGACACAATATCTTCTTAGCATCATAATTGCGGGTTGGCAATGTGTTACCTTCAGGGAGCATGTCACTTAACAACTCAAGCAATTCTGTGAAACTTTTATCAGTCCACCCATTATTTGCCTTCACATTGAACAATTTTAGTATCGCCGACAATCGTGTAAACTTAGTACAATTTGTATACAAAGGCTCTTTTGCATCATTGGACAACTTCTCGTACACATGTGTATGTTGGAAGGCATCTTGTCCAAGCTCACGAATCATTTCCTCCAGCTGATCATCCATCTCTAGATCAACTTCTTCTTTGTCTTCTACACTTGGCATGTTTAATAATTCACCATGCCATGTCCACTTTATGTAACTCTTTAGGAAACCATCACAAAGAACATGTTCCCGAATAACTTCAGTCGGTAATCTTCGCTCATTCAAGCAGTTAACACAAGGGCAATAGAATCTTCCATCATTATCCGGAACATTCATCTGAGCAAATTCAAGGAATTGTTCTACTCCACTCTCATATTCATTTGTTGTTCGTCTATAATTGATCCAACTCCGATCCATTGTTAAAAATCTAATTTTCAAAATCAAATTAGCTACAGAAACACGAAATAACTACATTATAATGCCTACACGAAATCCAACTCCACTCTCAAAATAACTACATTATAATACAAATTTAATTTTCTAAATCAAAATCACGAAAGAATGCCTACAGAAACACATTCAAATGACTAAACTACTTACAATACATCTCTAAATTAGCTAAAGGCACCCGTGATGTTTTCCTCTCTTGACAGCATTATTACTTACCAGATTCAATACTGTAAACCTATAATGGCTAAAGCAAACACGAAAACTTACCTCTTGAAGACCTACAGAGGTGGCAGGTGGCGTGACGTGCAGAGCCGGGTGGGGAGAAACGTATCACAGGCGACGGGCACCAACGACAGTAGCAGCAGGCGGCACGATGTACAACGTTGGCAGGTGGCGTGACGAGCAAATGTGGGTGCGGAGAAACGTACACAGGCGAACAGGGAGCTCTGCTATGGGTGAACTGATGAAATGAAATGGAGCGTAGGGAGAAACGTACACAAGCGAACGGGGAGCTCTGCTATGGGTGAAGTGGTAAAACAAAAGATACTATGTCGGTTGCCCTAACACCCGTCATCAAAGACACTTTCTATGTCGGGTAAATCTTACCCGACGTAAAAAGTGAACTTTCTATGTCGGGTAATATTTGACCGACATAGAAAGTGAACTTTCCACTTACTATGTCGGTTAAAATTTACCCGACATAGAAAGTTTATGATTTTATTACAAAATTGCCACCGCGCTACATACTATGACGGGTGGATTACGACCGTGATAAAAACTCGTCATAGAATGCTATTTTTCCACTAGTGTTGCTTTGTACTCTAAGTGTTTTTTGATGATATATTTATTCATGTTATTCTTTTTAATATTTTATACAAATCATTTTTATTATTATATAATATTTTTTCAAATAACATTTATAATGAATTGAAATTGTTATTATATTGTGATAAACTTATTTTAAATTTAATATATATTATTATTATTAAAATATATTATTTTATTAAACTCAATTTAATTTCAATTTAATTTTTAATTAAATATGTGTTGAACTTTTGAACCCTAAACTCATACGTTTAGGAGTTTGATAAACAATGAAATTTTAAAAATTATGCTAATTTATACTTATTTTATCTCCTATCAATAAAAAATATTTTGAACATTATATATTTATATTATTGTTTCAATTTTTTAATTCAGCCAAATCTTCTATTAATTTTTCTTTGCTTTTTATTCTCTTTCCTTCTATTCAAATAATTTAATTTCCACCGTCTTTCTTTTCTTTTCCATTCTCAAAATAAGAAAAAGAAAAACATATGATCCATGATAAAAAATTCGACTCCAAAATTAACATAAGAATCATTAAAACCTATCAAAAAAGACATTAAGTATTATTTCTAGAAGTAATTAGTCAAAGATGGAACATCTCGATAAGAACAACTACAAGATCATCGAAGTGCGGAAAGTTTTTCCTAGATTGTGTTTAGGGATGGCAAAACGGGTTAGGCCCGGCGGGCCGACCCGCCATAATATGGCGGGGCGGGTTGGTATTTTTAGTACACCAACCCGCTTTGGCCCGCCCCGCAAGCCCGCCAACCCGCGGGACGGGGTGGGCCAGCCGTCAGCCCGCCTACTTAATAAAAAAATATTTTTTTATTGTAATAAAATTAATTATAAAGATAATATATAAAGTTAAAAATTTTAAAAAGAGAATTAAAAAAGTTTCATTAATATTCTCCTTCCCGAAACATAACTTTCTCTCCTGTTCTCTTTGTTTATCCTAATCACCGATTATTTTTATCCTTATTACTTGAATTAAAGTTGTAAGAATTACTCAACCAAGAATAATATGAAGTTTTATGAAATAAAAAAGATATAGATATTTGAATTTTTTAATATAAAAAATATAAATTTTATAAGTTTAACGTTATATATATGTGTATATATATATATATTTGTTATTATTTATTATTATGTAAATTTGATTATTGTTCTAAATTATAATTTCTTAAAATAATGTATTGATTTATATTATTAAATTGAAAAAAAAAATATATATATATATATATATATATATATATATATATATATCGAATTATTGACATACAAATAATAATCTTATTATTAAATTTATTAAAAAAGTTATTTAAATTTTTTTTTCTAAATTATGGCAGGCCAGCCCTCCAACCCACTTCTTGGCGGAGCGGCCAAGGTCTATAGCCGTCATGACTATATCGGCCAGCCCATCCCATACCAAAGGCTGGGCGACCAAAGCCCGTTTTTGCATCCCTAATTGTGTTGATCTTAGTAAAATATTAGTATTTTGAGAAATTTGCCTTATACAACAAAATCATTTTATGAAGTTAATAAATTTTAAGAACATTATAATATTGTCTAATAAAATAAAATCAAATTCACGTAAATGGTAAGATAATTCTTTTCAGATCATTTGAATAACTATTGCTAGTGATATTATTATTCCTTTTTCATTGAACAATTACGTGGCCATAATATTATAAATCCACCCATAAAACCAAACTTGTTATTAGCTTAAAGTTTCATCATTATTAATTGACTTTGTAATTATAACTCTTATTATACTTATAATTAGTATGATTATCAGTTTTATATTATTTTAAAATAGATACTAAAGATATTTCTTATATATTTTTTTTTTAACTTGTCAACATAATTTATAAGAGATTTATATTTTGTATATTTATAAGTCTCGCATTATTTAAAAATTAAGATAATTTATATATATATATATATATATATATATTTTAATCTATTAAGATATTTTTAAGTATAAAATCACCATAAACAAAAAATTCAAAACAAAACATATTTTAAACCTAATAATAAAAGGTTAAATTTATTTTTCTCCTTTCCAAAATTAATCAAGTTCAAATCTATTTATAACTCTATATCAAATAAATATGTTATAAATGATTGAGATGTATTTATAATTATCGATAACATTCAAATGATAATATATTTCTATAATTTTTTTATTTTAAAATTATTTATTTATTTGATAATATAATATGTTAATAGAAAAGTGGCTAATGCAAGGATATAAATTTATATGAAAGTCTATGTTTAACTTTTTACAATGTTATAGTATCTTTAAATTTATAACTTATAATTATATAAAAGTTGTATATAATCTTTCAAGAATTATATAATTAGTACTTGAAATTTATATATCTTTCAATCTTATGTCCATATGTATAACCCATATTTAATTTATAGTTTTTTTATTTAATTTGTTTTACTTATTTTCTCTTAATAAATATTGTGAATAGTTGTATTTTGTATTAATGAATAGTGATTTTTAATAAATTAATAAATAATAAAGATTATTTTGATACGTTAATAATGCTTTTCTTTTTTTAATTCAACCTTATAAACATAAAACCGTTGTGGATGTGGATTAGTCCACTTGTCTTATTTCACAGCGAACCAAATTTCTTAAATTGATTTTCGCTTTCAGGATAAGGCAACATGTAAAGCCACGTTTCGGTGTTTTAATTTCGTTTCGGACAGAAATCAACACAAAACGGTGGTGGGAGCTTTCGAACATAGAGCATTCACTTCACCAGAAGAAGGCCTTCTTCACCTTTTCATATTTTGTTCCATCGTCATCATCCACTTTCCACTTAATGGTCATGGCAACTATGGTGTCTGAACCTGCTTGTCCAACAAGAACGGTTCATGATGTTGCATCTTCTGTCAGCTCTAAATGGCACTCTTCTCCGTGGAAGAAGAAGCCGCATGCCCGGCTGCTTCAATGTTCTCTCAGAATTAGAGCTTGTAATAATTCCATGGCTAACAACAAGGACATCTACAAACAAGTGGGTCTGTTCCAAAATGCTATCTTTCTTTGTGTAAGAGCATGGTCTACCTGCTTTTGGTCACTGTTCATGTTGTTTTTTGTCTCTGATAAAGTGGCTTTAGTGGTTCAATCAATGTGGATGTGGCTCTTAATAATATTTATGTTTGTAATTGTCCGCTTGCTTGTAGGAGTGAATTGGGAAGGTGGAAAGTCTAGGTGTGAGGTTAGGTTTGAAGGGGTATTCTAGAATACAAGTCAAAAAATCACTTTTAATTTAAATCTGAAGGAGTGTTTTTTCAGTCAAGAACCTTTTTTATTTGGGGTGGGAACGAGGGTAGTATATGTTGCTACCAGATTTTGATTATGATTGCATGGTTGTGATTTCCAATAGATTTTCAACCAATGTCACAAATAGTGGAGTTTCATTGTCTGGTTCAATACTTTTTTGTGTCTAATTTCAACAGAACACGAAGATAAGGTCTAAAGAACTGTGCCTGTGAGATAAATGATCCACTCATCTGATTATGGAAAATGTCTCTGGCACACCTCTTACCTGTTATCATGTACCCTGTTTTAGATAACTAAGAAGTTCGGATATATGGTATGATAAAAATTGGGAAACTTCATAATCTATTTTATATTATCTTTAAGTGTATGGCTGACTACCAATGCCCTACGATTTACTTAAAAGACATACGTTGGAGGGTTTTGTATTTTTTATGTTACAAATGCTATAGTTTCCAATGAAGACTTTGTTTGTAGAATGTTTCTCCTTGCAGTCATTATGTATATTTTATGCTAGTTGCATCTATTATGATCTTAACTGATCTTGCATATCTATTTTCACCTTTCTAAATTTGATGTCATATCATTCACAAGTATTCACTTGATTTCTTCTTTGTCCTCATCTTTCTTAAGTTAATGGCCTGACCAAATCCTCAGAGCAAATTTTAAGCTGTTGAAGTTTCTTGAGAGTTTAATGACTCTTCTGCAAATCATTGAAGTGAAGTGAATATCACATAATGATTCATAATAGGATAGTTTGTTATATAATCTGCAGGTGACTAGTACTTTATTTCACTTACTATTTACATCAATCATAATAACCATTCAAATATGATCAGGTCTATTTTCTCTAAAAAAGAAAATTGAAGATGCAGTTCTTCGGGCCGAAACATTCGCATCAACAGCCTTGGAAATGGAACAAGCAACATGGATTAAGCAAGAAGAAATGGTACGTGATTTTGATATGTGGGATGATCCAGCTAAGTCCAATGACGTCCTTGTCAAGTTGGCTAATAGTGCCAAAGTTGTTGATTCCCTAAAGGACATGAAATACAAGGTGATGGTCTGTTTCCATTAGTTGCATCTGAATGTTCACAGTATTATTTGTCTTCCCTTCTATATAAAATTTGATTGGTTTGGTATGCTATGATAATTGTGTGGGCCACTAAATTAATATGGGGACTTTGGTACACTAATAAAATATAAAATGAAATGCAGTAATTACACTGAAGAAAGAAGTGTACAAATAACACTTCTATGTCCAACATAATTTTAATTATGGTATTTAGTCAGATAGCTGTTCTGTATAGCTCAAAGATAACACAGGCCGTGCTAGTTTATTTTACTTTTTCTTTTCTTTTTATTTGAAACAAAGTATGATGCCTTGTGTGTCCTCCAGGTAGAGGAAGCAAAGCTAATCAATCAGTTGGCTGAGATTAATGCTATTGATTGCGGGCTTTATAAACAAGCATATGAAGCATCATTGGCTGTGAGTGAGATTCTAGATCAGTATGAGATTTCTAAGCTTCTTAAGGGGCCATTTGATTTGGCAGGAGCATGTTTGGTCATAAAAGCTTCACCTAATGGCACCCATCCAAAGGTTTGATAATGTAATTTTTGAACTTCATTATGATTATGTTTAAACTATAACTTGTGAATATAGTCGTTGAAAATTGTGTTATTATATTATAGAAACTAAATCCTGATTATGATGCATTCTAAAATTGATTCTTCACTCCGGCAGTTGTTCTGAAATATAAATGTATATAGTTTGGTAGGCATGCATAAGGAAGGATGTTAAATATCATTTTTAGTTCACCTCTTGCAAAGAAGTAGATTTTTTAATTTGCGTGCTGTACCTGTCATAAAGTCCTAAATCAAATTACATCTATAAATGTGGTATTTTAACTTTAAAATATTGAAATTTCCAGTGTTTAATTTGTTAGTATTGCTTCACTTTTAGACTTTTACTTTTTCTTGAAGTAGAATGTGTAAAGAGTTTCCATTAATTAGGCTTATGGTTATTTAGCTCAACCTAACTAATGTGAGGTTAATTATTGAAGATTTTTTTAAATTAAGTGCTAGAACTTATGGAATATACCAATTTGTTTTTCAGTTTTATACATATAATTAAAAACATATTTCATCTAGACTTTGTAAAACAGAGTTTCTGATTATTTGCTTTATGTTCTAGTTGTTTTTTTCTCAAACTATTTATGTAAATTTTTTCTGTTGTCCTTGGCCTACTCTTGTGTAAATCAAGCTCTGGGCAGAACAGCTCCTAAATATGTATCTTAGATGGTCCAAAAGACAGGGTTATGAAGGAAGGATTGTCGACAACTGTCCCATCAAGAATGGAGGAATTAATTCTGCAACTATTGAGTTTGAATTTGGGTGTGCATATGGTTATCTTTCAGGGGAAAAAGGAGTTCACCACTTGATAAGAGGTTCTTCAAATGAATCTTCTCAGCTTGAGGTGTGAACATTTCCTTTCATCCTATCTAATTGCAAACTGTTTCCTTTCTTGTATACTTAGTTGTATCGAATTTTATTATAGTTGAGAAGAAAATTCTTCTAATTTCTAATATAGAGTCTTAATCCATACTCCACCACATAATAGTTCTAATTCCATCAGATAATTTTAATACTTTAACATCACCATTAGGTTTTACTGGGCATGCATGGACTGGTTTAAAGAATAACTATCAACATAAGTATTTTATATCCTAAACTGAAATAATCATAATTATCCATAGATAGTAAAATATATTATATTATAATATATTTATACATTATAACTATATAATATATTGTAGAAACAGTCATCCAAAAGCTTATGAAAATTCATGTTGGATTCTGGATTTCATGAAATATTATGGCAATTATCGTAAAATTGTGATCACTGTGACCTTTCCTGAGTTCCTACAGTGAGGTTTGACTGGTTATTACTAAGTGAATTGGGCTATATTAAAACAATCATAGAATGGCCTTGTATATTATAAACTAAGTATTGGAATTTGGTGAAATAATTATGTTTGCTAATTCAAAATTTGCAGGTTAGCTCAGCAACTGTAGATGTTATTCCCATGTTCTTTGAGAATTCTTGTGATCTTGAAATTGATTCTGAGGATTTGATTATCTCATCTCCCTCCATTCAAGGGGAAAACAAGAGACAAACAGATCTTTCAGTTTGCATTCAGCATGTACCTACTGGCATAAGTGTCCAATCCTCTGGTATGTATATTTTTGTCTGCATATGTTTGCCTCTCAGTTTTAGTTCCTTCCTTTTCATCATTATATATTCAAGTATGTTCCAGAGTTTGTTAATGAAATTGCAATATGTCCCATAGGATGTGCTACTTTTTCTTTTTCTTTTGGACTTTGAGGATATAGTTAGTCTACTGAAGATTTCTAAATACACAGACATGTAATACTCCTTTGACCTGATTCTTTTTGTTGGGTCTTTCACATGATCTTACTAGGATTTAAACATCATCAAAAAGTTCCAAGCCACATTCATGACGATGAAAGTTGGGAACTGATAGTGTTATGAGGTCTCATACTCTATTTGATTATACATATAATGTGTACTACAGTGCTTGTTCCCCTAATTTCTTGCGTTATGAGATTGTGTAAATTTGCTGTTACTATTTTTTAGGAGAAATTGGTAACAAAAACTCACCTTACTACAATGTGGTTTCTTCACTCTCTTAGCTATGAGAAAGAGAAGCAAATACTAAATTCATGGACATTATCCTTCATCAAGGTTCATCTATCGAAGGAAATTGGTCTATATCTACTTAAAATCAGTGGATAAGTTATACATTGACTTTGCCAATTAAGTTATACATTGAGTATTAATGGTTTAGGATTTAAGGTTTACAGTGACTTGGCTTAACACATGGAGAATGTCAAGAAATTCTGACCTCTTGTCTTTCTTTGTATCCTCATCTTTAAATAACTCACTCTCAATTATAATTATTATTGGCAAATTAATGTAGATAGAATTTGATTTTGTTTCATTATTTGATTTTTTAACCACATTCCATTATTGATAGAACTAAATACTACCAAATGAGTTTACCTTACTTTCAAAAAGAAAAACTTGCTAAGCATATAAATGTGGATTTTACTTAGTTACATTTTATGTTGTCTTTGTGGAGGTGAGAGAAGCTACTTTGCAAATAAGATGAAAGCACTAAACAGACTGAAAGCTAAACTTCTAGTGACAGCAAGGGAACAAGATGTTGCAAGTATAAAAAGTATACAGAAAGACAAGATTTTCAATCCATGGCAAGAAGAAACTAGAAGGTATGTTTCTCATCCGTACAAGTTAGTACATGATGTAAAGACAGGCATTGAGGTGCCAGACCTGAATTATGTTCTTGAGGGGAGTATTGGAACCCTTATTGCAGCTCACATTAATAGCAGAGCCATGTCATAAGATCTGAATCCAAGTTCCTTAGGTCACCAGTGATCATTTTGCAATTGTAATTGTTGTGCAATTGTTCACTTTTTCAATCCTGCAAAATTATCAGGATTTACTTTAATCCCTTGATTTTATGGGAAAAAAAAAACAAAAGTGCATCAGTTCATCCATTTTGGTAGATTTGTTGATGAGTTGAATGTAAACAACAATATTATATTCTAAATATTTTATTATTTAGCTTTTTGGCATCAATGATGCATTCCATGTCAAAACCAAAACCGGAATGAAAAATAACTGAAAAAACGCTAGAAGGAGGGCTTGAACCTCCGACCTTGTGGTTAACAGCCACACGCTCTAACCAACTGAGCTATTCCAGCTTCTTTGTTAAATTTTAACGTTCTAATTAACTGTCTTATTCCAACTTCATACTAAAATTTATAACTTTCCAAAGGTATATTAGTACATGTACAATCTCATTCAATAAATGAAAATATGTAATTTTCTTTTTTTCTAATCACAATTTTACTCTCAAATCCACTCTTAATATGTAATATTTTTTTTTTTTATGTTTGAAGGGGTTGGACTAATTTTTTAATAGATTTTAAATTGAATTTTAATATAAAAATATATCATTAAATTTAAGTTAATTTTATTGAATGGTTTTTAATTTAGGAAAAAAATGTAATATAAACTTTAACTTATCATTTTAGAATCATTCTGTATGAACTTGACATAAATTTATAGATAGAATTATAAAAATATAAAGAAGGTTAAATTTAGCCTTCAAATTTAATTAAAGTTATTAAAAATAACGTTCATTCGTCACATTTACATTTTATTTTTTAATATATATATATTATTAAAATATAATTTTATCTGTATATATTATAATAAATATAATTTCATTATATATGTAAATTAAATTATACTTTAACGATAATACGTAAGAATATATAATGAAACTAATAACTTTGTGAGAAACAAAATTTATTTTTAGAATTTATTTATTTACTAACCGTGTAAGATTACGAAAAAAAAAGCATGCTTTCAAAATTGGAAATATTATTCAACCTTTTATCATGTGCTAAAGTTTACCAAAAAAAGGGATATCTAAGAAATTTTTGTATAAATATTTCTATAAAATATTTTTTTAAAATTAAAATTAGGTCATACATATTTTGAAAACAAGAATTTTAAAAGATTGTATGATAAATTATATCCACTAATTTATGTATAAACTTATTTTAATTGATTTTTTTTTCCAAAAAGTGATTATATGAACTTATATTAAGAAATGAAAAATGGTATTATTAATAATGTTGTATATTTTTTAAACAAGGGGAACGTGGCACACGTTCTCATTGTGGCGGGTGAAAAAGGAGCTCAATCCTAAATGCGTGAACCTCATCTTCAGATCTTCTCTTTTTCTTCTATCTTCTCACTTTCAGTCTTTCTCCGTTTACTCGCCACACTTGCATTGTAGCGCCTGCAAAACCTTAACACTGAGTTTCTGAAAACCTCATCTGAAGAAGCTCTTTTCGAGATGGAAAACAATGTCGTCACCGATGGACAAAAGCAAACTTCCCCATCGTCTTCATACGAAGCTGCCATGGAGAAGATTTCATCTCTTATTACTCGCCAAAGGCGAGGGGAAAAGCCACCGATTTCTAACAAATTAGAAAAAATGTCATTGTATCTTCAGGTAATGTATGCAGAACTATTTTTCAAAAAAAAATTGATGATGCTTGTAATTATAAGCCTATAATTAGGCATGGTTTTATCTTGAGTTAGTTTTCTCCCCACTTATCTACCGAATTGGAAGAAATTTCGGAAGAAAATTGGATATGAATAGGTTGTGAGATTGGTAGTCAACAGACTTCTGTATGCATTTTACCAAGCGGGGAAAATAAAACGTTATATTCCTTGGAGTCAAGTCTAGTACATGAAACTGTTCCATGAATTGTCTGATTCACAGTATATTTTCAAGGGCTAACTTCAGGAGCTTTCTTTAAACAGTAGAAAATAAAAAGCATGCTTTCTATACAGATTTTGGGTTTGGAGGAAGATATAAGTAAGCTCAACATTATTCATGTGGCTGGCACAAAGGGGAAGGTACTCTTTTCATTATTTGTCACGTTCTTTATTCATTTTATCAATTATCAATTTGTTGAAAAGTCACTTCAAACAACTTTTTCTTCTTCATGATTCAAGAACAAATAATTACTATGAACATTATATAACTTTTAAACAAGTTGGTGCTTGTCTATGACGGTTGAAATAAAGAGGTTACACAAACATATATTTAACCAATTTATAGTTCTCAAGACAGTAAGCACATCCCTACTATTCATATCCATATTCATCCTTCATTTCCCGCTATTCTAATGGTTTACTTGCAGGGTTCAACATGCATATTCTGTGAGTCAATCTTAAGGGAGTGTGGCTTTCGCACTGGAGTTTTCACATCCCCTCACCTAATTGACGTGCGTGAACGATTTCGTATTGATGGGTTAGTAATTGAATGAGCTAACTTTTTTAGAATGGCTGATATTGTATCAGCATTCCATTCATCTTTTTTATTTGTCACGTCTTTTCAATAGTCTTTTTCTCTCTCACATCCACACCCACATACACCTACCTCTCCGTTACCGTAGTGCATGAATGTACAGAACAGATATATGGCTGATACAGGTAGACCACTGAATTGCACTAGTTTAAATCCTTTTATTACAAATATCATACCTTCTTGTCCATGAAGAATTGGAGGGTAGTCCATGCGAGCATCTCTCAAAATTATTGGCCTGCACACTCATTATCTTGTCAGTAAAACTATTACCTAATATTAAGTTCAAACTTCAAAAAGATGAAGCAATTGGGCTACCTATTATTTAGATGAAAAGCCACAACATTTTCCTTCTAAAAAGAAAATCTAGGTTAGGAAATATGAACTTGTAAATAGAATTCTTTATTCATGAAAATAATTGGTACCAATTTGTTTGCACCCTAGTGCAATTAGCTATTTAACTGAAATTTCTATGCCTACTTTTCGAATCACATAGGATTGAATTTTTACTTGTTATTATCTCTGTAGGATGGACATATCTGAAGACAAGTTTTTACAATATTTCTGGGATTGTTGGAATCAATTGGAGGTATTATTCTTTACTTTTTTATAGAGACCCTTGGACATTTTGAAATCTATGTATTTATTTTAGATCCAAGCATTGCGTTAAGCAGCAATACAGCACCATTGCTTCTATTTACTAATAGAATAGAAGAATTGGCTGTTAGAGTAATTCTGGCCTTTCCCCTGATAATATACTAATATTAAGACAGAAACATAGTTCACTTTCAATGAGGTTCTCTTTGCCTGATATTAGATAATGGGCTGGTTTGTTTAGCCTAAAATAAGTGTTTATAATATAAACAATTATTTTAAAAATAGTTATTTAAGAAGCAGATAGGCTTTGTTTCTTAAGAAAATCAGACAACGGCTTATTTTTAAAATAAGAAGATTAGACCAACATATAAAAAAACATAAATCGGCTTATTTTTTAGTAGTACTTTTTTTTTTTTAAATAAACACTACAAGAACATAAGGGAAATTTATGAAAACAGAAATGGAAATGTAGAGACACTGCAAGTACTTCAAGGGGCTTGATATCCTCCCAATGTGCTCATTGTAACTCCTTTACATACTACTCGCACTACCTGTAATCAACTGTTGCTATTTCTTTTCCTATCGGTTAGATTTTCATCTTAAAACCAATTAGGTTAAGTGAAGTTTCTCAGCATGTATATAAACTGCACCTCTGTAATTGAGGCTGGATATACTTTTCAATAACCCCTCCACAGGTTGTCAGACTAGGCAATACTCAGTATAAACAATGAAAACAACAAAATGAGCTTTAGGCTTTGATATTATGTTAGGTTCCATCTTAAAATTAATTGGCTAAAGTAAAGTTTCCCAGAAAGTATATAAACCAAACGTCCCGATAATTATTGCAGGAAATGTGCAATTTTCCCATTATGATGCACTTTAGTGCGAGGGGGTTTATGAGACACCTATTATCATTTTATTGGGATCTTCTAAATACCATAAATCATTGTGGCTTTGTGGATAAAAAGGGAGAACGCTTTGTGTTTGGGATTGAAAATATAACATATTAACTCGCAGCAAACTTCATAGCATTTCTTATAAAAGTTTTCCTTGTTTCAGTGTGAAAATTATTGTCATATCCACTTTACAATATTGTATGGAAATACTTGGATGCATATGTAAAGGAATATGAATCGATTCATATTAGAAGTAATTTCTCTTTTTTTTTTTCATTGCCCATTAATATTGATGAGTAATTTGTACTTTCATAGAGTATATTTCAATTTCAGTAGTCAAATATTTATGTTTCAGATGTAAAACCTTTTGTTAGAAGAAACAATGTGAGAGAAGGCCTGAGGTCTAACAAGTGTATTTTAAAAGGAACTAGTTGGGCCATAGCTGGATGGGCCCATTTAGGGATAGTTTTCTGTTGTAAATTGTAATCCATTTACTTACTATAAAAGGGGAATAATGAGATACTTAGGTGTCTTTTTCAGAATCAGAAAGTTGGGTGGAGTGGATTAGACATCTTGATATATCTGTAATGTGTATCATTCTCATATGAAGATATCCCCTATCATTCAATATTTTTACTTTTCCTGCTATTTCTATCTAATATAAGGTGAATATATTATCCATGACATCTGGTGGCATTTTCTCAATTCCTAAAGCTTTATTTAACAGGAAAACACAACAGAGGAGATTTCAATGCCCCCACTATTTCTGTTTCTTACTTTGTTGGCCTTCAAAATATTTGTATCTGAACAGGTAAACTGTGAGTATTAGATTATTATTGAGATTCTTACTTAATTGTCTCTGCAAACATGCTGTATATCCCCGTTGGCAGTAGCCAATGTGAAAGATTTGATGCAGTGAACATGTTATTTTATGGATGAAATTTTCATAAGCCACTAAGCAATGATGTTTACAAATTTCTTTTTACCCGTATTGTTTTGGAGGTGTCAGATTAAATTTGGTCTGAATAATGCAGTACCAAACCAGTTTGTCCATGCTTTCTAATTATAAAATATTTTTATGCCATTGCTAAAATATGTCTTTACCTTTATTTCCCTGCAGATTGTTGTTGCATTTTGAATGTCTGTTTTCTTCTCAATAAATATTGTTATAAAGGAGATCACTGTTTGTGACCTTACATACTTTTTTAAGAAGAAAGAAAATGAAATCTAAGTTAGGTGGGAGAACCCCTAGGCTTTAGTGACATGTCAAGTAGCTAATCCTACTTAATGTGAGATTCCTAACTTTAAAAGCTGACATTGACAGTGGTTTTCCTCTATTGACACTGACTCAGCAAAAGCCGTTTTCTCCTTGAGACGATTTCACTTATCTATCAGTATTCAGTATTTGGTTTGCCCCTTAATATAGCCTATAGGTGGCTCAACTTTCAATGAAAGCACCAAGTGTTATGACTTAAGCACAATTGGTTAGCTCAACCCCAAAAGACTAGTTCATTAGGTGGGAGAACCTCTAGGCTTAAGTATACTCCTAACAAAATTACAAGGATTTCTTGCTATCTCTAGAGGGATGCATTACTTTTTCATCTTAAGCTAATATTATATTTTGCATGTTATTTTTATCTAAAACATTTAACTTGATTTAAATGGCTTTGAAAAGAATGTTTTTCATCATTTGCTAATAATCTAAGGCAAAACCAATGAATATTCTATTTTCTTTGATTCTTGTGTTCCTATACGTGTATTTGCATCTTGGTAAATTATTATGTCTCATTTGGGAAGAGTGGGTCCATCGAGCACATCGGTTTTCAAGAGACTCTGGCATCATGTTAAACTATAAAGAAAAAGAGAAGCATCAAGCCGAAACTGTGTCTCGATCACAACATGGGTGATTTGTTTATTTTGAGAAAAAGAAATCAATACAATAAACAGAGGAGATTTGATATTCTCTAATAATATAGATATGATTCTATTCTAGAATAATACAATTATGATCATGATATATTTTATTATACGGATATAATAAAGATATTATCCTGATATGTATAGTTATAAAGATATGATCCTTATTTCTTTAATTATAACAATAATAAACCTCAACATAAAATGAAAAACATAACATCTCAATCATAGATAATCAAGGTACCTTACAAATCCTTAAAACGATTAGTCAATTGTGGGAGATTTCTTAACTTTATCAATTGAAAGTTAAAGGTACTAAATATACTACAAAAGCTGCAAAATAATATAAGTTTCCTTTCTTGTTCCATGCCCTTCTTAATTTGAAAACATTTTAGAATAAACAAGTGAAGCAATAGTCTTACTGAGTACCATAGTGACACAGGATAACATCCCATATCTAACAACATTTATGAAGATGACATACTCAATATCTCTTCATATATAAATCATGTTATCATTCTCATAGTTGTTGTAACCTCTCTTAGCATTCATTACTTTTTCTTCCTTTCTGTTTTCTTTCTTTCTTGTTGTCCTGTTGACAGGTCTGAGCTTCTAATTTCATGGAGCATTCCCTTGCTTTAGTCATACATCCTTTTTCCTTTGCTAAAAAGGATATTTGAGAACTAAAAGATTACACCATCTTTTGAGGATGGAAGGGGATGGACCCTTGTCAAAGACAATGTTCATCGTACACTTTCTAATAAACATTCTTTAGTCATCATTTGAGTGCCAAAGGAGTTACCACTCATCCCTTGCCAATTGGAATGGCAAAATGGGTTAAGACCAAAGGGCCGATCTGTCAGCCTGTATAAAAAATAGTGGGATGGGTTGGTAGTTTTAGTCTGCCAGCCTACTTTGGCCCATCCCGTTTAGCCTGCCAATTTGGCGAGCTAAAGGCGGGATAGAACGAACTGACCCACTTTAAAAAAATTTATATATTAAAATAAAAATAATTATAATTAAAAATATTACAATTTTTTGTGTCATATTATTGAAATATGCAAATATACTATAATATTATAATTTAAATTATAAATATTAGCCAATTAAGTTTAAATTATTGAAACCCAATCCCTCATCTATACAATATCTTGCAATTAACATATGAAATCCTTATTGAAACCCAGTCATAGCATATTCATTAGAATCTCATAGCAAATAGATAAACAATCATGGTGAAGGGAAAATGCTTGGGAAACACAATATAATTCATACAATAATGGGGAAGGAAAAGCATATAATGGGCTGCTCTCGCTTAGAGATACTTCACTAACAACGAAGGGGTGACTAGTTCATTCTCTTCTTTCCTTGCCTGTATCCTCTTCATTTTGTCTTCTCCTTTGGTTTCCCTTTTTCCTTCTATTCCCATTAATTTAAAATGTGAGAATGTGAGTGGATTAGGGTTTATAACATTATCCCCTTGGGCCCTAGTGGCCATTATTTTAATAGCATATTCCTTTTGATTAAAGTCTACAATTGAATTATTAGCTAAATCCTTCTTATCTAAGCCCAACATCAAATTATCTAATTATAAACATACCTCTTTATTTAATATACTTATTAACTAATATAGCTTGATGTTACACATACAAATTTTTGGCTTTTACCTGCAGTTTAATGCTTACTAATATTTACTTCTCTTCTTATGTTATCATTCTTGATTCTTTTCTGCACTTTTTTTCTCACTGCTAGTATTTCATTTAAATGGCTCCTATTCATAGGTTGATGCTACCATTATTGAAGTTGGACTTGGAGGCAAAAAAGACTCAACTAATGTGGTATGCATTTGTTGTATGGTATCACAGATTTATTTCTTAAATATTGTTGTTAACAACACATCTTGTTTAATATACTTTCTTGAACTAATAAAGGAAAACCGATTTAAAAAAATTGTAACCGGTTGTGTATGATTTATGACTAATACATTTCAAAATGACTGAACTTTCAGATCAAAGAGCCCACTGTTTGCGGCATTACTTCTCTTGGCATGGATCACACTGAAATATTGGGTGTGTATGTGTCATACTTTCTGAACATTCTTTCTGTTGCTTTGCATGTTTTCTACTAAAAAAAGCTTAACATGTTCCAGTGTTGGCAATGTGATTTCCACCATCCTTGTAAAGTCTCATTTTTTGTTCTTTATTTTCTGTGTATTTCTTCAACAGTGAATTGATCACAATATGGAAAAAGTATTTAAATTAGTACATCTATGCAGGAGATACTCTTGGACAGATAGCTTCACACAAGGCAGGAATTTTTAAGGTATTAAAATTCTACTCAGCTGCTTGTCTTAGTGCTTTTATTCTATTTATTTGTGTGCCCCCTCCCCAGCTTCCTTTTTTGATTTATCTTCTGAAAACTTGATGTCTTCCCTATTCTTGAAGCCTAAAGTTCCTGCCTTCACAGTACCACAACCTTCTGAAGCTATGGATGTAATCCTTGAGAGAGCCAAAGAACTCATGGTAATCATTGTTCTCAATCCCATCATCTGTTATAAATTGTCTCAGGGAAAGAGCACTAAGAAATTGCTTCTTACTGATGCCAATTTCTTTTTTATGGTCAGAATCTCCTATGATCACCTTGAATGAGGATTTGTTCATAAAAATATTACTAGAAAGTAAAACACCATAAAACATAAAATTCTCCATTAGTAGTTTTTGTTTTTTGTTTTAATCTAGATTAAGGATCCGAATCTGATGTAGCTTTAGCTTCGTATATTACTATACACATGATGCATTGAGTACATATATAAATGGAAGACAATGCATAATGCTCAATCTGGTGGAGTCTAGGGAAGGTAAACCGCAAGCAGAGAGGCTATTTTTGCATGTGACCTCACATTGTTTATGCATAATAACTTGTTTGATGTTTAACCAAATAGTAAGCTTAGAAGTGCCACTTGTTTATGCCATACATACTATATGGTTCTTATGATTTTTGAAAGGATGGCAACAGAGCAGAATGGGGAGTCAGGGCCTGGTTTTTCCCTCTTTGCCCTCTACAAGGTCAGGGTGAGCATAGAAGATGTGGGGATGAAAATTTTAGGGGCCGTTTACTTTGAGCACTTTTTTCTTTCATTTTCAAAGAAAACAAAAGCTGAAGCTGAAAATACGTTTGCTTGAAGATTAAAAACATTTCCAAATAGAAAGTTTCCAGAAACAATTTGAAAATAAAAAATGTTTCCACATTTTTTTTGTTCTTTTGTGTGCTCCCGTCGTGAGCCTTTTCATTGCTGCTACTAGGCCCCTACAAAACTATTCTCCCTCTCCAAACCTTCTAACAGATTCTGTCACTGACTTGGGAGCTGTCAACGACATTATTTGATATGACATTGGTGACATCTAGGCAATCATAAACTCTTGTCCATAGGCTAGTCGGTGTAATGTCAAGGTTTTCACATCGGGGAGGTATTTGACAACAATTGTGGTCCTGAAGTCGGGAATGGTGTTGGACATGGAAGCGGGAGTAGTTGAGAACACAAGGGAGAAGGAGCAATGACGTGTCAAACAAGAAATTGAAGATGAAAACACTAAGTAGAATCAAACAAGTTCTTTAAATCTTAGCAAATTGAAAATGAAAATAGAAAAAGTTTTCACAAACCAAACGTGCCCTTCAATTCAACCATTTTCCCATTGGTTTGGGAAGCCTACGAGGGACTCATTCCAATATTTTTTCTTTTCTAAATTCAATATATATATATATATATATGTGTGTGTGTGTGTGTGTGTGTATGTTTATATTTAATATTTTTAACTATATCATATATCAAGTACATTCTAATTCAAATAAAATATTAAGACAACTAGAATCTTAAGAAAGTTAATGTGTTATTTTAATTTTTTTTTTTAAGTTTCTAATTATTATGATAAATTATATTTTCAATAATTATATGAAATGGTTTAGATTAAATTCCTAATACAATCGTGTGTGTGTGTGCGCGATCGCCAAACTTTGTCACAAAGTGAGGCAAATAATTACATCCCCAAACCCAAACCTTTTCATGTCCTCGCTTTTGCAAAATTGGGAAAGCCCCGAGTCCAATTAAAACATGTTTTTCCTGTTGAAGTCAGATCATGGTTAGACAAGCTTTTGTCGTGTCTAATTTGTAGTTGTTTTGATGGGCAAACGTTTGGTAATACAATCAATTTTCAATTTGAGTCTAATTAAAAAATAAATTAATAATGAAATTAAAAAATTTAAGGGAAAGAATCCATATAATTAGGTTTGGTCTCTGAAATCAAGTACTGCCTGTATTTTAGTGCACTGATTTACGAGGAAAATATAAGAGGTGGGAAAAGACGTCAGCTAGTCTCATGTTAACTTAGCCCCCTCTGGTATGTGAAAAATGGGGTGGGAAAAACTGATTCACTGTAATCAGAATGGTATGTAGATCTTGACTCCGCCAGACAGCGGACTAGTGGGGTGGTTGGTCAGTGCATTACCAAACGTTTGCCCATCAGAACAACTACAAATTAGACACGACAAAAGCTTGTCTAACCATGATCTGAAAAATAAACTTGATTATATGAACATTTTCTATGTCTTTACTCATTTATATACATCTTTTATTAGCTAAATTGAAATAATTGTTATATTTATATGTCAAATTATTTGTATATTCAAACAACATAACACAAAAAGTTATATTCCTTTAATTATTAAAAAAAATGAGTGGCTTTTATCTCATCGGATTGTAAGTAGGGATGGTAAAGCGGGTTAGACCCGATGAGTCAGTCAGTCTACAAAATGGCAAGGCAGGTTGGTGATTTTAGTTTGCTAGCCCGTTTTGTCTTGTCCCACCAACTCTTGTCTTGTCCCACCAACTCGGTGGGTCAAGGGAGACATAAAATGATCTGCTTTAAAAATATATTTATATATTAAAATTAAAATAAAAAAATTATAATTTAAAATATTGTATTTTTTTTGTTATGTTATTAAAATTAGGGATGACAATTAAACCCGTACCAGTGGGGACCGACACTGTCCCCGCCCGGAGTTTGACGGGGAAAACCCGAGTTGACCGGGGCGGGGTTGGGTTCGGGTTCGGGTTTTGGTTTTCCCCACTTTAAAAAGTCGGGAGCGGGGCGGGGATGGGTAATGCAATCCCCACCCCAGACCCCGACTCGTCCCGACTCCGTCCCGCTCCGACTTTATATTTAAATTTAAATTTTAAAATATTAATATTTTAAAACTATTTCATTTTCTTTTTCTATTACATATAAGGTTATTTTTTTATATTTCACCAATTTTTATTTTTCTTCTACCCACTTTTTAATTTTTTTTTCTTTTTCAATCTTTTATATCAATTAATTTATTATATTATTCTTTCTCTTATCTTTCAGTTTTTCACATTTCCTTAATCTCTCCCATCAATTTGTTTTTTTTTAATCTTTTCAACCAATTTGATAAACACAAAGTTATTTTTTTTTCTTCTTTATATTTTTTCTAAATATTTTACATAAATCTTAGTAGTAACTAATATTAGTTTATTTATAATTTATATTTATTATATTTTATTATGTCATATTTTTTTATCTTATTATGCTTATTTATCATATATCAAATTTTATCTTAATAAAATAATTATATTTTAAAGGATTAGAAGGAATTAATAATTTAAACTTTTATTACTTCAAACTAATTAAATAAGAATTAACTTATTAAATATTTCCTTATAAACTATATATTTCATATTTTTATTAACAACTTAAAAATGAATTATATATAATCAAATGTTTAAATACAATATTATAATAATAATGTTATAAATATTCAAATATTTGAATACGAGTGTTATAATAATAATAATAATAATAATGTTATAAATATTAGATATATATATATATATAAATAAAAAATGATTAAATATTTCTTTTACATATATATTTTAATATAAATATAATAAATTAAAATGTATATTTAATTAATAATAATTATAAATTATAAATATTTATTTATATATAAAAATACATAGTAAAATTAATTTATTATAAATGTAATTATCTTTTTAAAAATAATATAAATCGGGGACGGGGCGGGGCGGGAACCCGAAACCCAACGGGACGGGGATGGAAACTTAATTTCTAACCCGTGGGGATCGAGGCGGGGATGGTTAAAAAGTCGGGGCGGGGATCGGGAGGCAAAACCCGGCCCGCCCGTTGCCATGCCTAATTAAAATATGTAAATATATTATAAGTTAAATTATAAAATTATTTAATTAAATTATTTATTATAATTAGTTATTTTGACACATAGATATAATAATTTGTTTAACAATAAATAAAATCTTAAAAATTATTCATATAATTAAAGATATATTTTAAAACAAATACATATACAAAATTTTAAATAAAAAAAATATTAATGGTGGGTTGGCCTACCAGTCCACTCTTTGGTGGCGCGGGTTAAGGTTTGTAGCCCGTTTTGATTACGGCGGGCCAGCCTGTCCCGTTCCGTTTTTGGCAGACTAGAGGCGGGAGAGGCTAAAATGGGATGGATTGATCCGTTTTGTCATCCCTAGTTGCAAGTTAGGTGGAGTGGGTCAAACTGGATTGATGGGTTAGCGGGCTGGCCCATTGGACCTAACTCGCTTTGCCATTTCTAACCAACAATTATACAAGCATGCCAAAGCATATGCAAATGCAATGTCAGATAAGCATATGAGCTTCTTTATTGTTAATGCTATTAATTGTTTGCTTATTTTCGATGGCTGCAGATTCCACTGGAAGTGACTGAACCTTTTGATTGTAAACAAATAAAGGGATTAAAGCTTGGTTTATCCGGAGATCACCAGTTCTATAATGCTGCTCTTGCAGTCTCACTTTGTAGATGCTGGCTTCAGAGAACAGGGAACTGGGAAAAAAAATATCAAAATGTTGGTTAAACCTCTACTTTTGGTTCATGCACGGATCTAAGTAAATGATTACAAAAAATATGATGCATTCGAATCTAAAATACGTTGGCAATATCAGCATTACATGTCCTTTATGAGAATTTTCAGAATGAGTCCCTTGTCAGTCAGATTTTAATAATTTAGAATGGACTTAGTCAGTAGAGTGAGGCTTCACCTAACTTTTCCCCCTGTATAATAGCATTTTCAGGATTCTAATCTGCCAGATGAATTTATGAGAGGCCTTTCAACTGCGCATTTTTCTGGCAGGGCTCAGATTGTTTATGCCTCTGCTCCAAATCCTAGCTGCTCAGAAATTGTGTCCAAAAATTGCGGAGAGTTGATATTTTATTTGGATGGAGCTCATAGTCCGGAGAGCATGGAGGCTTGTGCAAAGTGGTTCTCTAATGCTGTAGTAGAAAATGCAGAGGAATCATCAGAAAATGGTCACGAACTACACAAAGGAAATACCTTGGGGCAGTTTGAGAAATCTTTTAAGCGGGTACATATCTTAAAATTATAGATTGTTCCTGATATTCCTGGAGGTTAACCATTTTTTCTGTTACAACATAGTATACCTAACTTTTATAATTTATTTATTCAGTTCTCAACCAACCTGCTTTATTTTTATTAATATATTTTGTTGAGATTTCTTGAATCTGACAAAGTATCACATGAAATTCTTTTGATCTTCTAAAATTCTCTCCTGATATTCAGCATTGATTAATTGTAGATTCTCCTATTCAACTGCTTAGATGTGAGAAATCCAGATATTTTACTTCCACGGCTGGTGAATACTTGCGCTTCTTCAGGTATTCCTACTCCAAAGCACCTCACAATTTGCTATTTTCACTTTTTACTGAAAAAAGCTATCTTACATATAAAACTGTCACTGGATTTAAAAATAGATTAGACAGTAAATTGAACCTACTGGCATATCGGTTAAGTGAGTTGACCCTCTTGATATGGTCTTCAAATGTGGTTCCAATATATTTTATATGAAATGCTACATCATGTTTATTTAATCTGTTGGAAGAAAAAAAAATGAAAGAGAATGGTGTCTATGCCATTCTACGTATTTTATTGGTTCGCTATCTTTTGAATTTATTTGCACGTGGATTATGAATTGCGCTGCACTAACGCAGTCACATATTGTTTGAGCCTTGAATAGGTATACATTTCTCAAGGGCACTTTTTGTCCCAAATATGTCAAAGTACAGTAAGGTTCTTTCTGGTTCATCAGTTATTTCTTCTGATCTCCATGGCATAGATCTGTCATGGCAATTTAACCTCCAAAGAACCTGGGAGAAGATTATGCATGGGAAAGGTATGCCACATCTTTTCAGCTTGTAACATGTTTGTTGTCTCTAGGGACTTCACTGTGATTTCATTATGCTTGTGTCGGTCATATTGTCTTTCTTATAGTAAATGGATCTTTCAGCATCAAGGGCAGTAGGGATGGTAAAACGGGTTAGGCCTGACTGGTCGGCCCATCATAATATAGTAGGGCGGGTTAGTACTTTCAGCCTGTTAGTCCGTTTTTGCCCGTCCCACCAAACTCGCCAACCCACCGAGCCAATCCGCGGGGCAGGACAGGCCAGCCCGCGGCCCGCTTTACTAATAATTTTTTTTTGTGATAAAATAAAAAGAGTCAGAATGATAATATATAATATAAAGATTTATGAAAAGAGAATTCTAAAAGTCTTAGTGTCTCATAAAGACAATTCATAAAGTCTCAGTATCTCACTCGCTAAGAGAATTCAAAAAGTTTTATAATTACTTAAACTCACAGGAAACATTTTCCTTTCTCAAGCACAAACCCCTCTCTCTCTCCTTTCCTCTTACTCATCATCTCCTTCTTGTTCATCCTTCTTCATAAGGTAAAAATCATATATATCTCATACTTATTTACTTTCTTTTATATTTGTTACTTTCTTAAGGTTGCATTTTGTTATTTTAGTATTTTTCTCTCTCATGACTTATTTATTATGTTTTTCTATTTGTCCTTTTGTTGAAAGATTTGATTTAAAAATAATGAAATAAGAAATATGACGGGTCAGCCTGCCCTTTGGTGGGGTGGGCCGAGACCTGTAGTTCGCCATGACTATAACGGGCTAGTCCATCCTATCCCGTTTTTGGCGGATTAAAGGCGGGACAGATCAAAACGAGACGGACTGGTCCGTTTTGCCATCCCTAAAGGACAGTGACACAGTTTTTAGAATGAAATAGAATTTTATTGGTAAAATCCCTAATGGCCAATCTGTATGTGATAGTAAGACAGGCAATGGCAAAAGTTTACGAGAATGACTGAATGGCAAAAATTTTATTGGTAAAATCCCTAATGGCCAACCTGTATTCAAGAGCCTGGTCTGGCCGACCCAAAAGCAATATTCACCAACTAACTTTCCCTATCGTCTACTGCCTCCATTTATAACAGACTAACTATTACCTATTCTAACATTTTATAAAGCCTACTCTGAACTGTGAAGTTCTAACCAACAAGCCAATCCTAACATCAACTTTTTCCTCGTCTTTTTCTTTTGCTTAATCATGCCGTGGAATGACGTCAGCTATTTGGATTATAAATTTACTTCACATAGAGTAGAGCTGTAACTTTTTGGTGCTTCATGCATCCAATAGAGTGGTCTCAACAATGGTATATATACATGTGCCTAAATAATGAGTTGAAAATATTTATTCTTAAAATTTGAAGAGTAAAGGCATTTAGTTACAATGTCTGTCTTCTTTCAATATCCATATTATCTTATAAACAAAGTGGAAATTCAATCAAAAGATGAGACAGAAGATACTGTTTTAAATGTTTGTGGAGCTCAATTTAAGTTTTGAATTCAGCATCGAGTGCTATCAAGTTCTTCAAAAATATTAGTTCCTCCTAGATAATGACAAATGTAAAGAGTAATGACTGCAAATTGGCTGATGAAATTAGTTAGACAGCCCATAGCAGATTTTATTGAGTTCATGCCAAGACGTCGCCATGGAGGACAAAGCTTGAGCTTTCTGACCCGAGCATTATTTTGTTTATCTGCAGAAACAACCGTGCCAATTGAAAAGGACTTCAAGATAGATAGCAAGCAGATCTTACCACCTCCCGAGTTTCTTTATGATAATGCATCGAGTGGTGGTCATTCTCATAACTGTCGTGCGCCGCCCAGTGCAGTAATACCTTCATTGCCGTTGGCAATCAAATGGCTGCAGGACTGTGTCAAAGAATACCCTTCCACAAGACTTCAGGTAACAATGACGTGGATGATACTTGGTTCTTATCTTTGACTTGGCTAATCGATGGATATTCCTTAGTTGGTGCTAAATCTCAAGTTTTTTAATTAACCAGGAAGTAAATTCCACTGACAACCACACTTTACTTAGCCGTTTCTTCTCTCTTCTCTTTTGTAGAGGTGTGTCCTTGGTGTATGACACCTCGTCTTGTTCAACCTTCATTCCTGAAAGTCAACTTTATTCTGTTGGGTTGGATTTAATAACATTTGTTTGTTCATTTTTCCTTGCTTTATCCATTTATCCATTAATAGTGTTGAAATCAAGTGGTGTATTATTTTGGTTAACCACTGGCTCCTATTACTATTATCTTTTGAAGATGGAGAATGGTGCTTCCTTTTACCTTTATTCTCCTTAGTAACGATAGAGAAAAAAGTGTTGCGTTTTCCAAATTTTCCAGCCACTTACCTATAATACTACGTTTATACTGAGAGCCAATTCTTACCAATGGTTTCAGGTTCTTGTCACTGGATCGCTGCATCTTGTCGGAGATGTGCTAAAGCTCTTGAAAAGATGATTTAAATGAAGAATAGAAGTGCCTGCCTTGGCTTTGGAAACTTTTGTTGTACCAAAAAATTGTCATCCTTTCAATCATTCAAGCATATACTGAGCTCATGCTATTGCTCAACGTGTGACAATACTTCATTCTTAACCAATATGACCAATTATGTACGTACATTTCACACCATCTCCTAACTGCTAAATAGTAGGTGAAAAAGAAAAGGCAAAATTGATAAACCATTAATAAAGTCTTTAAAAGTATACAACGTCTTAAGTTCATTTTCTCATTCTAAAAATAAGAATTAACAAATGACATTAATCTTCTGGATGATTGAAGTTAATTAACAGTGTTGACAACACACAACCATGTGACGTAATTTTTTTAATTTTTTATCATATTTTTAAAATTGTTGCCACATATGTTGGGGTCAAATTGAAATATAATTAAGGTTTGTATTTAGTGTTTAAACAAAAAATTCTATTTTCTTTTCTTCAAATAAGTTTTTCTTATGCATTCTTCTTGGTCTTGTTTTCCTATTTCTGTTTTGTCGTCTTCCATTTCTTCTTTATTTTCATCTTCATCTTTTTTTTTTCTTCTTTATCTTACTTCATTTCTGTCTGTAATTTTCTTTTTATCTCTTAAAAAAAATCAGTAAAATGCACTTTAATTAACCTCTAAATTTATTGTACTCATTTTCATCTTCTCTTTCTTATTCTTGGTTTCTCGTTTGACTACAACAATTCAAATTTTAGATAATAGGTTTGCATTGTTGAAATGCCAACTGACTTAACTAATGAGATTTGAAATTTGATGTTATTGGATGGGAGAAATGACTAGAACTTCTTAAGCATAAAATTGAATATTAATGAATACATATAAGAATCAAATTGAAATTAATGAAATTTTCAAATTTGTTGTTTGCAGGAACTGATCATGCTTGCCACCTCTATTGAAGATAAAGAAACTTCTCAATAACATGTTTCCAATTTCGTCTGCCCGACCCACTTGCATCACATGAATAAATTTCATTTCCTGGTAACTTCTAAGTAAAATATTTAGTCATCATCATCCAAATAAAATGTTACACCACACATAGTCAATATAATCATCACCAACTATTACACCACATAATAAATGGGTGAAGATAAAAAGTATATATATATATATATATATATATATATATATATATATATATATATATATATGGAGGAAAAAAAATGCTGAAGATGAAGAAGGAGCCATTAAGAAGGGGAACAAAGAAGTGGGAAGGGGAAAGAAGAATAAGACATTTTACTACTTGAAATTTAAAGATTGGGAAGGATTGAGAAAAATAAAATGAAAACATTTTACCAAACTTTGAAAGAAAAAAAAAGGCTAAGATTGGTTTTGTTTTTTTATTTTTGAGGAAAGAAGAGGTATAAATAAAAGTAAAATATGAATAAAATTGGGAAGGATTGGAGAAAAGTAAAATGAAAACAAAATATGAATAAAAAGCAAAAAGGGAAGAGGTATAAAAAGAAGTAAAATATGAATGAAATAGAAAAAATAAAACACGCTAGAAGGAGGGCTTGAACCTCCGACCTTGTGGTTAACAGCCACACGCTCTAACCAACTGAGCTATTCCAGCTTGTTGAGAAACTTTGATAATTATTATTATTTATACAAAGCATCCAGGGTTTTAAGTCTTGATTGATCTCGTTGACTTGAAATTAGAGATTCAAAATCAGGTTTACTGAAATTACGATTGAGATGTCCACCCTTCTATGTTTGAGTTAACTGAAGTAATACCTCCAGTTTACTTAAATTTGTTTCATCTATTTTAAAAAATAAAAAATCGTCAAGTTATAAACTTACAACATAATAAATCCATGTTTCAAATTATGGTCTATTAAATAAATCAAATTTGAAACAGTAAAGTGTTAATTTGTCGTTTTATTTATATCTTAAAAATTGTTAAATTAGAGAATGCTTATTTTAAATAATTTTTTTTTTCTTTTAAAAAATTACTCTGAAACATAACGTGGACATGAAAAATTGGGAATATATATTTATTTATTTATTTCTATTCATTGTTTAAGTAAACATTGGACTCATTTCAATATTGAGTTAAATAGAAGCTTTAGAAAACAAAATTATCTTTAAGTTTTGAGTTAATTTTATTTAATCATTTTTAAATTTAGAAAAGTTACTTTGAATCCAATACATAAATAGTTTCTCTCTACATGTTATAAACTTTTTTCAAACTTAAAATCCTCCAATCAACTAATATGGAATTTCTAATTTGTTTGGTTTTGAATTTAATTTTGATAATAGAGATATTTTCTAAAACAAATACATGGGTGAAAAATAGTTTCATGTTTGTATTATCAATATGAATATTCCAAAAATTACTTTTAAGATAAGATTTACACATGTTATGATTTTATAAAATTATGTTGGGAGGCTAAAATCACAGTCCAACATGTTGTTTAATTATGAGTGTAATTACTTGAAGCTTGATAAAAAGATATCAATGCTTTACAATAAAATAACACTTGTTATGTTAACAAAAATATATTAAAACTACTAGGAACTCACACTATTAATTATGCAACAAAAATTTGTAAAACATAATTATATTCAACAAAAAGTATTAAAATTTATATTTTTAGTGAAATTAGCTCTCATTTGATAATAGGATTTATAAAAATGGTGAAGACACTGTAACGCTGGAATTTTCTTACTCAAATACATTGTGTTTTTGCATTTTAGTTTATCCAATAAATAGTTGTTGTACTTTTTTAAAAAATTGCTTATGTGAGCATAGAATAAAAATAATAAAATTATAATCCAATTACTCATTTCTCTTTTAAAATAATAGAATGAAAATTCTTTACCCTATATCGTAAAATATTCAAATATAGACATAATGTAATTTTCTTCCAATAAAAAAAAAACTATGTATTGTAAGTTATTAATTTTTACGCAAAAAAATTAAAACTATATTACATATTATTTCTGATAATATAAATAACTTTTTTATTTAGCATAGGATAACTTTGTAAAATCCAAACAAATCTATAAGATTACGGGAATTTTTAGAAATTAAAAGACATAATTTTGCAGAGAAAAATAAAATAATATAAAATTGCTTTACCTTTGTTCTTCCCTCTCTTCAGTCCTGTGCCCTTTCTCAATTTTCAGTGACGGTTCATTCTTTCTGTTTCGTGTTTACCTCATATGAAACAACTCCTGCAATTCGTATCTACCACCTCTATCAATCTCACCAGGTTTCTTTTGCGTCGTATCTCTTCTTTTGTGTATTTTTACTGGAAAGGTTACATTTTTATATTTCCTTTTTTAATTGATTTGTTAAATAAATTGAAAATGATGCACCACTCTTGCTGGAACATGCAAATCGGATACAAATTCATATGGATACCCTTACTGAGTAAGAACGTTGTAGCTTTGCAGTGTTTCAGAAGCATTTGAATGATAAGACATTGCTTTGTTCAACTGTGAAAGCAATGGGGTCCAAAAGACCCTTTTCAAATTCATCAAAGGGCAAGAAGGATGTGAAGCTTAAAGGGTTGGAAGCAAGCCCTGGTTTCAAGAAGAATGTTGATGAGGTCTAATTGATATTTCAGTAACATTATCTTTGTTATATTCCTTTGAGTCTTTTTTTTTTTTCACTAAAATTTTATAACGTAGGAGAATGATGTTAATAGCTATTCCATTGAGATTGAGAGATTAAGAAAGGACCCAACAATAGTAGAGGCAATGACTGTTCAGGAACTCCGGAAAATATTGAAGTAAGCAGATTGGTCCTTTCCTTACCAAGTGGTACCTATGGTTTTAGCTTTAGTAATATGAATATGCAATATTCTTGATGTTATATATATCTTCGGAATGGTTTGAAATCTCAGGAGATTTAGGGTCCCTGCTAAAGGTCGTAAAGATGATCTTTTGTCTGCCTTGAAGAGTTTCGTGGACAGTAACAAGTGCGGTATACATTTTGCTTAGCGTTATCTCAGCTTTTAATGTTTCTAAGGAAAATGAAGAGATTTTATTTTTCTGTTTCAACATCAATTATTATCTCCAAAAAGTCTATTCACTTAATTCTTAACCTGTGTGTCACGCTTTAGAAACGAGCTCAAATTGTGTAATTCTAACGTTTAGAAGGTCTCTTAATGTACAGAACAAGATTCTCATACACGAGAAGAGCAAGAGCTATTAATTTCTGCTGAAAATACTTCTGTAGAAGTGGAGGCTAAAAGGGTACTGGATGAAGACGACCATGTTGAAAATGTCAATGAAACTTCAGAGATACTTGAACGAAACCAGGGTAAGAGAAAGTTAAAACAATCTGAATCTGAGAGAAAAACGGTCAAAGTGGTGACCAAGAAGAAAGTTTCACCGAAATCAGATGGTGATGCAGGTACTTGTTGTAGTGTATATAGAGTTGTCAACTTTCTTCACCTAAAAAACATGACTATAGTTTTTAACACTGTTTTTCTGAATTTTAAATTTCGTTTCAAATGTTGCTCGTTCAACTAAGGGTCAAAATTATATGGGCCTTTATTTCCAGATTTTAAGCCTTCCAGGGCAAGGAGAAAAATATCTTCAGATATTGTTAGCATTGTTGCTGAGTCAGATGAAATCAGTACAACTACCATTCAAACTGAACCATGGACAGTTCTGGCCCACAAGAAGCCTCAAAAGGGTTGGATTGCATATAATCCTAAAACAATGAGACCACCAACACTGCATAAGGATACAAAATTTGTCAAGCTTTTGTCATGGAATGTCAATGGATTGAGAGCGTTGCTAAAATTAGAAGGATTCTCAGCATTTCAACTTGCCCAAAGGGAAGACTTTGATATATTGTGTTTGCAAGAGACTAAGCTGCAGGTAGAATATTGGTCAGTGTTATATTTTCCGACAGTCCTATTTTCAGTTTGTTAGATATGTATGGAGAATAATTGCAAGGTTTATTCGTTTTTTTGTTTTTGGTGCTGGTATACAAGTGCTTCTTGTATCATATTGTTGTTAAATTGTGTAAATTCTGAAGGTTGCTGCATAATTATGCTAAAAAATGATTCTGTATTAATAGAGAATAGCAAAACTGTATATTTGAAAATAGTGAAAGATGTGAATGGTGAGAATCTATTCTGTTGCTTCCTTTTATTATCTATCAACAGTGATGAATAGTGTGTTTGGATTAGCTTCATGGTAAAGTTAAAGCAACAAATAGTTGCTTCTAACTTTATCCACCATGATTTTTTAGGGTAGAATTGCTTCTTGTGTGTTATCCTGTTAGATGTTTGAATGAATATTCATGTTCTCTCCTATTGATGAATGTTCTGGTTTTGCTAACAGGAGAAGGATATAGAGGAAATCAAACAGCGTCTAATAGATGGATATGATAACAGTTTTTGGACATGTAGTGTTACTAAGCTTGGTTACTCTGGAACAGCAATTATCTCAAGGGTGTGTTGACTGTGTTCATCCTGTCTCTACATACTACATGAAAACTTACTGCTCATAGTAGGAAATATTCCTTGTACAATTTAATCAAGCAAAATTTCATGGCAATTTAATGTTTAAAGTTGCATAAATTTATCTGATAATCTGTTGTACACATTTCTGAGCAAAATTTTTGGCAATGAGATTGCTGACAATAGAAAAAAATTATTTTGTACTAATTTGAGGTGAAGCTCTTATTGCATACTTTAGTAATATACTTTTTCAACCGAATGAAGTATTATTTTTCATATTGACTGTCATAATTTTCGTTCTGTTTAATAAGCTCACTATTTGCATCTTCATATTTTAAATTTCATGAATAATGCTGGTATTAGTAATTCTTTTCTAATATTGTTCAATTCTGGCAGATAAAGCCACTTTCAGTTAGATATGGCCTAGGTATATCTGATCATGATAGTGAGGGGAGACTTGTGACCGCTGAGTTTGATACATTTTATTTGATTTGTGGATACATCCCTAATTCTGGAGATGGCTTGAAAAGACTGGTACTTGTATTACATTACATTACTTTTCTTTTCTTTTATTATATTATATTATATTATATTATGTTATACCCATTTCATTCAGAAAAATGTATCCTTGTCCAACTAATTTTTGTGTGTTTGAATCTAGTCTTATAGGGTGACTCAATGGGATCCATCTCTCAGCAATTATTTAAAAGTATGTATGACTCCCTTTCCTCAACTAGTAGGATAAAGCTTTATCCGTTGTTGTATGTATATATTGGTCTTCAAGTTTGGTATGCATGGTTTTTCCTGTTTCATCTCCTATTATTTCTTCTACCTGGTAGTTTTTTTATTTGAAAGGCCAAGTAGTGCTTTTCTGTAAGCTCGAAAACTTTAAAATTAAAGTTGATGCTCAAATGCATCACTTTATTTAAAAAAAAAATTAATAATAAAGTAAAATTGATGAGCAGGTTGATGTCCTATGTTGTATACCCTTTTTCCATTTTTTTTCTTTGGTCACTACTTGACATTATTTTTGGGTAAATATGCTTTTCACAGAAGGAATATTAACATTTTACTGAAATTATTTTGTTATGCATCTATGATTAGGATTCATGAATCATTTTCTGCTGGATACAGGAATTGGAAAAGTCAAAACCTGTAATTTTGACTGGTGATCTAAATTGTGCTCATGAAGAGATAGACATATACAACCCTGCTGTAAGTGATTCAGATTTAATATTCTCCGTAAGAACTGTGAATCACATTTAAACCTTGGTAAATAGTACCAATTAATCCAAACACTTGTTTCTGGTAGATAGAAATTACTGGATTTATAGGAGAAAGAATTAATCAAGAAGTTGTTAATATGCGCTGCCAACTGGAGTTCAATTGTAGTTAAAAATTGAAATCAAATATTGTTATTCCATAATTTAATATTTTACTTTGAAGAGCTGTGCATGTAAACAGTTACAGGTGTTGGCTGAGTTATCTGGTGGGATCACATTATGTAAATTGACTTTCAGCTTTAAAATATTAAGCATATCGAAGTTACATAAAGCTAATCTTATCGCTATTTTGATTTGATCACTTCGAATTTATTTGAAAATTGTCCTGGTGAAAAGGTGGACTGAGTATGTATTAAATTAAGAGGCCTGATGTGAATGTAACTAATGCTACCATGTCTCATCTTTCTTACTAGTCACTGGTGAAAACAAGACATCAAGTATGTCAAACCATCCTGTTAGCATTGATTAGAGGATGCTTCCCATTGGTTGCTACTCCAATCAATATGATTACAATTTCAAATAGCAAAGCACAATTTTCTCCTAGTGTCAAGGGTAACTCATGTTAAGACCTAACGTGTATCCTGATATGCTTGATCTGTCAAGATAGAACTGGAAGTAGCACCATGGTGAGTTGTGCTTATGATTCCTGTTCCTAAGAAACCGCATCACCTGACTGTATGTTGAAGATGCTGTAGAATTGACATGTAAGAGGAGTATGTAATCGAAAATATCTTGAGTGCTGAGAATTACAGCAAGGTTTTATGTACGATAGTAACTTACTACACAAGTTACGTGACCATAACCATTTATGGCCCATTTTGTTGGGGTTCATAAATGTTTACATCTAACTTGTTAGCTGATTTTAAAATTTGAGAATGTTGAAAATAAAGACTAGCTGGAATTTAAATCAGTTATCTGTCTGTTAATATCATGAATAATTAAATACAAGTGCCAAGAGCTTAACTTTACCGATAATTACTTATATCCACAGGGTAACAAGAGAAGTGCTGGGTTTACAGATGAAGAGAGGAAATCATTTGCAGCAAACTTCTTATCTAGGGGATTTGTAGATACCTTTAGAAGACAACACCCTGGTGTTATTGGATATACCTATTGGGGTTATAGGCATGGTGGGCGCAAGAATAACAGAGGTATTTATATCATACTTCTAAAATTGATTTGAATACTTAACTGTTTGTGTAGAATCTGGTGGCATTACGTGTAAATACTAATAAATAAAAATGTTAATATGATTCCAACTCACTGCTTATTAATATCTGTCACATGACTGTGTTATGCGTTTATTTGAGCACAAGCACATGCATGATCACGTAGTAGTTCTCCATTGACTTCTCTCCTTCCGTTTGTTCCACAATTTGTTCTCCCCTCCGAGATGGGAGTAGGATATTCCACTGATAATTGCATTCAATAAGGTTTTCCTAATTATATCCAAAAGAAAATGCATGAGTTTCCAGTTGTCAACTTCTGCTCCGGGGATAAATATATGCATTATAGATGTAGTTGTGTTCTTTCATAGTTCCGGGTCTTCACAGTTTCTCATAAACAAATTTCCTAGATGCATGTCTAATTTGAATTGGCATGTTATGAGTATTAGTTTTGAGTACATACATGACACAGGTAATAAAATGCGTAAATTAGTAAAATGAAATGCTGAAGTTCCTTCTTCTGAATTTTGAATGCGTTTCATTTAAATTTTCTTTGTTCTCAATGATTTATTTAATTTAAAACAGGGTGGCGTCTTGACTATTTCCTCGTCTCAGAATCCATTGCTGACAAAGTTCACGATTCATACATTCTTCCTGATGTTAATGGTAGTGATCATTGCCCTATTGGTCTTATTGTCAGGCTTTAGTTCTGCAATTAAAACACCATGTATTAGCCTGTGACGAATGTTGCTAGAAATTGTAGTTTATGGGAAGTCTATATATATACTGCAAGCAGTGGACTTTTGCCTTTTTGTCTGGTTTTCTTCAACTTGAAAAAACCTGCAATCCTTGTACATGCTAAATCTATGATTTTGACTAGGCTGACAGAACTGTGAACTGGGAATCTACTCTTGTTATATTAATGAAAATAACATATTTGATCCTGCAATAAAAATTGACAGTATGCGGTAGTTTAGGAGTGCTAGTTGCCAACCTTTGAATGACTCATGAAAAAAAATGCCGTGTTCCAAATCAAATTGAGGGCAATTCATAAAACATTGGAGGCAGTTACATTTTTGTTCATGCCTGTGCCTGAGGTGACAATGAGAGTTTGACTTTTGTATATTAACAGCTAAAATCAATATAATTCCTCTAAACCGTCACTTCAATTTTTATATCCTCAATAATTTTTGCAGATTTTCTAATTTCATACTGATGAGTAAGAAAACACTAGCATGAAAACGTTGTGTTGAATGTTTTCTTCTCAAAAGGTTCCACTATGTATGCTATTTTTTGCGTGTTTTACGGTTTGGGTATTCCCAGAGTAACAGAACTCTTTAAAACGAAATTTATGCGCAGCAAGTGATTCCTGAATGCAATTTTCTATTTCATATCATTATTCAGTGATGGTTCACCTACTATAGTATCAACTAACAAGCATAGCGTTTTAGAGATTTAGACAAGTAAACACAAGCAATCAGAATAGGTCCAAACATTTTTTATTTGTTAGTTGCACATCCAGGCAGCAATGTCAACTAAATTTTTTAATATTTAATTACTTATTAAACTCTGCATTAGTTAAATTTATATGAACTGTACAATACATCTCACAAACATAATAACTTATCCACCACAAGATAACATAGTAAAATCTTCGATGTATGTATAAAATCTTTTCAGTGGACAATGTATACTCAAACTCATGAACATAAAGAGAGAACATAAAGATAAATAACATTAACAGCATTCGTTAGTTGTCATCTCTTTTATATCTCAATAATGAAATCCAATTTGAGAAAGCTTCATCCAACCATGGTCCTCTTTCGTCCTCTTTGCCGCACTACAAATTGTTAAAATAGTAAGTGCTAGGTGTTTAAGAAAATAAGTTAAATTATACAAGTATAAGAGGCACCATACCTTGTGCCAACTTGTTCAATGTGGATGACCACTGCTTGGATGACTTGCGGTATGCAGCAAGTATCCGATCCATCTATCAAGACAAAAAGTAACATGTCACTAATTGATTATCTGTTCAAAACTTCTGTTTGTCTAAGCAGAAAGCATTTTGTAGAAAAATAAGGCTTCAGTTCCCGTCACTAGAATGCTATAGATTTCTGGGCTAGTTTAGGTAAATCTAAGCCTCTATGGCACAAAAGAAAGCGTGACTGTTGATAGATGAGATGTTCATTTGAGTTGAAGAGTTCATCCTACTCAATACCATCTCTTTGGTCCCCAACCAAACCTGATGCACTCGCCTCATTAACGAAGAGCTAAATTTATGCCCTAAAGATTTTGCCCAAATCAACTTGAGTGCACAAACTATAAATAGTGGAAAACAAGAAATATAAAAATCTTTTATTATCCATTGGTGATTGGTCGAAAGGCTAATCAGAACATGGCAGTAGAGCTCCATTATCAGCTTTAATTAAAATATTAAGGAAAGTGCATGTTTAAGAAAATTAATATACCATATTTATTAATGACTGACTTTGCAGTGCACTCTAATTCAAATATTCATAACAGACAAATAAAACTCTGTTTTTATCTCCTAGATTTTCTGTTAAATGAAAGTCAGGGTAGTATGAAAAGCTGGCTTACCACATTCCCGCAAGAAGAATGCATTGACAGAATAGCTCTTTCCAGAACATACAAATCAACAGCTTTATCTTCCGGTAGAGTTGAAGTGAAGCTCAGACCAAAATCAATAAGAACCTACAAACAATCCATTTGACAAATGTAAGACAGATTGATAATATTTCTCAGGTTGCATAACGTGAATGGAGGATAATTGGATGATCACATGAGCAAAGTGGGTATGAATGAACTCACCAACTGATTGCTACCATTCTTGAGTAACATGTTTGATGTTGTTAAATCACCATGAACAAGACCACCATCATGTAGCTTTCCAATTGCATGTCCAATTTGGGTTGCAATGTTGTCCAGACTCTTTTCATCAAGGCCACGTGACCCGAATTCAAGAAATACATCCTTGACTGAAGGGCCCTCAACATACTCATATGTTAAAGTGTGCAACACAGGATCAACAGCATACAGCACGGGAGTACAAACCCCAAGTTTCCTTGCTTTGGTTACGCACCTTGCCTCCTGCTCCGAAACCACATCGGTGAAACAAGAAAAGCAACAAAACAATGCTTAGATATGGGGAAAATAACTATTATTTTTGCCTAAATCTAACCGCATTTAAGCGCTTGAGTGTCAATTTAGAATCCAAGATTGGATGCCTGTACTTCTTTGAGAAGCGCTCCTTGACAACACATCTCCTTCCCACAAAAGAAGACTCATAGACCCTCTGCACAAAGGAACATAAAAGAGGCATATGGATTTGGAAAACAAGACAAATCAGGATTTAAAAAAGAAAGAAAGAAAGAGATACATCAGGGTTTCATAAATAAAGTTAAAAAAAAAGAAAAAAAAAATCCAGAAAGATGGCTAGAACAAGTAAACAAGAAAAAAAAAAATTGAAACTTAACACAAAGGGTAGAAATCAATTGCTACCTGCCCACGGTGTGATAGCAGTTACAAGAGGGTGCAGCAATAAAAGAAGCAAGAATTGAAAATTTATGTAGAGTGTAGGTTTTAATTGCTTCTACAAGTCCAGAGAGAGTTTACGGTTATACTTACAGCTTCGGCTCCTTGTTTGAGTAGAGTGAGAGAGCTATCTCTTGAGTTAGTTTCAGTAGCCATGGTGTTGAACGTTTCTGGCAGTGAAATTCCTAGTGTTTAGCCCTTTTCCAGCCCAGAAAATAAAAGAAAAGAAATTAACACGTTGCTACCTGAAACGTTATTGGGTTATCAGTATTGAAGATATAGAAGAAAAATTGGAGGGTATGTAGTTTGCTTGTACTTGTAGCCGACAGAGGAACGATAGTCCCTTTGTAGCAGTGATGCAACGACCGATAAAAGATGGAACTAAAGTGACATAATAACCAGTAAAGGAACGTGTAGAAATGTAGAAGAAAAATCTATTAACCAGTAAGCAATAATAAAAAAGGTATGCTCTTTACTAAAGTAAGAGCAACGAACAATCAAAATTGCATGCTAGGACAGAACCGTTCAAGCATTTCATCAAACACATAGCATGCAGTGATTGCAGTAGCCAACAAAATTAGAAAGCACGACGCGGGAGAAATAAGAAAAAAAAAATTGAAATGAAATGGGTAAAGGAAATAAGTGAGAGGGTAGAAAAGGTACCTAAAACGTTTATGGGTTGCGAAGTACGGAAGAGAAGGAGAAGAAGTTGCAGGTTGTGGTGGTTAATTGCAGTTGATTCTGTGAATGGCATAGAAAGAGAACTTCTAAACTTTCGTGGCTTTTCCTCCTTGTTTTTTTAATTTTATTAAATAAATAAACAATTTTTAAAAATATATTTTATTTTTTAAATTTAAATGATCCTTATATTTTACCATTATGTATTCTATCGTAATACAAATATACTAAATTATATGTTTGAATATTTTTAATTATAATATAAAGCGACTTAAAATAAAAAAATAATTGTAAGAATTAATTTTTTTTAAATTCTTTATTTTAATTTACTTAAATTTTAAAATTAAATTGAAATTTCTATACATTGAAAAAAAATCATTCTACTTTAATTAATATTTCAAATATAAGGTATTTAAAATTTATTTTGTTCGAATTAAAAAACTAAAAATGCCACGTTGGCCCCTCGTGATGAATCGGCAAAATCTGATTGGTGCAGTGACGACTGTGAAAAACTAAAAAAAATAAAAAAAAATTGAGCGTAGAAAATCTGCCAAACAAAAGATGAGCAGTGCACCCTGCGAATCGAAACAACCTTAACAGCCCGAACAATGGGAGCACGAAAGAGACTCTCTTCTTCGGAACCTTCTTCTGCTGTGGCGAAGGAAAACACACAGAACAAACCCGAAGAAAAACCGGACCTTGCAGACCCTCCAATTGCACCTCCCAAATGGGGTCTTCTTCTGAAGCTTTCTCTCCTGGTGCTCCCTTACTTGTACCTTCTCTTTTACTACTACCCCATCGAACCGGAACTCCGAAGATCGATCCTCATCAATGCAGGAATGAGCCTTGCGGGGTTGTTCGTTACGATCAAGATGATCCCCGTCGCGTCCAGATACGTTCAGAAGCGAAACCTCTTTGGCTATGATATTAACAAGAAGGGAACCCCTCAGGGAAATGTCAAAGTGTCAGTCTTTTTCTTCACCTCCCTCCTTTTTTTTTTCTTTCGCTTTTATGAAGTGGGTTTGCGTTGGATTTTGATTTCGAGATCTGGGTATTTTTATTTTGATTTAAATCATGTGAGTTATCTGGATTTTGATTTTCTTAGCTTATTTTAAAATGTTCATGAAAAATTTTCTATGGAGCATTTGGTTGGATTTGGGGAGGAATTTTCAGTTTGAGATGTAATTATTTTTCTTTCTTATATGATTTTGTTCTGTTCCAAGTGATCACTGATTTCCGTTTTTATCCTACACTTGTTGTTCATGGATTGTTCAATAAATGTATCTGTATTTTATTCTTTTTGTGAGTTGATGTTGACTAGCACAATGTTTTCTCTTTTTAGTCTCTGAATTTTGATACTTGTGTTCTGAAACTTTCATGATTTTGCTATCTACCAGACTAACTCTTACATTTGATGAATGGATATATGAGTTTTTTACATAGCGATTGTTATCTTAGAATGTGTTCTATGTAGTTTGAGTTGTTGAATTGATTTTGCTATCTATCCTTGGTAAATTCTTGAACTTGGCATTTTCTGTTTTAAGTGGAAATGTGTGATCAGAATGAGGATGTCAGGAACAACAAATGTGTAGTTTGGATGATGTTTTAGTTTAAGAAAGTCATTAATATGCTTTGAAATTGTGCCAAATGTTTGGATTGAAAGAGTGAAAAGAAAAAGTTAAATGATAGAGTAAGAGGAAAGATTATTACCTTGCTTACATTGTTACTGCTGTTAAAAAACTTAAGTTGGGAACAAACCCTTAGCTAGAATTTACTTTGGCACTGTATAGATTATGAATTTATGCCATTTAAGTGTAGAAAGACGGAAATCTTGGGTTATAAATTTTTTGGTACTAAGTTTTGACTTTATAACCTTTTTATTTGCAGGCCTGAGTCATTAGGTATAGTTGTTGGTATTGTCTTCTTGGTGGTCGCAATCTTGTTTCAGTATTTTAACTTCACAGCAGATTCAAATGTAAGTATATTGTGAATTTATGAGTACCGTAAATCTGAGTATTTGGTTCAACACTGATATCAATAGAAGAAAGGAATGCTGTATTTATGAACTTTTTATTATTTTGCAGTGGCTTGTTGAATATAATGCAGCATTAGCATGCATCTGTTTCATGACATTGCTGGGTTTTGTCGATGATGTCCTTGATGTCCCATGGAGAGTGTGAGTATACAAGTTTTCACTGTTTGCTTCCTGGATTTGTGCTTGTTAACTACTCTTATCATAGTATTGTTTATTATTTTATGTCAATGTGAAGAACAGAAAATTAGTACTCCCATCAATTGCTGCACTTCCTTTGTTAATGGCATATGCTGGACACACAACTATAGTTATACCAAAGCCACTTGTCCCACACATTGGGATAGAGATTTTGGATCTTGGTAACCTTTCTGTACCTTATGCAAGTGACACTTGAGAAGTCAGTCACTGATTAATGTAAAAATTCACTATTTTGACGTTTTACATGGGGCAGGATGGATATATAAACTATATATGGGACTATTGGCTGTTTTCTGCACAAATTCCATCAATATACATGCTGGAATAAATGGCCTTGAAGTTGGGCAGACGGTGGTTATCTCATCAGCTGTAAGTACTTAAGATTGTAATAACAGTTAACATAATCCACGTTGGTGATGAAAATTAGTAATACTGTGGATATGCAGATCCTGATACACAATATTATGCAAATTGGAGCATCAACAGATCATGAATATAAGCAAGCACATGCATTCTCTATTTACTTAGTTCAGCCCTTGCTTGCTACCTCGTTGGCTTTACTTTCTTACAACTGGTACTCACTGATGTAACATTATCACTTTGTTTGAAACCTTTTTTCACATGATCAAGAGTAGTTTACTAACAGTGTGTTCTTGTTCTAGGTATCCCTCTTCGGTTTTTGTTGGTGATACATATACATACTTTGCTGGGATGACTATGGCCGTGATCGGTATTTTAGGCCATTTCAGGTATATATCCTTACCTTGCAACTCCCGTCTAACTCTGTTCTAATGGATCAATAAGGATGGTCAATCTTCATTTTCATTAGTTGAAACGTCCTAACAAATTATTCATTTTTTTCACTCTTCAATCTTTTCACTTCTCTATTGGTAACTTAGTGAATGATTTTGCCTCATTTTATAAGAAAACCTACCATTTTTCTCTTTGTATGATAGTTCCATAATACTAAAATGCGAACAAATGAACATTAGAGTTTTTCATCTCAACCATAATTAACAATTACTTTGAACTTCTGATAATAACCTTTAAATTGTACTTGACATGTATAATATCATAAGGCTGTCCACTTCACTTTGAGGTTTATATTCATCATTTCATTCTCAAGGATTATTTCTTTCCATCCTTAGTAAATAACTGTCTTTTTTTCCCTGATGGCTCTCCTTCTCCTGAAACATTTTACTTATTCCATGAAATATTTATAAATAAATATGGTTTTTGAATAAAGTATAAAACTTAGAACAGAAAACTTGTAATAATGTGACTTAATGATCCATTTCAAACATTACAACTTACTTTTTAGTACACTGCTAAATGATAGCACATTTGTATGGGTCCATTCTGCTTGTTTATCAGCTCGCCTTAATGTGATTATTGATTCCCCTGTAATAATTTTGTTATATTTGCTTCAGTGAAACACTCTTGATTTTCTTCCTACCTCAAGTTCTGAACTTCCTCTTGTCACTTCCCCAGGTTTGATACTAACAGAATCTCAATTGACATTTTGAATTTGTGATTATTTAAACTCGTGTGAGCATGGTTGACATAAAATATGTTTTCCTCCAGCTTTCTGGCTATATTCCGTGTCCTCGTCATCGTCTGCCAAGGTAGGCACTGACAGTTGTATCTTAGTGATTGTTTGAGACATCTTACCTCTTGACTTGTTTGGTTGAAAACTCATGTACCCTCAACTCATGCATGCAGGTTTGACCCTCAAACTGGACTACTGACTGGAACAAATGATGGGACACTCGTTAACTTCTTCCTTAGAAATTTAGGCCGGAAATCTGAGAAGGCACTTTGTATTTATCTTCTTGCTTTCCAGGTGATTCCTTCTTCTTATTCTTGTGGCCCACTTTTATTTGTTCTTTTTGTTTTCTATTTCTATGTTGAACTTGTGTTTAGTTCAATAATATGAACTTGGTTTTTTGTGTGATTCAATTAAATGGTGAACTTGCTTTGTTTAGTTGGATTTGGCTCCTATTATGGGTGGCATGCTAGAGAAAAAGATGCAGCATACTATTCTAGTTATCATTGCTCTTACATTCTTTTTTTTCCCCTTTGAACAGGCAATAGCGTGCTGTTTCTGCTTCTTGCTAAGGTATTTCCTTGCCGGTTGGTACAAATGAAAGCCCGAAGTGGAAACGAAAAAGATCCATATGAAAAACCACGCAATAGGCTGATTTTGTTGTATAAACATTTTTGTAGAAAAAATTTAGTCAGAATAGGCATAATAGATTTTGGTGAAGGAATTTCTTTTAATTTGAATGTTGTGTATTGATATCAACTTGAAGAAATATATCATTTGAATTTCTTCTGGTGACATTGAATAACTTAACATTTTCGTATATAATTCCTTAACAAGGTCAATTATATTATTGCTACCGCGTATATTTATGGTTTTGGAAATCCCCAACAGAAATGGTACCCTTAAATTAAATTATCTGAATTTGTTTATGCGTACTGGTATAGTGTTTTACAAGTAAAATAAAAACGTAAAGGGAAAAGGAAACAAATAACATCATGCAACATTGAAATGAAGATGTATCTAGTTATTTCCTCATGCACATCAAATGTAAAACATAATAGAACAATACTTAAATTCCTCACTTGTGTATGTAATTAATTAGTTGGGCCACTAGATAAGGGATGATACAAGGCGAGATATAACGAATTTTTTCAATATTAATTACTTAAAGTCCAAGCAAAAGAGTAATGCTACGCTGTCCCTAACAAAAATGATGAAGCCAATATTTGCGGCACCCAAGTCCTTTCAGAAATTGCATCTCATCAAAGTAGCTTAGTCAACATCCATAGTTTGTTCGTTAGTCGTATTGCTGGACCACAGTTTTATGGTGCGATCATGGGAGACAGTAACAATGTGGCCACCATCTGCAAACAATAATAATACATGCTTAAATCAGAATAGTCCGCTTCGGTAGCCAAGAATAACATTTGATATAACCAACAATGTAAATTGTTAGGCAATGCACACTGTGTCATAAGCTGCGCATGCGAACACACATCCATAATAAAAAAAAAAAATAATAAAATAATAATTTTCAACTAAAAGACTTGCGGCTTACATTTCTAAAAGAAATCCTTGATTCAAACTTCTACGCTACATGAAAAGGCTTCATTCAAGTCCTATCTTTTAACATTTGACAATAAAAATAAGAAAAAACAAACGATCCCTCTCCTTTCATTTCCTTTAACTTTGGGCAACAGATCTAAGTCCATGGCATGTAGGAAGGAAATGAATGCAGAGGAAAAAACTGTGAAGTACATAAAAAATGTCCCCTGCTGGATTACAACTCGGTAAAGCTTAAACTTGATTTGCAATTTGAGTCAAAATTTCTCATATGATGTACCCATTAAACTCAATGGCACACATAATTAATTTTACCAATTCATTACAACAAACTATCCAGATATATCATTAGTCTTTCAAAACATCCACTAGTTAGTGAAATAGACATCATGGGAGCCATGGATGTGTAATTCCTTTCTATTAAGATAGAAATCCTACCTCCAAGAACATCCACAGAGGTTACTTTTGCTTCATGCCCAGATAGTGTCTTCACAGGCTTAAAGTCACGGCCTGACCAAACCTACAGTTAAAACATAAATATAAATACCAAGCTACCCATGCAAAGGTATCTCCATATAAATATAAATAAGTATATTGAAATCAAAGTAAAGCACTAAAGAATCCTAACACGTTTTAGGTAGATATAGAATGTATACCTTAGCAGTCATGTCATATGAGGCAGTTACCAAAAAGTAACCTTCTTGTGGCTCAAATTTAACTTGTGATATTAAATTAGAGTGAGCAGGAATAGTATAAAAGGATTTCTTCTTCCTCAAATCCCAAATCCGACAAGTGTTGTCTTCACCACCGGTGGCTAGATGATATCCATTAGGTGAAAAACTGATACCAAGAACCTTTAAAAAGAATTACAATCGTAGTCAGTCTCTAAAAAGTTAAGTGTAAATCATGATTTTGGAGTGAGAGAAAGAGCGCAGGGTCTATAGTCTCTTACCGGCTTAACATGACCTTCCAGTGCAAGAATACTTCTCCCAGTTCGGAGGTCCCAAACACGAGCCAGAGAGTCTAATCCACAAGATGCAGCTAATGATCCATCACGGTGGAAAGCCAAACCATATACACTTCTACTATGGCCTTCTTGAAGAAGCAACTCCTCCCCTGTTTCTATGTCCCATAATCTCCATGTCTTGTCAAAACTAGCAGTGCCTACGTACTTCCCTGATGGATGGAAGGCAATGCGTGCAAGACGGTCTAGATGACCTTCGAATGTCTTCAAAAGTGATCCTTGATTCCAATACTTTGCTGTTCGATCAGCAGAGGCAGTTGCTAAATGATCATGAACAGGAGAATAAGCAACATCTGTTGCACGCTCTGTGTGCCCCTTCAAGGTGGAATGCTTTATTATTCTGGGCATGCTCCACAACTTGGAAGCTCCAGTCAGGGAACTACAAAATCAAAACAATCAGTAGTAGATTAGAATGGTTTCACAAGGGAAGAAAGGGTAAATAGTCATGCTTAAGCTGTACAAGTTGCAACAACATACCAGGTAGCAAGCCATTTTCCATCCCTTGAAAAGGAGCAACCTGAAAGTGGTCGATCATCTCCAATTTCACTGAATTCAAGACTCAAATTTCCAGCCTGCGTCAATGCCCAATCCATCTCTGCATCCATATCTTCATCTGGATCATCCCTTCTTCTTTGTGCACGTTGAATCCGTAATGCTGCCCTTGCCAAAGAATATTTAGTGATATAAATTCTTGCATCCAGCAGAGCCTTTGACCCTTCAGTGTAAAAAGGATACTGCAATTCTTCCTCAGTCTCATCTTTTGGAGCAGAAGCTGCAGCCTCTTCATCCTCGTGAGCTTTCATCAGCTTCTCCAGCTGACCATCAGCATCTAGCTTTGCCATGATCATCCGCAACCTGTCCCGTCTCTCCATCTCTCTCTCACCAAACAGAGTTATTGGCTCACCAAGATGCCGAAGCCGAGCTCGCACAGCCATATCATTTGTAGGAACAGCAAGAGCAGCAGCACGCCTCTTCATCATGAGTTCTTGCATTGCCTTTTCCTGTCGCTCTCTCACCAGTCTACTCTCTTCAGATATCTCATACTCCCCAGTCCCCTGGTTAATTCTTGCTTTTGAGTCATCATTGTCTGAGTCAGAGTCACTTGATCCAACCTCACCATTTTGTGGCAAAGGTGGTCTAATGACTGGTGGCCGAACTGGAAGTGGTGCCAGTGGCCGAGGGGGAGGAATTGCAGGAATCGGTGCTAAAGGAGGCACAACAGAAGGTGCAATAACCGGTGGAATTGTAGGTTGTATTGAATGGGGTAGAGATGCATTAACAGAAACAGGATCTTGATCATCAGAGGCAGGTAAAGACGGTTCTGCAGTAATATTCGATGCAATGTTTTCCTTCTCCACTTCCATGGTTCCTACCCAACTGAAAAGGACAAAAATTATTAGTTGAAAATTTTAGATTGCATAATCAAATTCAAATATTACAACAAACAAATAAAATAGCTTCACAGAAAAATTAAATGAAATTGCCAATATGCCATGTCTTAGGAAGAAGTGAGTGGCAAGGGTATACATAAAACCACAAAATAGGCATTTAAGAAAATAAAAGCCCAAATAGAATTTAGATAGGGATGTGCATGGATAGGTTTGGCATAAAACCAAATGAAATCTGTTCACAGACCGCTTATATGGTTGAATTTCAAAATCAACCTATTTCTTTTCAAAACTAGTTTGGTCAAAATAAATCTGGTTTTCAACCTTTCTTAAACAAACACTTACTTTTTTTTTTATATAGAAAATTTATCTATAAATCCAAATTTGAAACTGTTTTTTTCAATCCTAATATCCTATTATAAAACCAATTTTGATTATTTTGTTATACAATAAAACAGACAACCAAGGTATTGTTGATTATTGTGATGCATCCCAAAACTAAACTAGGCCAGAGAGCAGAGCATATATTTACCTAACGATTACATAATTTAGGATAACTCATTAACAAGAGTGCAAATAGCAGAATAATGCACAAATTGACTATCAAAAAGTGAATTTTCATATCTCAGCCATGTTACTCAATCTGACTTTCCTTCAGTCAAAATGGTGAAGCCTCAGCCTGAGACCCCAATCAAAGAACATTTATTCACTGTTATTAGTAGTCGTATTATTCATCAAAAGTTGATTGGCACTAATTATTTATTATGGTCTGCCACTGCTAAATAGAGGATTTCGGGACAAGGTAATGAGGAGCATCTACCAACTTCAAGTGACAAGGCCAACAAAAGGTTGGCTGGTCCTAATTATTTTCAATGTTTAGTTTATCATGTAATGTTTCTTATTCTAAATTAAAACATACATACATACTATATATATATATATATATATATATATATATATATATATATATATATATATATATATATATATATATATATATATATGTATGTATGTATGTATGTATGTATGTATTAAAAGATGGTTTCTACTTCTCTCGAAATCATTTAAAATTTACTCTTTCGGGCAGTTATATTATTCACTGTTATTGGCAAGTGGCAACCTTGCTAAATTACTTAGAGTGTGATCATACCTGAACAATGATCTGAATAACAAGACTATAAGCTGGACTGAACTCATCTCCATTTTTAATATAGAAATTATAAAATCCTATTTATTAAAAATAAAAAGCATTTTTTTAGGAGCCTAACTTACCAATTTCAGCTCTTGACACGATCTATAAAACCTCTTCCTTCCACGAAGTGCTTAGAGTTTAAACCACTCTTCTTCGATTCTAAATAATAATTAGCAACAAAAAGGATTTCACTCCAGTATAAATCTTTGACGTAGTATTTAGAAACAAAATTCTAGTGCACTTGGATGATAAACAAAAGCATAAATCCATGTGGTGGGAGATTTATGTCTAATAAAAATGTAGCATGGACCATTTAAACACCGCAAATAAAGAACAAGTCAAGGAACTATATATGTATTCATCTCAGGAAATACAAAATTATAATAGAAGATTTAATTTATCCCTAAGGCAGAGATGGACACTTAAAAATAACATATCATAACCATGTGCAGAAACCTAGACAGAAAATTGATTCACTATGTGAGCCAATCAAAATTACAAACTACATGACCCAGTCAAGCTTTTCATCAAACATATAGTGTGCAGTGGCAGCAGTACCAAAAAACATGCCCCAAAAGTCTCAGCCTCACTCATCGATTTTCCTCTCAAGAATCTTTACCAACATTAATAATACGCAGCGTGCAACAACAATTCACAATTGTTAGTTTATGACACCTCTATTGAGGAGGATCTTAGTTATGTATCAATATAGGAAGAAAAGCATAGGTCTCAAGTGTAGATGTTTCCTAGACTTGTTATTTATCTAACAGTTAACTCACACTTCAAACCCTTTACTATTTTCCATTCACATGCTTTTATCTGTCTGTACCTGGATATTTATGCGTGAAAGTATCCCATACACTTGCTCCTCTACCACTTTCCGTCGCTGCACCTTCGAACTATATGAAAAACATATACAAAAATGAAAATCATGCAATAAATTAGTTAAGTAGCTAGATATATACTGAGCGAGAGTGAGGTGCCAAAACGCACGAAACCTAGTTTGCGTTCTGCTGATGTTGAGCGAAGAAAAAGACAAAGAGAGCAAAACGAAGCAATTAAAGAAATCGAGATGATGACCGGAGCCTACGTGACAATGGCAGCGGCGACGGCAGCTGAGCGCTTACAAGGCACGTCGGAGGCCAGATGCTTTGTGGGCTATGACATTACTGAGGTAACAAGCTCACAAAAGAGAGAAGAGTTTATGCTCGATAAAAAATAAATAAATATATTATATAGTTAATAGTTAAAGTGAAAATAAAGGTTCTATAATTTTTACTAAAGAGATTTTAGTTAATCTCGTGACACGAGGATTATTTTGGTATATTTCAAATTTTGGTCTGAAAATTATTTAAGAGCCATCTGTGAATAATATTTGATAATTTTATCATAATAATGTTTTTTAAAATTCTCAAATTCCTTTAAAATTTGAATGATTAATAAATAAATAAAAGTGATAAAATTTGAGACGTTACAGAACTTAAAACTTTCAAAATAAAATTATTAAGATTGACTTAGTTATTTTAAAAGTTGAGTTTAATATAATATTAAAATTGGATATCTCCAAAAGTGTTCTATGATTCACTTATCTTCAAATTAATTTTAGAGACCAAATATAGAGACTTTAGTAGACAGAAATTATATATTCTCTTTTTAATATGATTTATTATATAACTAAAGTATTATTGTTAAGATTGAAATACTACACAACTTGAACACCAGTCATTATTATTTGTGCTAATCAATATTTCAAGAAATTTAAATTAAAGAAAAATATCTTGCAAGCACTAAATGTACACATTTTATAATAGGAGTTAAATTATGTCTGAAATTTTTTTCAAATCCCTTTTGGACCTCTATTTAATATAATTAATATAATTTTAAATTTCAGCTATGATAAATGTAAAAATAATTTTTTAAAACCCATCTTTAAAAAGGAATACAAAGAGTATTAATATGTTGCAATGTACTCCTTCTGCATTTTCGTTGAGCCTTTTTCTCTTCCTTCATCCACTGCAATGCGCCCAATTCAGTGGATGAAGCTTTTGCTGATCTTTTTTCTCTTTACCTTCTCCACCGATGGATCATCCCGCCACCGTTATCATCATGTAGCCGCCGTCGGATTCAGTTCAACGCCAACAGCAGCGGTGGTGAGGCAGATCCGGATGCGGGGAGGTGCACCGTTGAAGATGGCTATGTTCGCAGACCTGCACTTTGGGGAAGCCGCATGCACAGAGTGGGGCCCGCAACAAGACGTAAACTCAACCAAGGTCATCAACACAGTTCTTCACGATGAAGCTCCAGGTATCAATTGCTTCATAGATAAGTGAAATTCATTTTTTTTAATACAAAATTAAAATCAAAATTATTCAAATTATTTCCTGAAATATTCTTAATTTCACTACCATCCTGAATATTTTTATTTTGTTAATTACTTGAACGAAAATGATATTTTTATATTGTTCATAATTTGTATTTTTGGTCATGAAAATTTAAAAAATGAATACTATAAAAGTTATGTGATGTCACACTTATTATACCTTTATCTTATGTAATGTGCAAGTTTTCGCATGATTTCATTCCTTCTTGAAATAACATGGAATATGCCAACGTAAGGCTCCTATTTCTTGAAGTTATCATGGAATATGCCAACCAAAGGTTTTGTTCTTGTTATCAACTTATCCAATACATTATGAACTTCTACAAATAACAAATGTTGGTATCTATTATAAAATGGAAATAAATAATGAGATATATATTTTGATAGAAAAGAAAAACATGATTTAGTTAGTTTTTATGGTTTTTAATATAAAAATATTAGCTAATTTAGTTAAATATGATATTTTTTAGTCAGTGGGTATTTCTGTCATTTCGCTCTCTTCGCAACCAATCTCACGTGCATAATAATAATGCACTCATAAAAGTGCAACACTCCATTTTTTTCATTCTCTGAAGCCGTTCAGACGCTTCACTTTCGTTGTTTTCTCTCTCACAATGGTAACTCACGGAGGGAAGTTGAAGATATCTTTGCTCCTACTCTTTCTCTCTCTGTTCTCCACCGTTGAATCATCGTCCTGCGGTGGTCGATCATCATCGGCCGTACGACTCCGATGGGCGCGCGGTGCCGCGGAGAGGCAGGTTCGGATGCGGGCGGGTGCAGCCTTCAAGATTGGGCTCTTCGCGGACCTGCATTTTGGAGAGAACGCGTGGACGGAGTGGGGCCCACGCCAAGACGTAAACTCCATGAATGTCATGAATTCGGTGCTCCACCATGAAAATACAGGTGACTTGGGTTAACAATCAATAAATCTTTTTACTTTTATCTCTACAGAGTAACTGATATTCACCCCTTTCTTACACTATCTTAATCAGTCACTGTTCACTACACTCCCATAAATACAATCATATTCTTTACAGTGACGTTAACGTGAACTTTCAAGGTTACTTTCAATTCGCATTAGATTTTTAACAAAAATACCATTAAAGTTAAATAATTAGTAAAAGAACTACATTAATAATTAATGATAAAAACGACAATATTCAATAATTATTTTTATTAGTGAATATCAACGTGTTCGTGAAGGAACTTTTTTTGGTCCATAAAACTTTTCTTTTCTCCCGTTTCTATCCTTTCCCTTACATCCAAAATAGTTCATTCTTAAACCCAGTTATTTCATTTTAAAATCTATCAATTAATATATATATATATATATATATATATATATATATATATATATATTAACTTTAACTAATGACTAAAGTTAGATTTCAATAATTATGGGACAATATCAATAATTAGTTAAAAAAACTTGTTTCTTTTAAAAATTACTTTTTCAAAAAATTTTATTAATGAAAATGGATGATTTAATTCATGTTTCTAAGAATCAGATGGATTTTTTAGTTTTTGAAAGTTAAAAATCAATAAAAACTATTTTTAATTTTATGTTTATTTTAATGATTATTAACTATTTTATTAATAATTATATTAAATCATTAATTTAAATCACTATAAAGTTTTTAGAATTATTTTTCAATTTTTATTTTAAAATGATTTTTAAAATATAATTAATATTTTTTATTTTATTTTTCAAAAATATTTTTTTAACTGATCTTCGAAATTATTTTTAAAATTTAAAAATAAAACTAAATAAAACAAAGTTTAATATAATTATTGAAAAAAAATAGAAAACATCTTTAGTGTTAACTTTTTAATTTTTAAAAATTATTTTAACAAAAAAATAATTAAAAAAAGAATTATATATTGCAAAAGAGAATGGTTTAAACAACATAACATGATTTATTCTGAAAATATATGTTTCTTTCTAATAAGTGATCTAGGCATGACAACGAGGTGGGGCGGGTTTTACCCGATCCCGTCGAGATTAGAAATTAAGTCACAATCTCCGTCCCTCTCTGGATTTTGGGTTTTTCGTTCCGACCCGTCCCCGATTTATATTATTTTTAAAAAGATAATTACATTTATAATAAATTAATTTTATTATGTATTTTTTATATATAAATAAATATTTATAATTTATAATTATTATTAATTAAATATATATTTTAATTTATTATATTTATATTAAAATATGTATGTAAAAGAAATATTTAATATTTTATATATATATATATATATATAGAATATTTATAACATTATTATTATTATAACATTGTATTCAAATATTTGAATACTTATAACATTATTATTATTATTATTATTATTATTATTATTATTATTATTACAATATCTGTATTTAAACATTTGATTACATATATAAGTTAATTCTTTTTTAAGTTGTCATTTAAAAATATGAAATATATAGTTTATAAGAAAATATTTAATAAGTTAATTCTTATTTAATTAGTTCGAAATAATAAAAGTTTAAATTATCAATTCTTTTTAATATTTTAAAATATAATTATTTTATTAAGATAAAATTTGATATATGATAAATAAGAATAATAAGATAAAAAATTATGACATAATAAAACCTAATAAATATAAATTATAAATAAAATAATATTAGTTATTACTAAGATTTATGTAAAATATTTAGAAAAAGATAAAGAAAAAAATTAAAGTTGTGTTCATCAAATTGGTTGAAAAGATTAAAAAAAAAAACAAATTGATGGGAGAGATTAAGGAAATGTGAAAAAATAGAAAGGTAAGAGAGAGAATAATGTAATAAATTAATTGATATAAAAGATTAAAAAAGATAAAAAAAATTAAGAGGTGAATAGAAGAAAAATAAAAATGGTGAAATATAAAAAAAATGGCTATGTAATAGATATAGAAAAAGAAATACTTTTAAAATATTAATATTGTAAAATTTAAATTTAAATATAAAGTCGGAACGGGGACGAGGTCGGGACGGGATTGCATTACTCATCTCCGTTCCTGCTCCCGACTTTTTAAAGTGGGAAAAACCCAAATCCGCCCCCACCTCCGGTTAACTCGGGACGGGAATGAGTCGATTCTCACGAGTACGGGTTTAATTGTCATCCTTACCGTACCAAATTTCAGCGACATTGTAAATGTCAAAGAAGGCTGTACATAAGATCTATGTGCCAATGAATAATTTTCCTCTATTCTTGTTTTTAATTTTCTTTTGTAGTGTAATGAGCTTCAAATTTCACGAACACCAAGCACTAATGAAGATAACTCTGAATGACAGATTTGGTTATATATCTTGGTGATGTCATCACGGCTAATAATATAATGATTGCAAATGCAAGCTTGTATTGGGATCAGGCAATCTCCCCAGCAAGAAATAGGGGCATACCATGGGCCAGTGTATTTGGAAACCATGATGATGCTGCATTTGAGTGGCCATTGGAGTGGTTCTCAGCATCTGGCATTCCTCCAATTCACTGCCCTCAAGCCACAGCTTCATATTCAGGTACCAAGTATTAAGTAATTATCTACATATATGTTTCGTATGAAGTGTAAACTTTAGTTGAAGAATAGAAGATACCTGATTTTTTATGCATTCTTGACGTTAGGTTGTCAGCTATTTGCTTGAATGTGAAAGTTTTCTAAGAATCAATATTAATGAATAGCTTGATTGAAAATATTTTACTCAAACTTTTTTGGTGTTTATAGCTCAAAATAACTGAGCATAGTTCAGAGACAAGTGTTAGTGGAACATACACAATAACTCAAAGATTAAAATGGTATTGTTTTGTGATAATTAGTCAATAAAATCGTGTGCAGAGAGTTATCTATCACTCCTTTGGACAATTACAGTCAGGGTAGTTGAGAACTCAAGGTTGGAGAGATTTATGAAGAAGCAAATGGTAAGCCTCATGAGCAAACGGGTCATGAGTTAGAAAACTTATTCAGTAAAATGGCATTTAATTGCTATTAGTTACTGTTCCCATTTTGGAGTATAGAGATTTTGTTTCACCTTTATCATTTATTAGTCCTTTTCATATGGAGCTTTCATCTTGCGTTTGCTGACTATAATTTTGGCTTCATTACATCTATCATACTTTTCATAAGATTACGTTTTTGAAATATCGTCAGTGAAGGGCATATTCGAAAATTTTCAGGAGAAGAAGAATGTAGCTTCAAAGGAACAGGACGATTGCAGCTGATGACAAATGACATAAAGCACAACGGATCATTTTCTAGCTATGGCCCTAGAAATCTTTGGCCAAGTGTATCCAACTACGCCCTTCAAGTTTCATCATCTGATGGTCCACCATCACCAGTGGCTTTCCTTTACTTCCTTGATTCTGGTGGTGGTTCCTATCCAGAAATCATATCTAATGGCCAGGTAGAATGGTTTCGGAAAAAAGCTGAAGAAATTAACCCTGACTCAAGGTAGAATGATAATGCGTTAAACCAGAAGTTATTTTGTTTTAAAGCTACAACCATTCCACAGCAAGAAAATTATATATAAATAACTTTCTTAATAAACATTTATAAGAGAATAAAATAGGGACATAGAATGAGTCAAATTATCTCACAGGTGAAAACCAACTTGTGCATCTTAACGTTTTTAAAAGCTTTCTTATGAATTTCTCCCGAAGTTGAAGGGTATGTAACTTGAGTTCAACACGAGATGTTTGGTTCATTTTACATCCTTATTTCTTCTTCTAAATGTGTTGGTTACTGAGAGAAATTGACGTAAACTAACCTTTATTTTTTTTTCTTATGTGTTATTCAACTAAGCAAGTAAAATATGTTGACAAAAAAAAAGTTTCTTCTTCTATTATTTTCTTTCTGCTTAATCCAAATAAAACATATTGCATGACAGAGTTCCGGAGATTGTTTTCTGGCATATTCCAAGTACGGCTTATAAGGAGGTGGCTCCCAAGTTTGACATACGAAAGCCTTGTGTAGGATCAATCAACAAGGAAAGTGTTGCTGCTCAAGAAGTTGAAACGGGTATCATGGATCTTCTTGTCAACAGAACTTCTGTCAAGGTAAGGTCAAAGAAAGTATACTTGTCAAATTCTCGATCTGTAGAACAAAAATCAAATCTTCAAGATCTTAGTTTTTAGGTTTGAACCACCAGATGTGTTTGCTTGGTGATTAATTTGTTTATTTCTATGATTGCAAGGATATTGTTTGGTTGTCAAATAAGTCTTTTGGGGTTTATTGGGAATTTGTCTGAAGTATGAGAGGATTTTCGAGAGAAATTATGAAGGTATATTTTGTCAGTGGGTTAGAAACTTTTAATAATGCTGTTAGAGATATAGGAATAAATGATGACAGAATAATGTTTGTACCCCAGACACTTAACCTGTAGTGTATGATGATATAATGAACAGGTTTCTTTGATGGACACACAAGTGAGATTTTTGTTTGTAACATTTAGTTTTCATGACCAGGCAATTTTTGTTGGACACAACCATGGATTGGACTGGTGCTGCCCATACAAGAAACTATGGTTATGCTATGCTAGGCACACTGGTTATGGTGGCTACGGAGATTGGCCTAGAGGGGCACGGATTTTAGAGATCAATCAAACACCATTTTCTCTTCATTCCTGGATAAGGATAGAGGATGGTCATGTGCACAGCAAAGTTATCTTGAGTTGAAAGTGACGACCAAATATATATAAAAAAAGTGTAATCATCTAATTGTAACATATGATATTATTGATGTTTTTTTTTTTTTTTTTTTAATTCTACATTGAATTTGTTTGGTTGGATAGGCTTTTCTTTGTAAGTACTTCTCGGTGATTAAAAAAATTGAAATAAAATTGAAATATTTTTTTCTATAAATTAAAATAAACTTATGATTTTTTTTCCAACATTTTACACCAATGAAACAAGGAGATATATAGGTTTGCCAATAACTATACTTCCCCCTTCTTAAATAAATACAAAATAAAGATGTTTTAGATTAGTTTTAAACATAAGCAAATATTATATTTTACTTTATACAATGAGTTTTTTTCTAAAATATCTTTCATTTAATTGAGATTTATTTTATGATTTTTTTTGTTTGTAATATCAAGTTTGTAGTTTGAGTTACGTGTTTTTTTTTTCTTTATATGCAAGATCGCATTTTTAATGAGAATTATTTATGGGATTTTTAGTTGTTTATAGGAAACATTTACATAATCAGAAACGACTAGTGTTTATAATTGTTTAGAAAATATTATACATAAATTATATTTTCCAGTTATTTTATCTATTATTTATAATTGTGAGAAATGAAGTTTCCGTTAGGAAAATATTAGTTTAATGTTTTCTTTTCTTATTATAAAAAGAAGATATTGTTTATAGTCTAAGATGCATCAAAATCATTTTTTTTTGTTATTTTAATACTTGAGAGATAAATTAAGAAAATTTTTTTTCTTTTCTTTTATGTTTTCTTAGAATTATTTTTTCTTTATTTTTAAGAGAAGGTAATATTATTTCCTTTTTAAGATAGGGAGAGAAAGGTTATAATTTTTTTCTTCAATAAAATTATTTTTTTTATCTATTTTCGGTATTTTTTTTTAATTATGTATGCTTATCCTTTTCTCTCATTTTAACCATAATTATTTCATATCATGCTTTCTTACAACTTTCCGCTACTGTAATTTTTTTAAAGAACAGATCATATAATCTTCGTATCATCAACCAAGAAAAAATGTTTTTACTATTTTGTCATAAATCTTTTTATTATTATTCTTTTCAAAAATCGAAGTCAACATTCTAGAAACTAATTAGATTCTTGAGATCATCGAAGTGAAGATTTAACTTATCTTGTACCTTTAAATTGAAAACAGGGTGTTATTAAGTCAATAAAAATAAAAACTCGCAATTGATTTTGATTTTGAACCCTATAAATAAATAAATATATATATATATATATATATATATATATATATAAGGGTATTTTTTTAGAGTCATTTATTCCACAGAAAAAAAAATTATTTTCAATACCAATAATGTTTTTAGTATGAAATTGTTGAGATCTCACCTAAAGACGTGACTAATTTCAATATAGAAATATATAACATTCATAATTTAAGTATTTTTGTAGATCTAAATTATACCTGAATCTAAATTTTAAGATAATATCAAATATTATCTTAATGATTATTTCCACATGTTGAGTTACTCTGTTCTTAATTATCATTCAACTAGTTATATATGTTTATTCATACAAATTTTTAAACTCAAGATATATATATATATATATATATATATATATATATATATATATATATATATATTTTAGTGAGATAGTCGTTAACTTATAAATAATTTTTGAAGGATTGAGTTAGATTTAAATATAAATTTTAAGAAAAAAAAACTTATTTCTAACATTTTCAAGCATTTACATGGGGTCAACGAATTAGAAGTGTTAGATGAATATTTAACTACTCAAATCTCCAATGCATATTCTAAGTCTAATTTCTAGAATGTGAAAGATCTTATTTTCATCAAAAGGTTCTAATTTCTTAACAGCATGAATGTCTGAAACCGTGAAGGAAATCCAAATCTATTTCCTCACACAATTTTTTATTTTTTATTTTTAATTTCCCTTCTTATTTAACAACATATGAGAAGTTGCTAGAATGTATGGGTATTGATTTTATTATCCAACATACTTATGTTGTCATTTTTCTTTTGACTAAAGAAGATGATTGGTTGACACAAACATTTTCATCTTTTTTATTGCATACTTTCATCATGAGAGATGAACCAAAGTTCATTGCCATGATCTACACTAATTCCAGGCCAAAGAGAATAATGCAAAAGCAGTGTTTTATAAACTTATAAACCTTGATGGCCAAATGATCTTTAGCTACCACACAATATAATTTAGAGTGTTCAATGAACTTTACTTCATAATCATGGTCTAAAATAAGTTGCTAAGTTACTAGATATTATTGTTATTAGAAAAGGATATATATAATTCATGAACTTTAACTATGAAATAAGGCACAACATTAATGAGGGATTGCTTTTCTGGTTCAATTAACATGTTTGCTATGTCCCAGTACAAAGAAACTCACAACTCATATAACATACATAAAGCAAAGTTTGCTGGACTTTTCTTATTATGAACACCTTGTTGGGACAATGAAACAACACCAAAGTCACCTTTTTTCTCATTTTGTTAGAGAACTTGTTGAAAAGTATTAGAATTTGTGCATTCATGACTTTTATTTAAAGGCATGGACCACCATGATCAGGCTTTTAAATTCTCATTTCTCAAGTCAAAAACGTGCTCACATCAAGTACATTGGGGCCAAATTTGTGCATAAAAATTATAGCAAATTATAATAGGAAGCTCTCCTATGTTATTTACTCACCTCAATTTCTTTTACCCTTAAAAAAATTTGAATGGCAACTATATGTTAGCATTGCATGGTATTTTATATGATAGGTCACTATTATTTCTGAAATTACACATAAAAAATTTAACCCCTTCCACAAATTATGCTATCCAAGACTATGATTGAAAGTAGAAAACATACAAAGAAAACTTCAAAAGTAGTGTTTTCACATAATTCATATTGTCAGAGCTAGCTCATTATGAGTATGCAGTGATATGCATTGTGCAAAGAAATTTCAATGTTTGAGTTACAAGAAAGTGAGACTTTTAATTATGTTACGATTAGACTAAGACACAAATAATGAATTCAAGAAAGAAGCTAGGGATGTGGCCAAACAATAAAGGTGATTAAACACAGATGGCATGTTTTCATTAAAATAATAACTAATGGGGACTCGTGTTGACTCTAAAACCACACATTTAAAAGAGAAACATTTAGTTGCCATATTTCTCACCGATATGTTTTCATGCTTGATTTGGTTGTGACCTTCATCATTTTCTTTTGTAGAAGAAATAAATAAATAAAACTATTCCCTTTTTCATGATTAGCAATACTTTGGCTTAAGAAATATCTACAGCTTTTAGTTCAATGAATGCTAAAATTTGAGTGTGAGAGTGATGTTTGAGCTTGAATCTTTTGCAAATACCACATTTAGATTAAAAATAAGATAAGTTTTTCATCTTTTATAGTTACTTATAAAAATGTTAGATGCTTTCTCATAAACTAGCATTACTATAATATAAGAATATCTTTGTTTATTGAACTCAAATTGTCCCCTTTCATTTTCAGTTCTAACTGCCAGGGCCATTTCCATGTCCCCCCTGCTCCTTCCAGGGGGAATGGAAGGTAGAAAATCAAATGGCATTTTACTGACTTTGACTAAACCAAACATTTGAAATGGAACGTAGCATTTGATAAAATTGACAGTAGCAACAGAAAAGAGACAAGAGAGACCCCATGGAGTTGAATGGAGTTTGCCTTTTGAGTAACCACAAGTCATCCAAGGAGGCTAGTTTCATTGGCCACATCATTACAACAAGACTCATTCTTGTGGCTTTCCCAATGCAAACTTCTCTCACATTATTATGACCATGTATTATATATATATATACACATATGGTGCTCAGTGGTAAAACACATTGATAACAAGCAAAGAGTTGAGGCAAACCCCACCCAAAGGACAAAACTCTCAGTTGGGGAATCATCTACTTGCTTAAAAGTTTGGAATATCCAAAAGGGTATGGATGTCAGTGGGATTTCATCTCCTTCTAATCAGCATTGCCTCTGCCTTGGGTAACTAAGTCATTCTGTTTCTTCATGCAACATAAGTGACTAGGTGTAGCATGCTTTATGAAAAGGTTAGTTTCTTGAAGTGGCCTAACTTTCTTAGTACTGATATGACTATGCTTGAGAAATATCCTTGATTGCACTTTACATGTGGTGTTTTTCATTCTTTTACTTTTTTATAAATAAAAAATATCACTGTTCATGTTATATTTCAGTTCTCTTGGGCCAATAACTGATTGTTACTGAAAATGAAAGTTGATCAGTGGCAGTTTTGGCCTTGTTAGGGTAGCTTTCTTTTAAGTTGACAAATGAATAGAACAGCTAGGTGAGAAAATAAAATAGAATGAGATGACTAAAGCATCTTAATTATTTATTGGGAATTTTGAAACATGTATTTTAAATCTCTAAATTTGACTCTTGGCTCTCCCCCCCCATTTTCTTCAAGATCATATATAGGATGTGCTTGAGGAGTAGAAATGTTTTCTGAAGAATTCAGTTTGAATGATGCCATAAATCTTCATGGAAAAGAGGAAGAGCTGGTTTGGATGGGTGAAAAGGCTATTCACTTCTGAGTCAAAGGACAACAAAGTAAGGGGTCTCCAAGAATGCATGTTTTTCGTATTTTTCAAGCTTTAACAATCATCTAACAATGGTGAAGTACTCATTTTGGTTAACGTTTCCCTTGTGTACTCTCAGAAATGGGGGTGGAGTTTTGGAAGGATTAAGCAGAAACAGTATCCTACAATTACAGCTCCAAATAGGACATTGATTGAAGCAAGTGCAGAACAGAGAAAGCATGCTTTAACTGTGGCTATTGCAACTGCAGCAGCTGCTGAAGCTGCAGTTGCTGCTGCACATGCTGCTGCTGAGGTTGTCAAACTCACAGGTGCCTCTCGTTCTTACTCATATCTTTCCAAGGGAGACAGAAGTTTAGCTGCCATCAAGATCCAAAGTGCATATCGTGCACATCTTGTAAGCTTTCTCAAAACCCTCTACTTCATCTTCAGCATTCTTCACTGAGTTGTCAATATGCTTCAAGTTTAGGTTTGTTGTTTCCAAGAGATATGCATAGACATAAAAAAACAAGAACAGTAGTTTCCAAAATTGGACAAAGTCTTCTTTTCTATTCCTTTCAGTATCACACTTGTCCATTTTGGTGGGAAGAGATGGACAAACTGAATGAAAAAGGGTAATTGTGTGCAGTAATTAGAATTACTCTGTATTCTGCTTCCATACGCATTACTAGCTTTGTAGTGATTTTCAGTTAAGATTGATTTTAGAACTGCAGGAATTTGCAGCCAAATATCCTGTTCAATCATATACATAGATAAGTGATGATGCTTTTTAATTTGGTCCTAATTTACTTTTTCTTTTTCTACAGAGAATTTGAGTTTAGTTTCAGTTTTGATCAATTTGATTCTCTTTTCTCAAATGTATTCACTCAAATCAAACTACTATGAATGAACTCACCAAAGAGTTAAACAATTTTAAACTCATGAACTAGAAACTGGGAATGTAACAGGCTAGGAAAGCATTAAGAGCATTGAAGGGAGTTATAAGACTGCAAGCCATAATTCGTGGTCAGGCTGCAAGACGTCAAGTGTCAAACACTTTACAGAATTTTCCCTCCAATGCAAGAAATCAGGTGGAAATTCTGGAAAGAAGCAGCCATACTGCTGAACATATGCAGCAAAGTCCAAAGCAAAAGAAAAAGTTAGAAGAGAAGGAACTGAAGGTAAATTGTGACATTTATTCAAGCAGAAGAGAAACTAATGAGAAACACAACCCAAAAGAATGAGGAAATGGATCAAGAAATCAATAGAACATTGATTTCTATTATTTACTTTGTGTTAGTGGTTCAATTGAAAGTTTAATATATCTCCTGATTCCCTGCTCAAACTTCAGGATTTCCCTCCCAATTCATTTGACTTTGTGCATATGTTAGTTAGGTTGAATAGCTTTGACTTTAGATATCACAAGCCAATAAACAAAGTTTCTACTGAGTTTGAAATATTCCCATGATTAATCCACTAAGAATTTTGGTGCAGTGTGAAGGCTATAGTCAAAGAACATGGGATTGTAGCTTGCTATCAAGAGAAGACATTGAAGCGATATGGCTTAGAAAACATGAGGCAACGGTCAAAAGAGAGCGCATGAAACAGTACTCTTCTTCACAAAGGGTAACACGAATCTCAATTAAATTTTCTTTCCCCCCATAAACATGGTATGGACCACACATGATCCCAAAGCTAACAACCAAAGACTAATTTGTGTTCGCAGGAATGTTTTGCTGAACAAACATTATTTTAATTAACACATTCCCAAAACCTCAATTTAATTTGGTATTTATTTCTAGGACATTAGTATAATAATGATGCGTGTATCTTTTGCAGGAAAGAAAAAATCCCCAAATGGTGGAAGAATCTGTGCACAGCATGAACTTTGGAAGAGAGGGCTGTCGAACACTGGGAGAGTGGCTGCACAAAGAAACATGTGATTGGAATGTGATCCATAAGCCAACTCTTCCTTCAAACTTGATGACAACAAAACAAGAATTGCAAGAAGGATTGAGTCCAAAAATTTCAATCCCAAGGAAATCATTTTCTCTTGTAAAAAGAAGTTTAAATGGGGATGAGAGTTTCATGTCAAATTCTCCAGTTTTTCCTACATACATGGCTGTTACTGAATCAAGCAAAGCAAAGATGAGGTCTATTAGCACACCAAAGCAAAGAACAGGAATCTTGGATATATGCTCCAATCAGAATGAACCTCAAAATGAAGGAATCTCCTTTTACTCTTCTTATTATGGTTCAACTAGTAGTACCAATGAAAACAATGCAAGTTACCAACAAAGATGCTAGAGTGCAAATAGGCTTTGTTATCACCATAAGATGCGCAATCTGGTTCAATGCATGATTTGCTGAGTTCATCAGAATTATGAAGGGAAAACTAAGTTTATATTATGTTTGGTTCTTCACATCTTGCAAATCTTCACATACATGCATGCATGAAGTGTTTTTTGTCTGATTGTTACAAATATTGTTTTTCTGGTTTTGGAGATGAAAATTTCACTACTTACTATAGAGTATACACTGTAAAATTGTATACATATTTTATTTCATCTTTATGTTATTCTTCATTTATATATCGAAGTTTGCTGTCACAGAAAATGCAGCTGATAAGTATGATGGATTGTAATGAAGAAATATTTCATGCACAACAACCTTTTATGATGTAAATCATCATCAAATTTATATTTTAAAATTTTAATGGTTTTTAAAACAACATTTGTTCAATTAAAAATTAACTAAGTATTCTCTTTAATTAATGTAATCGTATTTAATATACTACTAATTATTTAAAATTAATATTTTTACTCTAATAGTATATTTTAGAAACTAAATATAAATATCAGAATAAATTATTTAAATGAATCCGTGCAGGGTTTAAAGAGGAGACTTGACCAATCAAAATTTCAATTTTGTATCAACAGCCAGATGTAAAATTTAATATTTTTTATTTCATTTTATTCCAATCTTAAATGTTTCATATATATATATATATATATATATATATATATATATATATATATATATATATATATATCAATAAATCCTAATTATTATAATGATGCATTTTGACATGTTAAAAAATAAAATATAAAGTTTAATGTCATTTCATAGGAAAGGACTCAATACCTATATCACGTTCCCTTAAGTGTTAATAGAATAAAATATTTATTATTAAATATTAATGAAATGGTGAAAAGTTATTTATCATTAATGTAATATAATAATTAAAAAAATAAAATATAAAAAATTATCATAGTAACAACTAATAATATAATTTACAATAAGTTATTTTTAAATTGTAATAATAAACATAAAATTGTTATAATTTTAGAACGATAAAATCAAATATCGTCTTAATCATCCATAAAACTTGTAATATCCATTCATATAATAAAATAATGTTAAGACAGAACATTTCTTTGCATCTTTGATAATCTAAACATGCATGCATTCAATATTTGGGTTAGACTAAATATGTTAGGGACCAATTCTTCAGTGGTTAATAAACATTTATCTGATACATTTTCAACTGCGTAATCAAACATGCACGCAGATATTTGCTTTTGTTAAGTATAAAATACCTTATTTTCTTAATTTATTAAAATTCAACAATAAACATGTTCACACAGGGTCAATTTTAGACAAATGTTTGTTTATGTGACAAGTCATTTTCTTAGACAACAGTGGAATAATACGTGCGACCAAATCAAAAACAGTTCGTATGTCAGAAAATAATTTATTATTTTTTCTTATTTGACTAGAGTGGAAGTATTGTATTGGTATCATGTGATTATGTGGTTTGACTTGGTGATGAGAGTTATGAATGTGAAAAATTCGTTTTGTGAGAAGAAAAATGGTTATCAGATATGGCATGGGTGAAAGAGAAAGAGTGAGTATAAAAGGGGGAAAATGATGAAGAAGTTGAATGAGTTGAAGTGAAGGGTGTTGAAGAATTGGCAAAAGAATGGGAGGGGAAGTGAAGGTGAAGGTGATTGGTACACCACAAAGCTTCCCTTGTGCCAGGGTTGAGTGGGCTTTGAGGATAAAGGGTGTGGAATATGAGTACTTGAAAGAAGACTTGGCAAATAAGAGTCCCTTGCTTCTTCAGTCTAACCCTGTCCACAAGAAAGTCCCAGTTTTCCTTCACAATGACAACCCGATTGCTGAATCACTTGTCATTCTTGAGTACATAGATGAGACATGGAAGGAGAACCCTTTGCTTCCACTTGATCCTTATGAGAGAGCACAGGCTCGCTTCTGGGCCAGGTTTATTGATGAGAAGGTACCACCAACACAATTCATTACCCTTCTTCTCCTTTACTTTGTGGCAACATGGTTTTATTCTAGTCATGGTGTTTCTAAAATATGGTGAATTTGGTCTTTCACCAAGTTCTTTGTGTTTTGCTTTGTTGAGAACCATGTTTTTCATTTAGATTGATGTGAGTAATTTTGTTGGAAACAGTGTGTGTATGGTGTATGGGAAGCAGCAGTGGCCCAGGGAGAAGAGAAGGGAAAGGCTGTGGATGCTGCATTGGAGTTAGTGTCATATATTGAGAAGGAAATTGAAGGGAAGAAGTATTTTGGTGGAGAGAAGATTGGTTATCTTGACATAGCAGCTGGGTGGATGTGTCATTGGCTGAATGTGATGGAAGAGCTTGGAGAGATGGAACTTCTCAATGCTCACAGGTTTCCATCTCTTCATCAATGGAGTCACAACTTCATTCAGACTTCACCTGTCAAAGATTGCATTCCATCCAGAGAAAGTGTTGTTCAATATTTCAGTTTTGGCATCAACTACATGCGTTCCTTAGCATCCAACAAATCTTGAATGCATCGTTTATGATTTGTTCACAATTTTGTTTGTATTATTGGGATTGAATTTTCCTTCATATGGTGTTGGTTATGCTATCATTTGTAGTTGTGTGTGAAAAGTGTAATCAATTTTATTTGCAGTGTGGTTCCTTTGATAATGCAATTATTGGTAATTTAGCATTTGATGTATTGATTTTAAAATAATAATGAATATTACATTTACATCTTTAAAAAGTTATAATCATAGCTCATAAATTTTATTATAATGACTTAATTTACTAATGTTAAAATTGAAATTGTTGTCAAATTTAGTAATAATATATAAATCATGAAACAGAAAATATAGCATTGATATCTAAGTTAATCATTTCTTATCAAATTAGTATTCTAGTAGTTTTATCTTAAAATATATTAAGAATACAAGTGCGAAAATTTGATATTTATAACAAATAAAAAGCTTCATTTGTTTAGGAGAAAAAAATCATAACTTTAACTTCTTAAAGTTTGAAACTAAAAATAGTTTTATATTTTTTTTATATAATTTATTCATGTTTCATTAATAAAAAATTTGTATTAATTTCTTAAAAATATCCATCAAAATATAATTGATTCATGTTTTATTAGTGAAATTTTTATATTAATTCCTTAAAAATATCCATCATTCACGTGATAAATTAATCTTAAACTTTTCCTTTATTAAATTTGTATAAATATTATATTTTTTTTAATTGTTTATCTCTTTTATCTTTTCATCTTTATTTCTAAATTAAATTTGACATTTTTAAAAATATAAATATTAATTATATATATATATATATATAATTTATAGTACTATAGTATTGTGATATGATTTATTATAAAATTTATTATGTATAAAATATAATGTTGATCTCTAAAAAAATTAACATTTAGTTTTAATCCCTACAAGATTATTCCATTTTTTATTTTTATTTTGAAATGCATAGATTGTAGTATCATAAAATTATTTGAACCACTTTTATTATCTTTATAAAAGATTATTATCTAGACCACTTTTAAGATGAAGATCCAAATGTGTAGATTTTCAAAAACAATGAAAAAAAATATAAAAGTTATCCGCTTCATTTTTATCCGTAAAAAATAAAATAAGATGGACAGATCCACCATCGCCAAGATGGGTTACAAACCACAATCCATCTATTTTACAAATATAAATTATGATGTTAATAATATATTTATATACTTTAATAATATAAAAAATATAATTTTTTTAATTATAATTTTTTTATTTTAATTTTAATATATAAATATATTTTTAAAACAAACAGTAAACTAATCCATCCCGCCAAATCAATAGACTAGGTGACTAAAACAGAGTAACAAACTAAACTTACGTAATTTTGAACTGATAAGAAACATATTTTATAAGATAAGAAATAAACCGTTAAAACTATATACAGATAAATATATAAAAGAAAATGATTTGAAAATTATCTTTTTATACAATTAATAAATCAAACTAACAAATTACAAAATGTTTAATTATAATTGTTAACTGTTATTCAATTATTATTTTCTTTAAAACATAGCTAAAATTTTAAATATTTTAATTAAAAATATATATTAAACTTACTCAATACAAATTTTATATTATATACACACATCATTGTATATATTATACAAAAATTATATTATTACATTTTATACATTAATTAGAATAGATTCTATGTAAATATTACTCGTAAAAACATTATATTTATTATATACATGCATATGTATATATAGTAAGGGCGTGCCCTCACGATCGACGGTAAGATAAAATCATTGCATCATGAAACACACCAAACAGCTAATTTACAAAGAAATATAATAGTCTAAGTGCATATTTATAAATATAAGTTGTGTAGCAGCAACGTTATTGTGTATAAACCATGCTTCTACAATGTTTAAAGTAATAGAACTATACAAGTAACCCATAAAAAAATTATTGAATATCCATCAATTTAGTTCCCCGTTAATATATTAATAGAGGAATAATTTGAATGATTTTTTTCAATACTTCGAACTATATAACATGATTTCTAATACTTTAGGAACTGCTTATATAATTTCATCACTAAAAGACTTCAGGAAAGAGGGTATTAGTTTTACGTACCATATAGATGGTTTATTCAACAGATATTGGAAGAGACAATTGAAAATGAAGAGAAAAAATTGAGTAATTTCTGAAGGAAAAGACGAAGAACAAATATGACTGTAGCTGCGATGGTAAGTGAGGAAGTTAATGGCAAACATTTTAACAAAATGGTTATCAATACTACTACTTGTTTGGATCCACAAGTAACATCAGTAGAATCTACTCCAAGAGCTATGCAGCCCATAAATTTGAATTCTAATCCAAAATAAATAAAACCAAAAACAAAATGATGCATCCGGAAAGACAAAACAAATACTCTCATCAATCTACCTACAGAATTATCGGGCTGCTTGACCTTGTGCATGTTCCAGAAGTTGACTAACCAACTTGTAGGTGCGCCCGTTAAGGGCCTTGGTATGATCTATCAGTTGCTCATAACTGCAGAGGTAGTGTTAAAAATTAATGGTATTAAAAAAGATGGCACACATGTAGAGAAAGGAGTCAACATGACTGAACCAGAATAATAGTACAACAATACAAGAGGAAGTAATAAAAGCCCTTGTTAAGCAAGTTAGTGATCAATATTAACTTACACGTTTGGATGATTAGGTTCCATGATAACGGTTCCAGTGTGAGAGTCAATTTTGGCATCAAGCTTTGAGCTACGGATGAGATTAACAATCCATCTCTCAGCCTCCTCATAATTCAAATTTAACTTCTCAGCAAGCACTCTGAAAAAAATAACAGAAGTGAGCAACCCAATCTTAGAAATTTTGGTTCATGGAAGAGTAGACCAGACCACAGGAAATTGTGGAGAGAAGCAATTGCAGACAGAAAATATAACCATATAACAAAAAAAAATATTGAGCTATATTGTGTTTCCAAATATGCACAATTGTGGCATGTCAGAAAACTATAAAGCCAAAGAGATATAGCTGTTACTTCCTTCTTATTTTAGAAGAGTGCATACCCCATGTCAATGCGTTGATGTATTCTACAGTATGTCTCAAAGATAAATAGCCTTGCATTTTCAAGGAACTCATCCCTTAGCGGTACAGTTGAAAAGTTGCTGTCTTCAACCCTTTTACCAAGGAATGGATCATTGAGAATTACCTGCATTTTGAAAAATAGTAAGCTTAATATAATCAAGCCACATGAGTATAGGCCATGAACTGATATCTTATTCGAATAAAGGGAAACTGAAGAAGCCACATGAGTTACATCATTCCTATAGTTGAAATATATTAGCTAGCGAAAAGAAACCAAGCTTACTTCTTCACATTCCCTCATCTTCTTTTGTGCCCCATCAAAGTCATAGTTGACATAAACACAAGCCAAAAACTCAGTGATGGGATCTTTATATGAATGCTGCTCTTGTTGAATAACTTTAATAAAATCTTTGAATTGCGGCCTCCTCCTCTTGTTAACAATGAAAGCTGTGGCCAAGTAACGTAAAAGGTGTGGAGCACTAGTTTGGATGGCATTTAGATACCTGAAAATTACATCATAATTAGATGAAGCAATATTTCAAATATAATCCCAGAAGAGACAGCAATAAAGCAGCCCCAAAGAAAGGAAGCAATTGATGACTTAGACAAAGATTAATCATAAAAGTAAAGCATGAAAAATATCCTACAAGTAATCTACAGAATCCTAGGAAAGGACAGGTATGGCATACTTGTCCTGATTGAACAGATCAATTATTTGTGTTCTCCCATTGTCATGATTAAAAAAGATGAACAGACTCCAATGCATCAGCCATATTCTGCTCTGCACCTGGTTCAAAGGCGATGCAAAATTCTGCAACAAAGTTATCCAGTTTATATTAATATACCAAGCATAACAAACAATTACATGCATCCACTCCAAAAATAAACTGACAAACAAGAACAACCTTCGAATCAATGATCTCCTTCAAACGATTGAGCTCTTCAAGAGCAATATCCCAGTTCTGCATCAAAATTTCAGCAGCCAGCTTCCCCCACAATGCACTCAAACTCCTTTCACTATTTGTGCACAAAGCTCTGTACTGATAAAGATAGTCAGCAGCACCAGAGTAGTTCCCACACTCAAACTGAAATTTGGCATATTGGTAAAGTGCCTCAATTTGTGCAGGACCAATCTGTTCCAGCAAACACATTATTTAACCAGTCAGTCAGAAAACACCACAAAATTTAAACTTCAAAACTGCGACAAATCTTATAAGAAACTCTAAAATACAGCAGCAAACAACTAAACACAACATAGTGCTTAAATAAAATAAGGAAACAAACAATGCAATCACATTTCCAGGATAGAATCTCAGTCAAAAGCTAAAAAGAGATAAATAATTAAAAAATGTGTAGTCCAATTACCTTCGACATTTTCTAAAGCTTACTAGTATGATAACCTTATGGTTAATTAGCACCTCCTATCATACCATCCAAAGGTGCGAAAAATAACTTTATAATCTGCTCCAAAGATTCCAGTCCTAATTTACCAACCCCGACAAGCAATAAAATCCTTCAAAATAAATAAAAAAATTCATCCAAACACAATTAATAATCAAAGGCGTACCAAATGCTATAAAACAATATTCAACTGTTTTGCAACACTCTTATACAGGGTGCTTCAGATCCTTATTAGAAATGACACTTTTCAAGCTTATTCATATAATTACATCACTAAACACCTTAACAGCAAATAGTATTTCCAATCCTACTACTGCAAGCCAAAGCTAACCTATTACTACCAAAAACATCCTTAACAATTGGCTCTCAACATTCCAGTCCTAATCCGCCAAACCAATTCTTATCCAAACACCACTAATTAAAGCCATGTTTAAAACCCAATTGTTTTGCAGAGATACCAAGGTATGTGAGAACAGATCATTATTTTGCTTCAAACCTGATATCGATCATTAAGCATCTGGAGGTTATACTGCTTGTCGGAGCGGAGCTCCTGCACTGCGGCCGCGTTCTGGAGGAAGGCGACAAGGGGAGCGGCGCCCTCCTCGAGGGACTTAAGGCGGGCGACAACCTCAGCTCGGCGCTCAACCATGTCATGCGGAACATCCTCGGTATGGTAGAGGCTCTTATGGATGTCCATGGCGTAATCAACCATGTTAGTGTTGTTGAGAAGGTCGATCTTCGCCTTCAGGATGTGGTCGTCGTCATACAGCTGGCGTTCCTGCAAAAACTCCAGAAGAGGGAACACCAAGTGCCTGTCGAGGTTCGGCGCCATCCGCGGGGTAAGGTCGTAATCAGCCATTCTTCTCCACACTTCGGATTCGATACTCAAGTCGTACTTCTTCTGTTAGGACACACGCAAACACCGATTCAATACAATAATATCTTTGTGATGTGTTTCGATTAAACGGTGAAGTGTTTTGTGTGCGACGGCGGTGGATTAGCGAAAACCTACCTGCTGCTGCGGCGTCGAGTGGAGATAGGGCTCCGACAGAGGCAGGATGCAGAGACGCAACACTCAGGATTCGAGAATAGGGTTTTAAAACAAGAGAACGAAAACGGTGTCGTTGAAGGCATTGATAGAATGAGATAAAAATGTCCCATATGTCGTGTGGAAAAATAGTTTGCTGATCAATAACAGTAAACTGTGGGGTTATACTTTATTGGGCTTTGGACTGTAAATATTTTGGGCTTTCTTTTTTATATGAAAGTGGTATATATTTTTAGATTGAATAGGTATTAGGAATTTAAGTTTAACTAAAGGTTATGAGTAAAATAGTACAAGATTTTGATATTAAATATGAGCATTATTTTTGAAGTAAGAATAAATTAGGGAGATGATAATTTTTTTTTTAACTGAGAAGAAAATAATGAAAAAAAAATTCTAAATCATGTTATCGTATATTGTGTAAAAATAATTTTAAATAATAATCATCATGACATTCCTCTAAAACTCACAATTTTAAGAATAATAATTTCATACAATATTTTGTGCTAATAGCATGATCGTCAAAATTTCTACCATTTCATCATTAGAATAAATGAAAAAAAAAACTGTATTTTTATTTTGATAACAAGTATTTTCTACTAAAGCAATTTCTTATAAATATTGGAGTATGAAGTATAAAACTGTCCCTTTGAAAATGTAACGTTACTACATACTTTAAAAATAAAAATCATTAATTAAATTAAAAATATTCACACCTATCAATCCCCATAGTGTAATATATATATAATAACTTTTTCTTTTCAAATAAATTAATCTTAGGAATCTTCAAAATTTTTATTAATGACATAACATTTTCTCCGAATAAATTTTTCTACAACAATTAGGTGAGAATTATTGGCATATTTCAAAATATAATTTTAAAAATTATTCTTGTTTCCTAAATTTGTAAAAGATGATAAAATTATATGGTAAAAATTATAAACTAAAAAATTTTTAAATATATTTTTATTTTACTTCTAATAAAAATCCATTTTTCTTTCATTTCTTAAAAGTTTTTAATTATTTATATATCTTAAGAGTGAGTGAATTAGAGATTCAATATTTTTTTCTTAATTCAAATTTTTTAAAATTAAAATTATTTTTTTTATTTACAAAAATTATTGTAGGTTAAAATTTGTTCATTTTTTACATTAATTGAATTATGATTTTAGTTTTTATAATAATTCCTGTAAAATTTTTAATAATATCATCGTAATTATGAACGAATTTTTACTATAGTCCTAGTAATTTTGATGATATTGTTCCTTCTAAATTTGCAAATAAATGATTTTTTACACCTAGTATTATTTGTTGATTGCCTTTAACAAATATCAACAATTTTTTAACCCTCTAAAAATGATTTGCAAACATTAATCTGCAAATGTTTTTCATACAATGTCAATATTTAGCCCTATAAAAATATCTTAAAATATAATAAAATAAATATTATTTGTTTATCTTAAAGTCAATTTTAGAGAAAAAAATACTGATTTTGTTTTATTTTTTATATGAAAATAAAAAAATAATTTATACAAGCACTAAAGCAATTATATAAAGGCTAATAAATAACGTTCATTTGAGAAATAAAATACTTTTTAAGAATATCACATGTTAGCACTGTACCATACATATTAATAATTATTAATATATGAAATTGTCATTTGAAATTTCACTAAGTAAATAAGATGTTAAGTTAAACATAAGGGGAAAAAAAACTTTTTTTAACAATGAATATGAAATTTTTTACAGAGACAAAGATCAAAAGACATTACTTTCATAGAGATTAATTTTATAGAAGACATTAACTAAGAATTCCAAGAATTCTTAACCCTTAAAAGAAAATTAGACATTTATCTTCTAAATAATTATACCCTAATCATTATCCGGTCATGGATTTAGCGGTAGGAGGGAATCTCATTTTCCTGACTTCATTCAGAAACAGCAGCACCCAAAGGAAATTTAAGAACAAGCTGAAAACTATTTATAAAGTAAACAACAGGAACACTAACATATATAAAGGCAGACAATAGTAAAGTAATTGGACCACACATTTTCAAACCAAATACAGCTCCTTTTACAACCACACACCATGACTTTCCTAGGCTACTAGGAATGGCAGGACTGTCAGCATAAACGATTCATAGGAGAAGGTTGCAGAGCCAGAATATGTAGTATCCTTCTCTTTGAATTTGTCAGTTAGTCCCTGCAATAGGAAATAGGAAAAATAAATACAAATAAACGCATCACCTTGATTTCACAAGTTTTCAACACAAACAGTCATTAAGAAGAATTTATGGTTCACACTAAGAAATAGGACCAGGTTGAATATGGTTCATGAATCACCAAAATAACACAATAAATTTCACCAAAGGATCATGTGCGCTTTTACAAACCTTACTATCTCAGAGTCAAGTCAACTATCTAAGAAATAAAGTAATGCAGGGTACAATTGCGAAGTAACTTCAACTTTTGCATGCAGCTCATGTCTATGCCTATGATAAAAGTTATAAAACTTAACCAAGGCATACCAAATATTATCACTGTTAATTTTTTATTAATCAAGATTAACAAAAAAGTATTGTCAATAAACTAGCAAATTCTAAAAGGTTCTATATGGTTGAGTAAATATGCATGCAGTTCAATAAAGAGTATCCGGTGCTAAGTTATCGAAGGACCGCTATCACTAAGATAGTCATTTTGCTCATGTTAATTTGGGATTGAGTATCAGATTAACAGTAAGATGTAATATTATTTTGCATTAACGGATAAAATAATAATTAAGTCACAGCGATATGGTAGCTTACCTTGACAGTAAGGCAACACCTGCATCAATAAACAAGGAAAGAAATCAGTTTATAAATTCATTTTACACACACAACACAAGGAAAAAGTAAACATAATGCTGTTATTGTACAAGGACGACTTTCTTCTCATTCTTTTCTGGCCTAGGAAAGCAAAACATTAACAAAAACGAAATAGAAAAGGATCCTTTAAATGGATACGCTTTCTCCAAAGCCAAACAACTTATTTTATATTATAAAGTAAACAATCTCGTCATCATAAAATTAATAGTTGAAATTATAGACATATACATAACGATTATCATGAATTTATTGGAATATTAACTGTTAATTTTCTCCTCAACACTATAATTATTTATTTTATCCATACTTCAGATAAGCTAAATCTCGTTGTCATGGTATACACAATATTTTATCCAAAATAAATAAGACACAGATTTGTATAGAAAAGCCGTACTCGATGAAATTGTCATATTCAATAGCCTTGCTTTTTCCCCCGGTTTTGTCAAACTTTGAGACGAGCAAATCCAATACAACAGGAGAAACAGCATAACCCAGACTCAGTAAAGCATCTCGCAACTCGAAGGAGTCGATTTTGCCACTTCTGTCCTTGTCAAATCTCTCAAAAATGGACTGCAACAATAATCGATAAGTTAGAAGAACAAAGTTCCAAAAAAGAAGGACAGAATAATTGGCAAACTTGACAATCAAGATTAACAAGGAATAAAATAGAAAGAGAAAAGGACATACCCTCCAGTTCTGAAGACTGTAAAATAAAGATGTGAATTCCTTGGGTCCTGCAATGCATTATGACGAAGTAAAAAATTCAGACACTTCCTTTATGTTTTTTTAGGTAATCATATTATAATTAGTCCGATATATTTATAAAATAATATTTATTATCTATAACAGGAGTGACGTTAACAATGCTGGTCCATCTCTTTACTTGCTATAGTCTCAAATAATTGATTATGAACACTTTATATAAATCTCAGATAGACTAGTGATTTTAAATAATTTTACACCAACTTGCGCTTAACATAATTTATTCAAGAAGCAGGGCACATCATTTTTCAAAACAAATCCTTACCGTCAACATTCAATTCAACACTACAAAATCAATTTTTAACAGGTGAGACCAGCAATTTTTCAGAAACAATACTTAGATCAAATTTAAAAAACAATTTTAAAATATAATCATCCAGAAGTTAGTTCGACTAAAAGAAGTCGTGACATAGGGTCATTACAGCCTCGTCAAGTTAACATATTAAAACCAATTTTTTAACATTAATTGTTTTACACTTTTCCTAATATGAATTTAACCGTAATACCTGAGTTTATAAGATCTATTCCTTTGCCGTAAAAGAAAAAAAAAACTTCTTACTCTATTATTATCTTTTGTTCTAAAAAATTATTGAAGATAACAGTACTTATTTTTCCATCAATTATACCCTTAGATCTTATCAGCTTTTTTTTTTTTTTAATGGTAGTACTAGTGCAAAAGAGGACTTTTTACTTTGGACATAAACACACCAAACTTTAAAAAAATAAAAAAATAATTATAAAAAAAAATTGCGGTAACATTTCTGTCAATAAGGGACACAACTTTTACGTCAGCCCTTGTGAAATCTGACATACAAGTCGTGTTTTATTTTCACCCATTATTAGTGAAGAGTACGAAAAGGGAGTTGATGAATTCTTAAAATTTGTTGGTGAAAATGAAAATCCTATCAAAGGAACATATTATTATCCATGCATCCGTTGTTTGGATGAGAGTCATAGTTTGTGCAAGTATGACTATTTCTTGTTCAAAAGTAATTGCTTTCAACATTTGTAAAGTTATTTTACTTTTATGCGTATTACATGTTAATAAGAGTCAAATTAATGGTTCAGTTATTTCAAAATCCATCTCCATTATCAGAACATGGACAAGATTTTTCGTTCAAAATTTGTAATATTTAATTTGTAGATTATTGTTTGTATTATATTGTATCATGTAGTTTAGCATTTAGGTAACTTAGTTTTTGTACTAGTTTAGTCTTTGTATTAGTTTTGTTTTATAATATTTCGCTAGTTTTTGTACTAGTTTAGTCTTTGTATTAGTTTTGTTTTGTAATATTTCACTTTTAAGTAGTTTAGTTTTTGTACTAGTTTGACTTTTATAGTTTGTATTATATTATATTGTAATATTTTGTATTATATTGTTGTATTTAGAATTATTGTCTATTGAAAATCTAGAATCTAGATTATTTATGGTTAAATTTTTTACTCTGTCTATTGAAAATCTATAATCTAAACTATCTATGATTAAATTTTTTACTCTTCTTAGGCAGTTGAAAATAAAAATTAGAATATCAAGTCACTATTTCGTCATTCTTTTCACTATCATACAACACATGGTTTTGTTTTTTTTTTCAAATCAAGTCAATAAAATTTCTCTTTTATACAAAACTCTTGTATACAAATATAAATCACATCTATAAATATATGAACAAATAGTTTTATAAAAGTAATGCACTTGCCCAAAAAATAACTAAATAAAAGACAGAAAGAACTAATGTATATCATATTATCACTTGAGAGGAAGAGGAACTAAAAAATTGCAGACAAGGGATGGTAAAAAAAAACACAAAAAGGAAAGATAATTATTGGGAAATTCCTAAAGGAAATTTTCATTGAAAATGAAGAATTAAAAATTCATAACAAAAAAAATTTCTAAACATTTTAATTAAAAAGAACTTTTAATTTCTTATCTAGTATATGCCTTCAAAAAATTTTTTTATACGAAACTAACAAATGCAACCAATTTTGGCCTACGGCCTTTGATTCACTTTTCAAATAAAATATTGGTTTGCTTGAGAATTTTACAATCACTAACAATCAATTTTTCATAAAAAGTTTAATTAGTGACGTCTTGGTCCTCTTTTTCTGTTTTCTCCAGTGCTCCCTCATATGCATTTATAGAACAAAATTTAGAAAATAGAAATCAATCGAAGTGGTCTCTTCAAAGTATTTAGGGAATAGAGTTTTAGAAACAGAAATGCATTCGGGAGTTAAATACTTACAAATGTGCTAATAAAACAAGTAACTTTTAAAAATTAGCGAGTTGTGTTTGAAATTTGGAAACAACAAAATGTGGAAACAGTTTCCTGTTGTATCTATTTTCGTTGTTATCATTTCACAACGTACTAGTAACTTTTCATCTATACTGTAATGCAAAATACGTAAATTAATTAAAAATAATCACAAAAAGCATTTTTCATTAAAATAACAGTTAATACAACCCATATCCTAAGAGTATAGGTTAACTGATACTAATTGTCCACATTTTTGTCAACTCATTTTAGAAAAATACAAAGTATTAAACATATCTTTTCCACTCACATATATGGAAATATATAGAAAAATACAAAAAAATAACAAATATATTCTTTCCATTTCTCTTCTCTCCTAACTTGTTTTTTCTCAGTAATTGTCGTGATTAGTTTCTATATTTTTTATTTTTATTTTTAACAAAGTGCATTACTTTTATAAAATTATTTATATATATAATTATATATATGATTATGATTTACTCTTAGATGCTGGTAAGAGTAATAATTGTAAGAGATAAATATTTTATTGGTTTAGTTTAAAAAAAGATACAAAATATGTATTTTATCAATAATAACAAAACTATGAAAATGATATTCTAATTTTTATTTTCAAAAGACCTGAAAGGAATGAATGGAGAAATAAGTGTTTGGTGACAGATATTACATGTAATAGGTCATAGAAATTGAGTAAATAAGTTAATAAAATAAAAATATAATTCGAATTTGTTTTGTAATAATATATTCAAGTGAACCCTTTAATTAAAGGGCCTGTCAATGACACTAAAGAAGTACAGTATTTTAAAAACCTCCAGTGCAGTAGTGATTACTATAAAATTCTGTCAGTTTTCAGTGGTCCAACAATCAATGAAACAATTAATTAAATCAATCTATTCCAATCAATTAATTAAATTCATTTAATATTATTAAATGTTCGTTAACCATGGAAATAACAAAACCAAGCATAAAATGGATCCTTCTAGCTACCAAGTTCGTGCCCCCCACAAAAAAAGTCAGACCCCAAATTAAACTCGACGCGCAGAAAAAGTAACCACGTTACTGCATTCACATTCAAAGCACACGACACGCGTTTCGCATGCAAGTAAAACAAAACGCACAAAAATAAACAAAAACGCGTCGTTTCCCAAACACTGGCGCAGCTTAGCACCGTGCGCCGGAAAACCTCATCAGCCGCGCAATTTAGCGGAAATCCAAAAAAATTCAAGAGAGAGAGAGAGGGAGGGAAATTGGTGGTACCTATCTTCTTGACGTTGGAATTGGTGAAGTGATACATAAGAAGATGAACGGTTCTGAGGCTGAAACTTTGGTTATACGAAGACAACGCTCTCTGCATTTCCTTGTCGTCGATGAACCCGCTTCCGTCTTGATCCGCCATCTGGAAGCACGCCACAACGTTCGGGTCCGTGCCCGGGGGAAACGCCGACGGTACCAGCGCCGCGAACGGGCTCCCGTACGCCGGCGCTGCTGGATAACCTCCACCGCTGCCGCCGTGGGAGTGGGACTCTTCCTTCGGTGGTTTGCCGTAAGGAGCGGCGTAGGGAGCGGACGGCTGGCCGTAGGGGCCGGCGCCGTAGGACTGGCCGGGCGGCGGCGCGCCATAGGACTGCGAGGGCGGAGGAGCGCCGTAGGATTGCGATGGCGGAGGCGCGCCGTACCCGTAGCCGTAGCCGGGAGGCTGGTTAGGGTAGCCAGACATGTCGAAATTGAATTTGAGCTCAAAAAAATTAGAAGTTACGATTTGGCGAAGAAAACGAGAGAGTAGAGAAGCGTTTGATTTCACCTTCTTGCTTCCTTTATATTTGCAGTGGGGTTGTTGTCTTGTTGCCACTTGTGTGCACTAAATTATGTTTGTTTCTATTTTAAAATTGGAAAGCAAAATGTTTATATTTCTATATTTTTAAAATTTCAATATATTAAAAAGTTTGAACCAATCATAAAGAAGAGATGTGCGAGGGAGTGTAACGGTAATAATATTAGAAAGACTTGGGGTTGGTTAAGAAAATTCGTTTAGAAATAAGAATAAATAATTTAATATAAATATCAGTTATTTAAAAGTGAAAAAATAATTATTTATATAAATTCTTACAAATAATTTATATATAAGATTTATAATAAAATATTTAATTTTATTTTTAAACAAATATGTTAAAAACTCTTTTTAATATCCTTAACATTTTTGTTAGTTCTTTCTTATATACACTACATTTAAATTTCTTTTAATTCTCGATAAGAGGTGCATTTAGCATTACTCGGGTGCGGATAATAATACCGTTTCTTTGCCAATTTTCGATGGATTGTTGGGCTTTAAGCCCCTCTTTATGGAGGGAGAAAAAGCTTTGATTGTATTTTTCCCCATGATGCTAACTAATGGTATATCCATGCACAGCCAGTTAACTCTAACTCTTGAAAAAAAAAATTTAAATATAAATAAACTGTAAATATTTTTAATTTAGTTAATGTTTTTTAAATACCTAATTTTAATTCATAGTCTTTTGATTTGTAACCTTCTTTACATGTATTAATGCAAGATATTTTTTTTACTAGATCAATAACAAATAAAATAATATTAGAGTATTAATAGGATTTAACTTCATTATTTTTTTTTCGTGAATTTAATTTTATATATATATAAATGAAAAGAATAATTTATAAACATTCTTATAAAACTTAAAAATAATTTATATATTATATGTCTTTTAAAAAACATAATTCTTTAATGGTATGAGACTCCGGTCTTATTGTAAACCATTGAATAGAAAAAGGTTACACCGGTCAATCAAAATGAAAAGTTCACAATGGTTAAGGAGACTGAATTGTTGCACTTGCATAGCACTTAATCATAAGTTAATAATAGACTCATCAATGGACAATTTCAAGGCTCCTAGTGAAAAAGGGTTGTCCCATACTTATACTAATACATCAAAATATGAGTTTTCACTTTCAATATTTAGTGACATTTGTAGTCAACCCAAATCCAAATGGAAATAGTGGATCATAATGTTTATCACCGACATTCATTGGGAGTTGATCAACACTCTTGAACCATGTTCTTGCCAGCTTGCCAGTGAATCCATAGTCACCATAGAGAACATCAGCAACACCTTGACCTTCAGTGCCAGGAAGCCATGCAGCCACAAGTGCATCAATTTTTGATAGATATGGCTGAATCACAACTGGGCGACCACTAATGAGAACAACTACACATCGAATAGCCCCACATACATTGGTGATGGTACTTGGACCAGGCTCAGGTATAGTTAGATTCAAACTGTCACCAAATGTTTCAGCATAGGTGTGTTCTCCCACGACAACAATGGCATAGGAAAATTTGTTTGACTTGACAAAGTTCGCATCAGGATTTTCGTTGTAGACAACTTCAGTGGCAGGGTCAACAGTTTGTTTCACAGCACTAAGAATGGTTGTACCTGTAAGCAAAATGAAATTCTATTACTATTCCGCAGAAAGAAACTAGAGACCAATTATCCCAAGTGGCTAGATTAAGACTACAGAATAAGACAAGTACAGAATAGATATTTGAACAGTGATTACAAAATAAGATTTTATTATGCAATTTACTACATGAAAGTAACAAGTGAAATTCCAAAATTTATGATTTCAAGAACAGACTGAAGTAATAAAAAAATAATACTACTATACTGAACATACAGAGATTAAATAATTTGGAATTGATATTGATTTGATGTGACAGAAAATACAAAGTAATCATGCGTTCTAATAGTAATCTAGTATTAACCTCATATCCAATCTCATAACTACCCTGGTAGAGGATTCTAGATTTGTGTCTTTTCAGATTAATTTGGCAGACACCACAACAACATTAAACTTATTGACTTACCTGAAGTGAGATTCTTGTCACTAAGCCCCTGCCAGGTAATTGTCCATCCTCCACATTGATATCCCAAGTTGTCAGCATGACTTCCTGCTACCAGTATTTTTGCAGACTTTTTGGGAAGAGGAAGCAGTGGCTTCTTAGAAGATTTACCATTCTTTAGCAACACAAGGGATTTCCTTACAGCTTCTCTTGCTAACTCCCTGTGTTCCTGTTTATACATGAATTATACTCTATCAAGAAACAAACTCCTTCCATCTGAAAGAAATGCAGAAAGTATCCAGCATTTGTCTGATATCCCCAAGAAATATACCTTTTTACCCAGTTGGTTTGCCAGGCTTGGATCAGGAAGTGGGTTTTCAAATAACCCCATGACAAATTTTACTCTTAGGATTCTTGCCACGGCATCATTAATCCTGCTAATAGGGATAATATTGTTCTTTACTTGACGGGTTAGTTCATCAATGAACTCTGTGTAGTTGAAGGGAACCATAATCTGTTAAATAATGAAACAGTTAATTAAAAAAGTAACTAACAATATTAAATTATCAGGATGAAAACCCATTTTATATAACTTCATTTTACTCTTTGAAAAATGATAATAAATTGTACCATGTCAATTCCAGCACTGACACCAGCTTGAACAGAGTATGAATAGTTAGCATGAGGTGGAGAGGTAATCCGGTCAATACCCTGCCAATCAGATATGACAAAACCCTGAAAAGGTAGAAAAGAAGCACATCACATGAAGCATCTCCACTCGTCTTAATTTTCTATTTCTTTTGACTTGTTCATTTCAATATTTAAATTATAGGACTGAGTGGACAAATTTTTACCTTGAAATGCAATTTGTTCTTGAGGTAACCAGTGATAAGTTTTCGGTTAGCATGCATTTTCTTCCCGTTCCAGCTAGAGTATGAGATCATTACTGTTGAAACACCCTTGATGATAGAGTCATAGTATGCTGGCATGTGAATGCTAAGCAATCCGTTGTAACTGATCAATGTGTTGTTCTCATTGATACCCTTGTTTGTGCCACCATCTCCCACATAGTGCTTGGCGCAAGCTGCAACCTTGTTCCTGGATCGAAGTAATTAAAACGAGAAGCATTTTTATTTCAAGTCTCTAAAATTTATATGAAGTTACACGAGGAATGCTTAAGAATCTGTCCCCAGATTGATGACAACAGAAATGCATGAGTTTTATATCCATATTGTTAGACAAAATTATTGATAAGTCTGAACATATTTCGTCCAAATTCTCAAACAAAATGATTGATAAGAACTAACCAAACTCAAATACAGATATGCATTGAAAAGATAAAACTGATATTTGATGATTTGATCATGTTGTAGTATGTATTATAAGCAACATGGCATGCTTTTTAAGGCTCAAAGCCTCCTAAACCATCAAATTTTAACTAAATAATTCAAAATAAAATCATATCAGATTTTGGTGTTGAAACAATAAATGGGATGGATGCAAAAGCAAGTAAACCCAACCATCAAAATGGTTAAGATAATCCAAATGTATAGGATCATCCACATGCAGCCTTTTGGTTACTGTTTTTAATCTTTTTCTTTGCCATTATTTTTATTACCTTTTACTTTTGGACGCAAAAGAAGGTAAACCAACGATTATGATCTGTAATTAATTGAAGCTATGATTGCTTAATGCAGATGTAAATGGTAAGGTCTGCCATTAAAGCAAAACATCATATTATCCCCGATGAAACTGATCATGTGTCAATGTCATGTGACAATGAAATTTCAAGTATTGATAATGCTATTGCTTACAGAAAAGGAGCAAATCTAGTAAAAAATTTAACCAAAAAAGACAATTTAAGCATGAGTCACTATGAGAACATATATATTAAAGTAATAAAATAGGCCATGGATAGCACCAATATTGGAAGACAAACTTCTAGCATCCAACACATATGCTTCATGAAGTTTATAGATAAAAATTTCAAGGACAACCCATTTAGATATTAATTTTATTCTCAGAATATATAAAAACTGCAATATCTACCCACTAATAAAAATCTTACTTTCCAGCAACAAAGGGAACTCCCTTCATGGAATTGGCAGGGATATCTCCTTGTAAGCCAGGTATAATTTCAGTCATAGTTCTAACAATTTTAGGGTCCTCACTGTAGCTTTCATAGCAACGTCCCCATCTTGGATCTCTGCAGACCTGTGAATGAATCAATTAACAAAATTTATGTCAGCATACGTGATAAATGTTGCAGATGACCATAACAGCAACAGGATATTTAAATATTGCTTTATTACCGCAATACATGGAGCAAAGACATATGGAATTCCTGTAGCTCTTACTTCAAGGGCAGTCGCATCTCCAATCTTTTTTATGAGCACTGGATCCCTGATAAATAGTAGACCTCATTATAATAAAAGAACAAAATAGTATTCATTTCAGAGATCACAATACCACTAAGAAAATGCTTGAATTGTAGATCTGGGGTGCCAAAAATTTTCACATGTTCAAATATAGCTTCACCACTATTATTTCATTAGAAGTTGGTAAAACCAGATTCTCCGATCAAAATTAACAAATTCGATTCCATAGCTATTCCTTGTCATTTGTTCCCCTTTCTTTTAAAACATTTCATGACTACCTTTTAATAAACTTGCCTGGTAACTCCTAGCCCAACATTGTGAGGGAAGATTGTAGCATTGTAGACATTGTTGTGGCCATGAACTGCATCAATTCCATAAATAATCGGAATTCCAAGGCGAGTAGACAATGCTGCTTTCTGCATCTGATTCACCATTTGCTGCCAGGTCTCAGCAGATGCCTTTGGTGCTGGAACACTGCCTCCCCCACTGAGCACACTCCCTGTTCATCAATGACAAGATGCACAACCATAATGTCACCTCATTACACTTACAGAAAAAATAACCAATTAAACAAAGATTTCTTTAACAACAAACACTCTAGAACTTGATTTGGTTATGGATTTGATGAGACGTTTTCAGTGCTTACCAATGAAGTACTTCTTAATCACATCAGGAGTAGCAACAAGTCTTTCAACCTGTGTCATCTGGCCTATCTTTTCTTCCAGGCTCATTCGCTTCATCAAGTCACTGATTCTGACATTCAGTGGAACCTTAGGGTCTTTATACTTCAAATACTCTGCCTCTGAAGATGAAACCAGACAAAACAGTAGCAAAACACCCACAAAGGGCACTGAATATCTCCCCATTTTAAAGCTTCAACGCTCAAACCAATATGCAACCTGCGCATTGCAAAAAGGGTCAGAAAACTGGAAAATAGCCACACCCCACAGGAAAATAGTCTTGAATACGGAGTAAAACAGTAGCCGAATGACAATAAGACACATGCACACACACACACGAACTTAAAGCTTCTCAACCTACAAATATCATGTGAGTCACTTTACCATAAAAAGGATCAAGCAAGAGCAAAACAACATGCCCTTTAAAAATCAATGACAATGCAGTGTATATCTACTAGATAAGCTTAACAAGCTTAACAAGCACAACCAATTAACACAGAAAGACAAAAAATAAATTAACATGCTACTCAAAGCTCAAAAAAAACCTTCTATACCTTAAAAATGGCTCAATGAAGGACAAGTCAAGGCACTGGACACATAAAGATCTAAACTTGAGTAGAATGAGTCCGCAATCTCTGAGCTGCTAAATAGAGAGAGAAAGAGAACAGCGAGGAGCAATTAAGGAGAGAAGCAGCCACTGGTCCCACCCACCATTGTCAATGGCATCTTTTTTTGTTGTTGTACACAATTTTTTTCTTGTTTGTAATTATTTTAATAAAGGTTAAATTACTATCTTAATTATCTGATTTATTTAACAATTTTTAGTTAAGTTTTTTAATTTTGCTTGTAAGTTTTGTACTAACTTAATTGATATTTTATTATTCAATTATTATCATTTTGTAAAATTTATCACTAATTATGTTTTTCAAGCATTTCACTTTTAAAAGATTATTTTTAACATCTAACAAATTTAAATTGTTTTTCAAGTTGTTTTTGTTTAGTTAAAACTATAAAAAAATGTCTCCATCTTTACCAAAAATAAGAAAAAAATGAAAAAAAAAGTCATATCTTCATCATTCTCATTCCGCACTCCATCTTACTCATTACTATCTTGGATTCATAGATTTTTCCACTCCAAACTAAGTTTATTTTTATCTGGAATTTTGTTTTTTAAAAAACTTAATTAAATTAACAATGCCAAACAAGTTTTTCTCTTTTTTTACCCATAAATAACTAATAAAAAAAAACTTCCATTTCACTCTAACCCTGATTTGTAAGCAATCAAAACGTCTCGACAAAAACCTTGAAAACTTGAACACCTCTATTTTCAAAGCGTGTACTTTAGTAAACAGAATGATTATGAAAATATTATTATAGTAATAAAAAATATGAAGAAAAATGAATCACCTAAATAATTAAGCACGTAACGTATGCATCAATTTCTGAAATTGAGTGGAGCACATGATTAAGATGGAGTCTCTTGCTTGAAGAAACGCGTGTCAATAAAGCAAACAGATAAAACAAGACCCTTCCCAACGTTCACATTTGCTTTTTCTTTCAACAAATTATCACTTCAATTATTTCAAAACACCTACAACTCAATTTGGTAAATCTAGTTTTAAAAAATCCAAATAGGTACGATTTAGGTAAATCTATATCTTATTATTTTTCATAAATTTTAAAGTTTTATTATTGACTTTATTTTTCCTTTCTTATATTGTTTAAAAATTTAAATTTTACATGTTTTATTAATATTTTAATTTTCTAAAAAAATAATGAGATGTTAAGAAAAATGAATTAAACACAGTGTAATTTTAAAAAATGTTACAAAACAAACGTTTTTTTAGCTCTTTTTAACATTACATCACTTTGTTATAATTTAAAAAAAAATTAAGAAATAGGCCTAAATGTAAAATTTAGGTGATATATTTTGAAAATTAATGATAATTAATTGATAAAAAAATATAAGTAAAACTTTAGTAATTATTTTATTAAATCATAACTAAATATGCTTGCCCTGGTTAAGATTTACCTAAAAACAAGTAGATAAATTTAAAAAATATATATTAATAAAGAACTTGAAATCAATTAAAGAAAATAACAATAATAGAAAAGCATTAATATTTTTTTTATTTTCAAAGGTCGTTTTCATGTTTCTTTGGGATCAGATTCTAATACCTAATTAAAACTAACACGTAAGGCTGCTTTTCTTGTAAGAAAAAGGTTATCTATACCCGATTGTCAATTTTATTACTATTTTAAATTGGATAAATCATCAATTAGTATTTAAATATATAAATTCGTATATTTTTTAAAGAACAAAATGTTTAATTTAATAGTTGAATTTGTAAAAAAAAATACATATTATTAAATTTTATAAGATAATTTCATCTTATGATTTCAAAATTAATTTGTCTTTAAGAGGTATATTTTTTATAAGTTTTCCATCAAACTATAAATTTGATCCGATCATGTCTTTTATTTAAAATGAGATTTTTATCTAAAATAGGATTATTTATATAGATTGTCCAATAATAAATAATTTAATATTTGCAATAAATATAATTATATTAGAAAATATATTGTTATATATTTTGATATAAATCCCATTTTAGATAAATTGGATTATGACGAGATATCGATTATATAGAATAAGAGGTGATGTTAAGACAGTATAAAAAAAAATCAAATAGTACACATAATTAAGATGAAAAAAAAATATTAATTATATTTTTTTGTTTAATAATGTATCTATAATTAAACACATTATATATTATAATTTTAAAACGAATAATATTTTGAAAATAATAAATATTATATTATCACAATAAGATATTTTTATTTTGAATTAAAATAGAAAATAAATTTTAATTTAGTTATCCTTTAATAATTAAAGTATTAAATCAAGATTAATTTTTCGATTAAGTTTAATATTTCATGATAACATTTTTTTTTACGAAAATCTTTGTTTATTTCTAAACCAAATCATATTAGGTTGACACAAAGTACAAAGGCCCTAATAAATTATGTCTATTAAAAAAATAATCTGTTCATTAAGGGAATGAATTATTTGAAATTTTTTAAATGGTTAAAAAAAGGCAGTGGCGAACGTGCTTTTTTTGGTTTTGAATTCTCCAGTCAAAACGTGTTTGCTGGGCTGTGTTTGGAATCGGTCAACTTTTGCGGGCCATTGCGACCGGGTTGGGTGCATGCAATAGGAATTCACCAAATGCGATTATTTGCTTCACAATTAATAATATGACGTGTTAACTTCTGAAACACAAGTTTAGGACCAAACCCTAAAAAATTCAGGGATGCAATTTGTAAATATTAAAAAAAATAGAATCAAATTGATACGAATTAAATTGACTAACAAGTTAAAATTAAATATTTATTTTGTTGTCTATATTTTGTCGTTAACTTAATGAATTTTGATATGACAGATAACAGAGTCGAATACAAATTTATGTTGGTGGTAAGAAAATATTTTTATCATAATATTAATTTATTTGTTTCTATTATTTATTTAGCCTGTTAAAATATAAAAAAATTGACGTATTATATTTTTTTTATAATAGAGGTAATTATATTGTAGTCCTTTCTTCTTTTCATATATATTTGATGTCACTTTTGTGAAAAACTCAACCAGAAAAGTTTGTTATTAAGTTTCTAACTTTTATCTTTTTCTTTTCGTGTTCTGTACTAAATAACTCTTTTCCTCTCCCTCTTCCTTTAACTTTCAAACCTACCTTAGATAATATTATTTGATTGTTTAGATGAATAGATATACGAGAAAAATAAAAAAAATAAAAAAATAGGCATGAGAAAAAACTATTGGTATAAATCTTTTAAAAATAAGATATAATCAATGTTATATACATATACAATTGATTACACTTTCCAAAATAATAATAAATAAGTATTATTTTCGTGATCATCATTAATTACCTAATTCAATGTTTTTTTTATTTTAATTAATTTTTAGTTAAAATTATTTATATAAACCACTTTACCTAAATTTTAAACTATTTGTACCTTATTACATAATTAGGTATATATTATTGTCTCTAAAGTATATTTTTTTAATAATTAATAATTATTTCACTGAAAATGTTTCAATCTCATAATAATTTTTATATCTGAAATATTATTTATTTTAAAATTCTTATTTATCACATTTTATCTTTAAAATATATTTCTCGATAAATAGAAAAGATATACATCAACTGCATTTCTTCCCTCTTAAACAAGGTATAATAATAAAATAATAGATCATAAACACTAAATAAAAAATAATAATAATTTTATTTATATTAATGCAGGAACATGGTTGTTATAGATATTAGAATATCTCTTTTAGATGTCAGCATAATTTAAATTTTTTTATTAATTATTTTATAAAATAATTTTAAAAAATTAAAATAAATAATAGATAAGAAAATAATAACTATTTTTTTATTATTTAAAAAAAATCATGAAGATAAAAATAATAAAAAGTTATTTGAATATAATATGACATAAGAAATTTATATTTATATTTATAAAAAAAAATCATGTAAGTTACTCCAACAAAATATAACTTATTTTTAGAATGTAAGATAATTTTAGGTAACATAACATTTTTTTGGTGTTTTTTTTTTCAGATAAGTAACCCAAAACATGTTGAAAACATAGAAAGAGACACGGGTATCTGAAAAATTTTGCAGTCACACTCTTTCACGAATTAAATAATTTGTTTCAATTTCAAACTATGTTCTGTCCCCATATCCCAATCATTCTAATTGAAAAAAGCTATATTATTTAATTTTTATATTTTATTAAGTTGAATTTAAATAATTCATTGAATAAATGATTAGCAAAGGTGTGAAACAGATATTTACAAAATTTAGTACATCTAGGACATTTCCAATAAAATGATTTAAATAAGAATGTTTTATTAAACATCATTTTTAAGGAATTCAATATTCATTTTTTTCTCTAATTTTTTTTAATAAAATTTAAAACATTTCATTTTTTTTTCTAATTTACTTTAATTTATTAATTTTTTAAACTTTTCATAAATCAACTGCTGAAAAATAATTTTTAAGAGAAAGTCACGTAAAATTCCTCTTAACGAGAAGTATTTTAATTAACTAAAAATTTATTTAAACATCTTAATAAAAAAATCCTAATAAATTTTAAGAAAGACACATTTTAAAAAGTTACTATAAAAAACAATTTTATTTATAAGGAATTCTTTTTAAGGAAAAGAAACTCACAGTCTGATATATAAATATAATTAGTCTATTAATAAATTCATTGAATGAAATGTTTCTTTCTTTTATTTAAATTGAGGAAGAATTTAAAAAAAAAAAAAAGGCTCTAAGCATGTGTTTGTTTGTATTACTGTATATGAAAAAAAAAATGAAAAAAAAAAGTTTGTATCAACTAATTTAAGCTTATTTGTAAAGAAGAACGTTTCTTTTCAGATACGAAATGAAAAAAAAATGGAAAGTCTTTAATTATTTTTTATTTAATTTTTAAATCCATATATTGAGTAGCATTTTATTACTTCATTGATTAATAAAACAGCATTTTTTAATTTAATATGCATAATTATATTTTATTGACAGATTATGTGTACTTTTTTTTCTATAATAATAATAATTAAAAATAATGATAAAATTATTTTATTTTTTACATCATTAGATTTTTTTTCTTCAAGTTTTTATTTAATAAATTATAAATATATTTTAATTTTAATTTTAATTTATAATAAAAATATTTTAACCATTCATCATTTTATTTTATTATTTATATTTTTAATCAATTAAATTAATTTTATCTCCTATCATCTTTAATATATTTCTTTTCATTTTTTATTTTCGACTTTCTTTCACTCATTTTCTATTTCTTCAAATCCCTGCATAATCTAAGAGTTACTTTTTTTTTTTTTCCATGTAAGTGATTTAGAACTTCCACCACCAATGATTTAATTAATGCGAAAGATTATACCAACAAGATTTAAAATTGCAATTGTAGTTTCATTGTAACCATGGATAAAGAGAAAAACTAAGAAGAAATACGAGTATGTTTAAAAGAGATAATATGAATCATAACTACCACAGTAAGAAAGTACAAAAGCATCACAAAAGGAATTGCAGACATGAACAAATGTTTCCTGAATGAAGAGGAAAAGAAACCTAGCGTGGAAGTTAGTTAATTCACACGAATCAAAACATATCTTCCCTTTCTCCTGAACCATGGAAAGGGATATTGGAAGAAAAAGTTGGCAACGATGATGTATAAAAGAGACACAAGAGAAGAGACCAAACTTACTGTAACAATGGCACAAACAAATCCAAGGTTCCATGAAGCACCTGCTTCTGTCTACCAAGATTTTGAACCATCTTTTGAATGGGTTCAAGATCAACAAAGTGACACCCTTCTTCTTATGCTTAAAGGTTAACTTGTTCTTCCTCTAACTTTATATTACATTTATGGTATAAATATGTAACTGGTTTAGAAAATGAGATACATTCTACTGATGTAGAAAATCTATGTAATAATGTAACTTCTGCATAAAGTGAGATGCTTTCTATCTGATTATATATATCCGATGTAGAAAATAGATTGTGGTTGTGAAAGGTTGATTAATGCTATAACCTATCTACTTGATTTAATGTGCAGGATTTAGAAAGGAGAATCTGAGGGTTCAAATTGGCACAAACCGTAGACTAAAACTCAGAGGTGAAGAACAGATAAGTGAGAACAAGTGGCGTAGATTTAACAAAGAATTCACCATTCCTTCTCATTCTAACACCAACGGGATCAAAGCCAAGTTAGAAGGTGGCATACTATACATAAGGATTCCCAAAAGCATCACTCAGGTTAAGCCAGAAACAAGCTCACCAACACAACCAAAGGATCCAACACAGGAGGAACCAGAGAAAGGTGAAGTAGTTTCTGACACAAAGGAGATGGGGAAAGAAGGAGAAGATGATAACAATGGTGAGATTGTTGATAAGAAGGGTGAGAAGAAGGTTTTCCAAAGATTACACACCACCCTTTATGGTTTGGTTGGGGATATTGTGAAGCAAAAGAAGTTACCTAACTTGGTGGTTGCCATCTTCTTGTTCTTGGGCATGGGAATGTATGTCATAAATGCAATCAAGTCCACTTTTGGAGGATCAACAATCCAAGACCCTTAAATATTGTTTGTAGACATCGATTGAATCATCATGGTGAACAAATATATATTGAATTTTAATAACTAAGCTGTTTCATTTAAAGCATTATTGCTTAAACTATACGACCCATTTCTATAAAAGTTTAAACTTATTTGAGCATTATTCCACAACTTTGTCATGGGTGTCTTAATTGGTTAAGAAAAGATAATATATTGCATCCCATGTGAAACTTTTATGGACACAAAAACAATCTCTTAATTAAGGTTAAAAGGCAAAAGTAACCTAAACCTTCATTCTAACATTATTATGTAACTTTAATACCGAAAAAGTAATATCACTTTAATAATTTTAATACTTTTAATCTCAAAATATGCTGTCAAATTTTTCATTGAATTCTACTTTATACATAAATTATTAACAAAAACAGTCATTAATATTCTCTCACTTTTTTAGCCCTCTTTATAAATAATCCAGCTTCGGGTCCAATGTCAGTTTCCCAAAACAAGTTATTCTAAGAAAATATTATTTCAAATTTTCCTATTAAAAATAAAATAATAAACGTCAATTTTTACTTGCCTTCTATATATATTAATTATTCATAAAATTGATAAAAAAATAATAATAATAAAAATAAAGAATTATATAACTTTTAAAATAAATAAATTTCTCTATCTCTATCGTTATATATAAATAATAATGTTAAAAGAGTAAATATACTAATATTAAATAGTTATATAATTTAGAAATTAAATTTTGTAAATATCACAATAAAATTATAATTCTCAACTTTTGAACTCGCAACTACAAAACTTAATTATTAAATTTTAGTTTTACTTGAAATTTTCCCTTTTCTATTGGTAGTATTTTAAGACATTAAGAAATATTAAGATAAAATAAATATATTAAGATTATATTTAAAAAATAATAATTTAATCTACTATACTTATCTTTTACATTAAAATAAAGTATAATGTCTTCAACGATATTAGATTGTGCTAATCTTTAAATAATTACATTAATTAATAATTTACAAAATTATTGAAAAAGTAACATAAATTTTTTATACATTACAATAAAATTAGAATTGATCATTATATTTGCGATATTATTTCTCAATTTCTCTCCTAACTATAAAACTTGATTGCTTTATTAGAGTATCAGTTTCTTTTTTTCAAGAAATTATCGAAACACAATTTTAAATAAAACCTGATAACTTTAAATAATTATTATAATATGGCTATTATTAAAGGTTAAATTGTCTGTCATAGCAACACCCTCCTGATGCACATTCTCTTGGTGCCTTGCTGCAAGGGAAGCACATTAGGGTTCCAAACTGATGAGCAGGATGCTGCTGCCCCTTTTCATTTTTCTGAGTCCCAGTATTTTTTTAATATTACTATTTGTTATTTATTCTTCGACAAATTCAATAAAACTATTTTAGCAACAAAATATACTATAATGTATAATAAACTTTTCAGTAGAAGAAATAATATATATTTCAAAGAGAAAGGATTAGTTTTGAAGTCATATGAAACAAATTCCATTCCAAACTCAAATACAACCCAAGGTACTAGGAGAAAATTAACAGCTGAGTCAGAAAATACTTACTCATCAAAGTGCACACAACTTAATTAAGCCTAAGAGCTTGAGCATGATGCCGGATGTGATCATCAATGAAAGTGGCTATAAAATAGTAACCGTGGTCATAACCAGGTTGGAAACGTAACAGTAGGGGGATATTGGCTTTTTTGCAAGCTTCTTCAAACTTGTGAGGCAGCAGTTGATCAGGCAAAAATTTGTCATCTTCCCCCTGAAAAGTGGATTAACAATTAAGAAGAAAATAAAACCAGTTAAAAACTCAATAAGATCATTGAAGTAAATGCTTACATAAATTGAAACCATGCCCAATGACAAATAGTACAGTATCCGACAGACCATATTGATTTATTCATATTCCTGTTAAAACTGTATTTCTTGAAACATAAAAATGAAGTACAATGTAACAAAAATGTACAGGGTAGAAGATAAAAGTGTTGCTACTCTTTAAATCAATCATTCACAATTATTTTCAAAATAATAAACAAAAGCCACAGTATTTTTACCTGATCAATCAAAATGGTGGAAGAGACATTGGGAAACTTCGTTACCAAATAAGTGGCATCATACTCCTGCATTTTTCAACTTGTTATTATAATGAAATATAAAGACTTGTTTAAAGCCAACATGCAGTTTCATCAAATTTACCTCCCAATCAGATTTATTGTCACCTAGATAATTTGTGAATGCCTTCTGTCCCCAAGGACAATTTATAGGATTTGCTACTGGAGCGAAGGCAGAAACTGACTGGAACAAGCATGTTATGTAAACAAAAAAAAAAAAAAAAAAGGTTAGAATCTAAATAAGTAAAATACAATTTATTTATCATAACAAAGTAGCGTCTATATCTTGTCTAAGAAAATAATTTTCTACAAACTTCAAAAGGTCACCAAAAGGATGAAATAATTTTTTGTTCTAACTTGCAATAAACATAATATGCGATGCAGATTGCAACAAGTTCACCTTACACGGTTTTTAAACAATAAACTATAACTGGGTGTCTAACTTCTTCTGAATAGCTTCTATGCCAACTTTCTCCTGAATACATTTATTTCCAATCTTATAGTTCTTGAATGTCCCACCATCCCCTCCTCAACATTCTCTCTCCACTGCACATTTTTTTTCTCTTATTAGCATTTTACTTTTAAGAAACATTCACTACTATAGAGCATTTCTAGACCAAAAAGTATCCGATCCAATTTTCCTTTCATAGGCATCTCGCAAACACAAGATATGGTTGAACATTGTTTAGTTCATCCACTCAGCTAGAATATTGAATGTGTTGCATCCCCATCACCTAATAAGATGGATCCGCAAGACAGTTGACTATGCAATTGGTGATAGAATCCCTATTTTAGCTTCAAAACACGGCTAACTTTGATTTTGCTAAGCTTACATAGCACAAGCTCTTACATCTTACTCCTACTTAAATGAAAACACATGTTCACAAGTTTCAATTCTAACCTCAAATTAAGAAATTGAAATGACTCCTTCCCGCATCAACTAGGACTCTATCACTTCTAAGAAGCATCATTGTTGAATTCAATGTTCCCCATAAAGTACTATGCAATTGGTGGTAGAATCCCTATTTTAGCTTCAAAACATGGCTAACTTTGATTTTGCTAAGCTTACATAGCACAAGCTCTTACATCTTACTCCTACTTAAATGAAAACACATGTTCACAAGTTTCAATTCTAACCTCAAATTAAGAAATTGAAATGACTCCTTCACGCATCAACTAGGACTCTATCACTTCTAAGAAGCATCATTGTTGACTTCAATGTTCCCCATAAAGTACATAAAGCTAAGAAAATATGGTCGCAATGTCAAATGATGGTGCAAACCAACAGTAAAACCTTTTGCGGACTCCCAATTCTAAATGAGAAGCTTCAAAACTATCAAAACTCCTAAAGAAATGGATGCCCCAGGAAATGTCCTAACATTCAGTATTTAATATTGATGCAGAGAAGAAAGATGATAGACATTGGATGCAGCTCTACGAACAATCACTACCTACAATCCAATGTTTTAAATCCTGGATGGCAGTGCGTAGTGGTTGGCTCAAAAACCTAAGGCGAGAGTGTATGGCAGGATAACCACTATTTTAAAATCTTTTATAGTTTATATAATGTATATGCTATATGCATATAAATTTTAAAAAATGATAAAAATTACTCAAAATTAATAACATTCATAATTAACAATAAAGAGTCATAGATAGGTGTTTTAAACAAAACATATAAGTAAACACCAACAAAAGTCAAATACAAGTTTACTAGATTAGAATTATCAGCCATCACTTCTAAATTCAAGTATTTGTTATCATTTTCACTATTATTGCATATTGTATATTTCAATTTTGGAAATGAAATCCCAAAAGGAGCCCTCCAGGAAAGCCCTAATGCATTTGTTCTAGGGTATTTTTTGGAATCAACACATTGCACCGCTATAGTGCCCATTATGTCTGTTATTTGGTCTGTTGAGCCCGCTACATTTGTTCTGCAACAGCAGCTCGTGTAGTGGGCAGGGGCCGCTCAAGTACACCACTATTGTGCTATTTAAAATCTTGCTACAATCTGACTCAAATCCTTGCCTTTGTAAAATGTTGGAAGTCCTACATTGTCTGCCTCATATCATATGATATGGTTTAAATACCGGTTAGGTTATTCTATATATTGTCAATTGGTTTTATTTTGGAATCTTAATATGGTATCAGAATCAAAACCAAACTTTTTCCCAGACATTGTCTTGGGCCAAAAACCGCCCTTGAAATATCCTTTCTTAGGTCTGACAAGCTTTGTTGGAGGGGGCATGTTGGAAGTCTCACATTACTGTCTCATGTCATATGGTATGATTTAAATACCTATTAGGTTATTCCACGTATTACCAATTGGTTTTATATTGGAACCTTAACATAAAACATAATGTGACATTATCTTATAACAATCATATAATAATTCACCCAATCATGCCCCACAAAACCACTCTCAAAGGAGTTCCTTTATACCAGGAAATTGAAAAAGAATACAAAAAGCATCTTATGAACATCAATATCTTTTGACATAAATACACTTTAAAATCCCAAACACTTCATTTTCCTACTAACTCCACTAACTCGGTGTCAATCCACAATTCAAAAAAATGTATTGGTTTCAATTAACTACATAATGGGGCTCTGAAATCTTCAAGTTTACAAATTGTGACTGAGTGACTGCCATGTAGTTAGCAGTATTCATTTGCAGCTGTTCTGCTAAAGATCAAGCAGCAAACATTTGCACTCATTACCTATTCATTCCAATCTTGCATAGCTTAAATATATGAAAAAGGAATATTCTAATTGGACCTCAAATGAAACAAAAGGTGATTATCATATATTTGGTACCAAAAATCCAATAGGGAAAACAAGAACCAGATGATAATCGTCCATTAGTGGACATTTTCTACAGTAATTAAATAGGAAAACTTCAACATAAAAAATAATAATACACATCACATCTAGAGTAGCAGATATCCTAACAAATATCTGCAACCACTAATGCCGATGCAAAGTTACTCAGGAAATTAAAGATAAATTCATCACTAATACCAACAACTATTAAAGAGTAAATATTCCATTGTAAAGAATAAGCTTAAGCTTATTAAGACTACCAGATATCCTAACAAATATCACAAATCACTACCCCTTATGCAATATACCACATGAAATAATTGCTTACTATCTAAATGCAATTGAGATACCTACAAATGAAAAATGTATTTGCAGACAAATTAAATAATAGTAATACCAAGACAATCAAAATGTAGTAGAGAAATCCGTTGATGCGAAATAATAAAAAACCATATGCCAGTTCAACACTAAAACTATTCATTATTTTCAGGAAATTCCAATATTTTCAAACTAGTTCTTTTACTAAAAGTTTTCAGTTGCATAATAATCAAGACCTTATATTTATCCTGATTTTTCAGGTAGATTGTCAGAGCACCATGCCCACCCATAGAGTGACCAAATATAGAGGCCTTTGATGTTTCAAGCTGTGGAAAATTATCACTCAGAAGTTTTGGCAACTCCTTGACGACGTAATCATACATCTGCCAATTCTTCCACTTCTCTTGTGTTGCATTGAGATAAAACCCAGCACCTGTTCCAGAATTTATATGGAATTAAGATATATTCTGTAAATTATAATGTATAAATTGTACATTGCAGGTTAATTCGTTAGCTATAGCCCATAACAATTAAAATTATTCCAGACAACATCCGCACTTAACAAAATGAGCTTTTTTTTCTTAAAAAAAAATAAGGAGAACGAAGCAGAGATGTCCCCATAGGGAGATATTTAGAATAAGTTAAAAAGAACATTTAATCTGTTTCATTCTTATACCTCATGAGTACACTTCAGATTCTCTATACATCGTGTTAACATGCTCAGGTAACACCCACTCTATAAATCAGTACCTACGTTTTCCAATCCATGTCCACAGCACTAGATCGAGTTTTAGGCTGAGTAGTAGTGTTCTTCCATAACAAGCTTCATCATCAATTGATGTGTTACAGTGATGTCATGGTCTAGATACAGAGTTTAGGTATATAAGCTCACTAAAAGTACAGAAAAGAAAGATTATAGATTTGGGTCAAGTAAGATGTTTTACGGATGAAGTTGGGAAAGTTTAGGTCCTAGATCACATATCAAAGAGAGATGAGGAAAATATTTCATAAGCTTTTCAATGATGGACAAGAGGATCTGGTACCAATATGTGATGACTAGAAATCCAAAAGAACAAATGAAATTTGGCTTATTACTGTAGAATTTGGATTGGGAAGGTTAAGGAGGCCTTTCAAAGGATGAATAAGGTAAACTGTAATGGAGAACAATATTTCATTTGGCTCACTGAACTTTTCAATGAGATTTTGAGATTTTAAAAAAATGCCAAATGAGTGCAGGAAGAGCATTTTGATTCCAATATTTAAGAACAAAAGAGATATTCAGAATTGTGCTAACTACAAAGGTAAACTTATGAGTCATGCTATAAAATTATGAGAAAAAAGGTGATTGTTTCATGATAACCAGAGAATCAATTTCGTTCATGCTAGGAAGATCGAAAACTTATGTCATTTATCTTTCAAGAAGGTTGATGAAAATATATTGAAGAGAGAGACTTTTACATAGTTTTTTTTTATTGACTTGAAAAAGCTTATGATCAGTACCAAGGAAAGTGTTTGGAATAGTTTGGAGAAAAAAGGTTTTTGTGAGGCTTATTTCATGGCTATGCAAGACATGTTTGAAGGGGTAACTACTGGTGTGAGAATTTCAAGAGGTGCGACTAAGGGCTTTCATATAGGGGTAGAATTAAATCAAGGATCAGTCTTAAAAGTCCTTGTTCAATCTAGTCTTGAATGTGCCTATCAAGGACAAACAAAATATTATACCTAAATGCGCATTTTGCAGATGATATAATCTTGACTGTGGAATAAAGGGAAGCAGTTAACATTAAGCGTGAACTTTGGATATAGAATATGGAAACAGCAAATTTTCACTTGAGTAGGAGTAGCAATTATAGCAAGAGATGAGGAATATGACTTGGAATTACAATGGGAGATGCCATACCACATGTTTCTAAGTTTAAATATCTAGGATCAAAAATACAAAATGACTGACAAATTAATGAAGATGTTATACACACAATATGTCCGATGGTTAAATAGAAGAAAAACTTCATGGGTTGCTTGTGATTGCAAAGTACCTACAAAACTCAAAGACATGTTTTATCATACTGACATTTGACTATACTTACTGTAATGAATACTGTGCTTTAGAAGAACAACATGGGAGAAAGTTGGGAATAAAAAAAATGAAAATGTTAAGATGGTTGTGTTACTATACAAGAAATGGCAGGATACTAAAATACTAAATACAAGAAAAGATTGCTGTAGCATCACCAATTGATAAAAGATGACAGAAAGACAATTAAAATGGTTTTGACACAAACAAGTCAAAAGTGACATCAATCAGAATTGTAGTGTACATGACTTTTAGTCAAGTGAAAAGGATGAGAGGAAGACTAAAAATGACTCTTCATAAGAAGTTATTGAGCAAGATCTCATGGAAAATAATACTCATGAAGCTTGGGATTTTAGCAGCTAATGCCATTATCTAATCCATGTATTGCAACCTCTCTTAGTGGGAAAAGGCTTTGTTTCGGTTGTTTATGATGAGATATAACAGAAGTATACTGTCCCTTACTCAAATTTTATGATTGAAGGTTTATAATTTCCATCCAAAGTTCGATATCTAATCTGCAAAAACACATGAAGATCCCTACTTAGAAAGAAAAACAAGAAGAACAAAGCAAGCACATTTTACTATTCTAATGATGAGAGCCACAATCAAGTACAAAAAGGAATAGCCTTAGAGAACAAATATTTTTTTACTCCCCTTTATTGACAAGTATCTTAAAAACCCTTATTAGCTTGAGTATTTCCTGAGATCTCTGCCACTACCATGCTGTTGAAGGAACTTTATAAGCAGAAGTTCCTTTTATTTATAAATATAAACTCCTTATACTATATAGAATTGTAAGAGTAGTACTACTAGATGAACAATACATTCATTACCCAGTGTAAAACACAAGATTGGATCATATAAATGAAAGCTCAGTCAGCAAGTCGCAAACAAGAGCAGAGAGAGATAAAACATAACATACATGCAATGGCATTGAAGGAGGACAGAAACAACATTTGTAATCAATAGTACTTTTATATTCACAATATATTCATTACCAAGGGTATATAACACATGATTGTGTCATACATAATGAAAGTTTACCTACTGAATCAGAAGCAACACAGGTAGAAGAAAACAGAACATCCATTATATGTCTAGTACCATACCCAAAATGACAATTTCAAGAAATTCAACATTCTCATATGACATAAAACAATTATCAAAACTAAAATTAAGGCCAAATATGAAGCTGGCCGAAGCTTGAGTCTGTTAATTTTTCAACATTCCCATCCCAAAGCTCAACCAAGTCAGACCCAAGGTTAAGGTCCAGCCCTATTCAAAATTCAAAGCCCAAATGTAACGATCTCACATGGCATACCTACTCCAAAGTCCCAGTTTTCTGCTTCTCCTTCTACATTCAAGCCTCCTGCATAATCAAGTTGAATGAAACTGAGAACTTATAGAAGCTTTACAACAAAAGGAAAAGTAGAAACACCATAACCAATTAATTGTAGTAGTTAAAATTTTTATTTTTTTTAATTGGCTTAAATAACTATATATTCCTTGTGATATATAACTATTCATTCCAGCCTTCTTGAATTTTTTTTTCTGTTTTGGACTCTAAAATTTTCTTTCATCATTTCAGTATTTGACAATAGTATTCTCTACTAGTTTATGACATGACTTGGCAGATATTTGAAAATATACACTGCTTCTTAGCATGAACTAAAAAAAATAAATTACCCATAATAATCTATATCAAGAATGTACCATTTTATAAAGCTCAAATAAATAATTTCAGATACTAAATTGAAGAAAATATAATAAGATGTCCAAGTATCAAACAAAACATAATTTCAGAGAATATAATAAGATTTCTAAGTATAAAATACAAAATAATTTCAGAAAATATGCATGAAGCTTCTTGATATGGGCTAAAATAAAAATATAACCACAGGAACTTATATAAAAAAAATTACAATTTTGTAAAGATCGAATAAATAACTTCAGAGACTAAAATGAAAAATAAAATAAAATAAATAACAATAACCAAAGCACAAAAATAGTTTCAGAAAATTTGCATGATGCTTCCTACCATGGACTAAAATAAAAATCTACCCATAAGAACACATATGATAAGTTTAGTGTTTTATAAAGCTCAGAGTAAGTAACATCAGAGACTAAAATGGAAAGAAAAAAATAAGATCAAAGTACTAAAATAGTTTCAGGTTGATCAAAACAAAGATATCTACTGGTTTAACAGACATGCAATCAGAAATCATCTTAATATGAATTTTACAAGAATTATTATAAAAATTAATAAGTTTATCAATACTTTAAAGAAATTATAAAATACCTTTACACTGTCCACTTATTACTTAGTCAGTATGATATTATGAACAAAAAATTAGTTAAGTATCTTTAATCAAGTTTTGTAGCTTCATTTGAGGTATTTGTGGCAAAATTAAAAAAACTTATTTACTTGGGGATGTGTCGGGCGCAACCAAGGCAATGCCCTCAGTGGCAGCTACGCTTTGAGCACCGGCCTTTGCTATGAAGTTCTCGTCGGTGCAAGTGAGGCCAGAGAGCCAATACAGCACCTTTTGATTCAAGGCATAACAACAACATTATATGAAGGATGTGTAATAGGTTGAATTTGAATGAGACAGGGGAAAATTTGAGAGAAACTCACTGGGAATTTGTGAGAGGGAGAGGGAGAATGAGGGAAGTAGATGTGGAAGTTCATGGAGCAGCCGAGGGTGGGACTGAAATGTTTGAACCTCTTATTGTAGCCGCCGAACATCTTGCTGCTGCTGATCTCGGTAGGCTTCGTCTCCATCGCGCGATTCGGACCACGGGACTTGCACAGATGAAGTTGTGTTTGGGTGATGAAGATGAGTGAGCAGTTGAGAGTGAAGTTTTATGTCCTAATATCCAGACTATATTCTAGAGATTTCTTAATGGGTTTGGCCCAATGGTGGAGCCCAAAAATTGTAATAAGAGGGTCACATAAAATAAAATAAAAAACATTTTTTTAATTTTATTCCATTATCATTTTTTATAATTGAAAAAAAAACTTAATATAGTATTTTTAATTATTTAATATAAAATACATTATAACATTGATTGTAATTGTGTTTGCAGACATATTTCATTTTTTCTTCAATTTTATAATACATTTGATATATAATTAAATTATAGGATAGTAAATAATAATAAAATGAAATTGAAAAAAGATAAAAATAACAACCAGAGAAAATTTATTTATTAAAAAAATATAAAAATAAATTAAATTGTGTATATTATATTATTTATTTTATTTATGACTTAAATTAATTAGATTGAATTACAATTTATTTTATAAATTAATAATTATATTTTAAAAATAAAAAAATTATTTTATTAATATATATATATATATCTTATAATTTATATTAAATATCTAAATATATAGTTATAAAATAGGTAATAATATTATAAATTTTCAAATAAGATAAGGGGTTGACCTTACTTATTAGTACTAGTAAAATGTCTGCATTTTAATTTTCTTTTTCCGTATTTCTTTATCATCTTCTCTATATATATATATATAAATTTTTATTTTATCTATATGTAAAATTAATAAAAAAATTTACTTTTCAAGATATCATTTTTCCACTCTTTAATGGGTGGATATAAGTATTTATTTATATTATATATATTATATAATTTGTTTAAAATATTTCATAATAATTATATACATAAATATATTTTATTATTTAATATAATTATCATTTTATTTAAATATTTATTATTATATATTAACATGAGACTATAAATATATTTGGATGGATCAAAAGTTTGAAAAATAAATAAAGTTATAAAAAAATTTATAAAATAAATTAAATAAAAGATCATGGGAATATGAGTTTTGTGTATTTATATATTGATAAAGAAATCTATTTTATAAAATAATAATTATTTTTTAAATAAAATAAAGTTAATATTTATATTAATATATAAATTATAAATTAATTTAATAACAAATTTATTTATTTTAATATTAATTAAGAAATAAATAATAATAACTAAATTTTTAGTTCTTATCTTAATTAATTAAATTATTTTTGTTATAATTTATATATTAAATTATTAAATAAAAAATAATTTCATTGATATAATTTAAATTTTAAAAATATTCTTTTAATTTTTATCTAAATATTTTAAAAAAATTTAACCATACCAAAATTAGTACACTAATTTAACATAAAATCATACTACCAATATATTAGTACACTAATTTAAAGAATTGATTTATTAGTTTTTAAAATTAAAAACAATATATTGATTTAATCTTATTATAATTTTGTACCATAAAATTTTCATTAAATATTAATTTTAGTTATACAAAAATAAAATAATATAATTTATGAATTTAGTTCTTCTCAATTTTATAATGATTAGAACTATTATTAAATAATAAATTTAGGTTCAAAATAACTAAAATCACTTATTTTTTAAAATTTTAAAATAAAAATTATCAATTTAAATATAGAAGGATTGAAGAAAAAAAATACACACATTAGTTTTATCTTTTTATTTAACTAAGTGATATATATATATATATATATATATATATATATATATATATATATATATATATATATATATATATGTGTGTGTGTGTGTGTAACTTTATTTCCTAGTAATATATTTGTACAATTTTCACCATATATTATGTTTAGATTTATCTTATTTTGAAAAAAAAATGTTCATTAACAAAATAATAACATTTCACTTTCAAATTACCTAAGCATAACATTAAAAATAATAAAATAAAGCACTGAGTCATTAAAACATAAGTCATAACTAAACCAATTATTAGAGTAATAAAAATTATTCTTATATATAAAAAAAAATAATATTTTTTTTATATTCCAAAATCAATTATCTAAAAATATATATAAATAAATAATCATTAATTAATAAAAATATATAAAAATGGGTGAAGTTGCATTAAAAATTTACTCGCACGTAGAATAAAATACTGTAAACATAAATCTAAAAGTATAAATGTTAGTTATATACAACACAAAAGGTAAGTAAAATAATACATAAATAACTGTTAAGTACTGTTTATATTTTAAAATAAACTGTAATTTTTATCAAATTTAATTTATGTTAGGTGAATGGAGTGTACTGTTTAAATTTTTTTATTTAAAAATATTAGTTATTTTATAAAATATACTAACCCATAAGTTACCGGTAGATTATGTTTAACCTAATTAAATTTAGACGCATTTTTTTTATTAACTTAAACAATATTTTTTTTTTTAATCAGGTGATACTTATTTTAATATAATTTTATTAAAAAATTTCTCAATTTAGAGATTAAACAGTATCAAAAATTTAAAATTATATTATTAAATCTCTAAAAATAACATTTAAATATAACATAAAAATATTCAAACACAATCATAAAAACAAAACATATTTTTAAGTCATTCAAATATAATTTAAATAATATTCTAAATATATTTCTCTAATATACTTATTCTTAAATTTAAATTTACATTAATAAAATTCTATATTGTTTAAAAATAAAATTATATATATATATATATATATATATATATATATATATATATATATATATATATTAATGAATATTATTTTGTCATTTGTATTTAGGACATCACTCCAAGACTCTTCTCCTTAACGACATCGTGGGTAAGAAAATTTTCTTATAATTAGAACGTGTAAAAAAAATTTGTTAAGACATTCATCTACCATAAGATGAAGTGAAAATTTCTGATATAGACTCTATGGACCAAAAATATCTCTAACCTGCAAGATCAAGTAATTTTGTTTATTGGAAATGGGCAACTGTGAATGAATGAAGCATGTGACATGGAGCATGATCAGAGCAGAGTCATCCCATATTAATGAACCACCTAGGGAAGTTGGCAACAGCCACGAACCTTTAATGCAGCCAATAATCTTCAACCAAAAACCTTCATTACATTATACCCTCTTCTCTCTCTCTCTTATCTATTTCTGTCTATAGCATGACCGATGTGAACAAGCTGCTTATAGTTTCACTCCCATTAGTAGTTTTCACTTTGTATGCTCAACATCAGTTGTATTTTCACTGCAATATTATTTCTCGCATAATATTCATTTTGCATTTTGTTTCTCTTTAACCAGGGCGGTTCTTGCATTTAAAGCAAAATATTATGTGACTGAGGAAAACAACGCTTTGGTTGAATAAACATAAGTTTGTAGTTCCCACAGAAAAGTTAAGGGTGTTTTGTATTTTACTTTGTTTTTTACTGGTTGTGACTGCGTTCTTAGCTAGGTAGATGAACAACTCTAGACGGAGAATACAAAGTTGCATTGGTATTTGAATTTTATATTTTGTTGTTTGCCTCTGTTCTTTAGGCATGTGAGCTGTCTAGAAAGCCAAAGGGGGCACCTTATTTGTGTTAATTGTATGATATATTTCATGCATTCTTCTATTTCAACTATGGTTAAGAGTGGAAAATCTTTTGGTCAGAAAATCTGAAAAGGAAGACCTCGAATATTGGAGTTCAGTTTTTGGTCCAGGACGATCGACCAAAAAGATTTGATTTTGCAGTTCATTTTACATCTTAGTGGTAACACAAACCTCTGTTCAAAAAGGTCAAATGCGGTAGGTGAGTTAGAGGAATGGAGAGGGTCTAACATTTAGGGATGGTAATATAGGAGGGTGTATGATGTGTTTAGTTTATTTATGGGCATAAAAATTTGATTAAAAAGAAATCATCTATTGAAAAGTTCGTAGAAATAGAAGCAAATAAAGCATTGGAGATTTCATTTCAAGGCTTGTGTTTATGCATGGTGGGAAGCATCATGGGATTAGTTAGTGATGAATACTCAAATGACTCTGTTCAGGGCTGCAATGGTTTAGAGGAGAAGCTTGATGATCTTCGCAGCCTTGTTGGGAAAGCTGATGGTGATCCTTTGAGAATTGTGAGTGTTGGTGCTGGTGCTTGGGGCAGTGTTTTTGCTGCTTTGTTGCAAGATACTTTTGGCCAATTCCGCGATAAGGTGCAAATCAGGATATGGCGAAGGCCAGGGAAAACAGTTGATAGAGCAACAGCAAAGCACCTCTTTGAAGTTATCAACTCCAGGGAGGATGTGTTGAGGAGGTTGATCAGACGTTGTGCTTATCTGAAATATGTTGAGGCCAGGCTTGGTGATAGGACTCTTCTGGCTGATGAGATTCTGAAAGATGGATTTTGTTTGAATATGATAGACACACCACTTTGTCCCTTGAAGGTGGTCACGAACTTGCAAGAAGCTGTGTGGGATGCTGATATAGTGGTTAATGGCTTGCCTTCAACCGAAACAAGGGAGATTTTTGAAGAGATAAGTAAATACTGGAAGGAGAGAATCACAGTGCCTGTGATAATCTCTTTGGCAAAGGGTATAGAGGCTGCATTGGAGCCTGTTCCCCATATTATAACTCCCACAAAAATGATTAACCAAGCAAGTAAGATTTTTCTTACTTTCATGAGTTATATTTTCTCCATTCTTCTGGCTTCTTTCTTGTACTTGAGAGGCAAGTTTTTTCTCATACATTTGATATAATAAAAGCAAAAAAATGGTTTTAAATTGCATTAGCATGCCTACATCAGTTGCATTTGCCTGCAATTTTTTTAATCACTATACAACTGCAACATCGGAACTGCAATTTAAAAGCTAGAGTTGCACGAGTTTTCATACTACATCTTGAATAACTTCATCTTTTGACCAGTATAGCGAGAGACGAAGTTTGGCTAAAGAAACATCCCCAGCATTATTGTGAGTTTTATTGGTGGAGAAAAAATTGTTTATTTTGAATGAATGTCAAACTCAACCTTTCCCATCCAGTCCTAGCAAGTTCATTTCACTGAAATATATGGTTCTCATTCACATTTAGGTAGACTACAGATCAAGGATATATCTCCTAAAGTTCATTACACATTTTAGACTTAGAGTAGTCAAGCAATAAATCTTGTTTCAGAAATTAACAGCTGCAAAAATGATAAATGCATGTAGCTACGTTTATATCATGAAGTTGTTTACATTTCAAAAGTTGATTACTCTGCACTTATCTCTAAAGTTTATACCAAGCAATAGATGTTACTAAGTGGTATAACTATTTTATCTATCCTCATTCTCAATTGTTTACACTGTAATATAATTTGACAGCCGGAGTGCCTATGGAGAACATTCTTTATCTTGGTGGTCCAAATATTGCCTCAGAAATCTACAACAAGGAGTATGCCAATGCTCGAATATGCGGAGCTGATAAATGGAGGAAACCTCTGGCTAAGTTTCTACGACAACCACATTTTATTGTCTGGGACAACAGTGACCTTGTCACCCATGAAGTCATGGGCGGCTTGAAAAATGTCTATGCAATTGGTGCAGGTAACCTTCAAACTAGATAGAGACTGTGCAGATAAAAAATTTCATTAAACATTAATCAAGAGTCATGTGGAAAAGTAAGTTACTTATTATTAAGGGTAATTGGAGATAAGATTCTTATCTCAAAGATTGGTTAAGGAATTAATCTTCACCATTAGACATAAACAGAAGTGAATACATGGTTACATTAAAGTGAAAATCAAATAGTTGAATTGGAAACAGCCATTAAGTAACATAGTCATGCCTTCTACCATAGTAACCGGTAAATACATGGTTACATTGTAATTAAATGACTTCCTTTGATTTGAAGTGAACACACTTGAGTTAGAGGCCATGCACTTTTGAGAGAATTCTGTGACAATGCCTTAATTAGACTATCGGAACGACATCATTTTATACACAAATTTTTCCACTCATCTCATGCCTCTCTTTTCCTTTCCTATCACGTCACCCCATCAAATACATCACTTTCTCTCTTTCTGGTTCTATCTCTCTCCACCTTCCCAAGGTGTGTGCACCATAAAATATACGAAGTCTTCATTTTTCTGATTGAAAACATGATGTAGCGTGTCATGCTGTGGAAACTACATAGCAATGCACTTTTCATTCTGAATCTTGACCTTAAAATGACAGCAGTAGTTTCTGTAATCTGCTTAAAATTTGTAGGAATGGTGTAATCTAATTTGCATATTTATAGTGTAAGTTTTGTTTCGTTTGGCATAAAGATCATAAATAAAGACAGTCTGCTTTTAATTTAGTCCAAAAATATTGTTTCTTCTTTCATCAAATCTCCAGCCAGTTCCTTTAATATGTGAAAAATCCATAAATTAGTTTTGGAAACCAAGCAAACCATAATCCATAATTTTTTTTCTCTAATTATATAACAAGACATAAAATTAGCAAGACTCTTCTGTTAAATAAAACAAATCAACACATTCAATATCTGATATTATTGCAGTTCTACCAAAACTGAATTTCTTATGTTTCCAAACTATGGTTGATTCTCCCAATTCCGAGTGGCTAAATCAGCATGTTAATAACTAGCCTTTATTATTTTTGGCAATACACTTGTAATCTGCAGTATTTTGGGCTAATGTCATTGCTTGTTGTCTTCTTTTTGACTACTATTGCTGTTGGAAGAGGAAAATGGGATTTTTCTTACTGTGATAAAGCATCCCCTTATTCATTTCCATAGCTTGCCTTAACTTTGTGATTGACAATCTCGCTTACATATCGTTCTTTTTATTATTATTGTCAGGAATGGTAGCAGCCCTTACCAATGAGAGTGCGACCAGCAAATCAGTATATTTTGCACACTGCACATCAGAGATGATATTTATCACTTACTTGTTGGCTGAAGGACCTGAGAAACTTGCAGGGCCATTATTGGCTGACACTTATGTGACTTTACTAAAAGGTCGTAATGCATGGTATGGCCAGATGCTAGCTAAGGGTGAATTAAGCCCAGACATGGGTGACAGCATCAGTGGCAAAGGAATGATTCAGGTATGTTCTGTAATTTACTCAGTTTCTTCCTAACACCTACTCTAAATTCCTTAGGTATTCTAATTGCACTTTGGAATGTACAAATAGTATAATACGCATTAAAATGTGAATATTATGCACAAATTATAATCCACCTTCAGTAATTTTAATTGTACTCTAGTGAAATTTGTGTATGTTATTATGGTTTAAACCCTCCCTGCAATTTCAATTTTCAATGGTAGATTTATTTTTTATCTTTGAAGACATGGAGTGGTTTTTGCACTTAAATGTTCAAAATGATTGATGTGGTTTTGAATTTCATCTTATCTTATCAACGTTTTTACATTCTAGTTACAAGTTTAAAATGAAACTTCCGTAAGTATCATTGGCATTTGAGGCTTAAAATTTGTAGTTGAATTTATGTGAGCATTATCAAATGGAAATTTTTCTCATCTGGTTTGACAGATATAATATTGCTTTTTCATTCTTTAAATATAGGACAATCTAAGGAACACAAGTAAAGTGATTCCCCATAACTAAAAGATTAATACTTCAGAGTTGATATGTATCTTGCAAGAACAAATTTTGTAAACTATGAAAGAGATACAAATATGTGGATAGTTTGGTCCCCATAAATGCTTTCTTTGTATAATCCTTAATTTGTGAAAACACAACATTGTATCCTCATTCAAAAAACATGATTGTTGTTTTGTAGGGTGTATCTGCAGTGAAGGCCTTTTTCGAACTTTTGAGTCATTCCAGCCTGAATGTGTTGCACCCAGAAGAAAACAAGCCGGTTGCTCCTGTTGAACTTTGCCCCATCCTTAAGACACTATATAAAATATTGATATCCAGGTAACTAATTTCTTGCAACCATCATATGCTTCTAGCATATGACATTGAAAAGTAATGAACTTACATTGAAACATTCTATTTGTAGAACAACTCATACTACAAATTTTAGGGTAAAACACCAATTGGTCCCTCAATATATATAGGGTATAATGCTATCACAATAAGAAAATTCAGCAAAAAATTTCAAAAAGTGCAAATAGTAAAGCACTTTAATCCAAAATTTAAAAAGTTGCATTACATAAGTGTGACGTTAACATATGTTAAGAACTGAAATGTCAGTAAATAGATAAGATTAGAGATTTATCTGGCATCCTAGAGGTGTTTTCTGCACTTAGTGTCAGGAACTAATATGACAATGTTTCACACTTTCAAACATTCAAGACTATGTTATCTCAAATTATGCAACTTGGAAACAGAAATTTAAGATGGATTGAAACTCATGTTGCATAAAATGTTGTATGAGTGATTCACAACTCATAAAATTAGACTTAATTTGAGTTTTATTTTGTATGCTATTCTAATCACTAGTATTTGATAAAAACAAGTTTCTTCACCTTATGCAATTTGCAGAGAACGCACATCATCAGAAGCTATTCTCCAAGCTCTCAGGGATGAAAATCAGAATGACCCCCGTGACCGCATTGAGATTGCACAAACCCATGCTTTCTACATGCCTTCACTTCTTGGACAACCCTAATTATTTTATTGGAGGAAAATATACATGTATGTCAGACATTTCTCAATATTTAACTTTTACTATACAATTTCAATAATTTTTCATGGCTTATAATGTATCATCTTATGATGGATTTCGCAATTCTATAATGAATTTTAAAATATTTCATTAATATTAGAATTTCTATTTTTTAATCCATAGGCTGAGATGTATTCAAACTATTAAAATTTGTAATTTTTAATAAATTCCTGAATAAGAAAATGTTATCAAATTTCTTTTATATTACACTTAAATATATTTTTAATCCTTCTATATATAATTGTATAAAAGTATTTATTAATTTTAAAATTTTGACATTTTTTTAAACGTTATTCTTTGGCCTTTACAATGAATTATAGTTAGCTTAATGCTAAAAATGAAAACTATTAATGAAGATAATAAAGAATGTTTTCAATTAAGATAATTATATATACTTTAATAAAATAATATATTTATTATTTTTAATAAAGCAATACAGCCCCTATATTTTTGCTAAAAAAAATAAAATAAAACAAAATAACATAGTAAACTTTTAAGTTAGATCCTATTTATAAATGATTTTTTAGTTATACATTTGACACGCAAAAATCCTCATATAATAGGTGCACGGGTCCAGATATTAATATAAAAAAAATTAAATTTTATCATTTAAAGGATTTTTATTTTATTAAAACTAAATTTAATAAATTAAATAAATTTTTTAATTAATTATCTATACAATTTTTTTATCTTAAAATATCAGGTTTATTATTCGTGAGGAATGGATTTAACGAACTGAGTCACAGAGCATGATGAATGTACAGGCAGGGATTTAAAAATAGGGTGGGTAGGTTGATCGTTACGATGAGTTAAGTAGTCCAAAAAAATATATTAATGAATCCGTTAATATATTATTTTTTAAAAATTTAAAAAATATATTTTTAATTATATAAATAATTTTTAAATTTTCATTTATTAATTAATAATTTTATTAAATAAATTAAAAAATTTATTATATTTATATATTATAATTTTTAATTATAATTATTTTAATCTTATTTTTTATATATAAATATTTTTGGAAAAATAGATGAATTTATTTTGTAATCTAAGGGCTCGATTAATCAAAATGAATTGTTATACTAAAATTACCAGTTTACATTACCAATTTTGAGGTCAAGTATAGAATCGTCCTACTTGTTATCTTTGTTAAAAAATATGTTGTTTCGTACAAAATATAATAATAAAAATATTAAAATATATCTTTTTTTATTATTAAAAATAATAAAATTGACAGAATTATCAAATTAAATAATTTTAAGAGCATAAATAATTAAATTGATCTTTTTGAAAGATAAAAATACAATTCTAACTTAGAAATTTTTTTAATGTAAAAATAAAAAATTAAAAAATTTAATATTTTATTATGTCTTTATATATAATTATAATGCAAATATAACTTTAAATAGAATAAAATATATGAATATTTCTTTGTTAAAAAATAAAAGAACTATTTTAATTTAAGCCTAAAAACAATGGTCGATGAGGCCCATTGTTTAGTTTAGATCCTTCTAGATCCATCAATTCCACTCTTTTCTTGTATCTCATCTTCTCGCTTCCTCTTTTTCTTTCATTCTTCTTCTGCACGCAACTACGAAATCACCTCCTCTCTTCACAACCCACTTAGCTGCACTGCGACAAAAAGGTTTTCTCCCTCCCCTTCACTACTTTCTCAGCTATTTCATTCATTATTATTTTTTCTTTTCTTCTTTTTACAATTTTCTCTTTTAGAAATTTTTGGAGACTGTATTGCTTTGCTAACATTTTACTCTGTAATCAATTTTTTTGCCTCTTGGATTGAGAATGATTGCATTGCTCCTATAATATCTTCTTAGCAAAAATATTAATTATGATTGTTGCCTTTTACTAATAATTTGGTTACCGTTGTAGCAGAGTGTTATGGGAATCATCATGTTTAACTAAGTTCGTTACTTGATCATGGCAACTGACTGTTGTTTCGAATAATTATAGTCTTGAAGTATGTTTGAATGAAATTGTTTGTAGAATCAACTGTGTTAAGAGTAATAGTTTAAATTTGTACAAAATGAAATCAGAAAAATAGGTTAATTTCTTGAATCTGATAATTGTAGTAATTTTCTTATTAAGTATGTTTCAGTCACACTGTTTTTTTCGTATTATGTAAAAGTTTATTTTTCTACATTCAAGTAAATTTATATAAAAAAAATAGTTCCGATATTGGATTTCATATAATTGATTGTTGAAATAATTGAAGTTTTACAGCTGCCAAACATATTCTATGGATACTCTAAAAGGGGACAGTGGAAAACCGTCTTCATCGGCTGCAAGTGTTACTTCATGTCGAAAGAAGAAGCATGAAGAAGCCACTTTTTTGGAGGACTTGAAGGACCACATTGACGAGTTTATTCATGCTTCTATGGACGAACATAAAACTTGCTTCAAGAAAACAGTTCAGAAGGTTTGTGTTGAACCTAAACTTTCTTATTACGACAATTGTGTGCCACCTTGTTAGTCTATGTAGTGTGCGGCTTTGGTTTATTTCAGATGTTTGGTATGTCCAAGGCTGTTGCAGAGAGGAACACTGATGCCGCCAAAGAAGTTGAGAGTTCTCTGCCTCTTCAGACAACTTTGCAAGATTAGTTTCACGTTTGCTTTAAATAAACAAATGGTTTGTTTTTTATAATAAGTGATTGATTAAATTGGTTGATCCTTGTTTAAAGGACCACTAATTTCATGAAAAATACCAAGACACTCTGATCCATTGGACTAGGTGTGCAGACTTGTCACTTGAATGGAGTTTAATTTGCTTACATTGCTTAATGCTCACATTTCCGATTTTCTTTTAGTTATTAGCTGTTTGGTTCCATTTAATGACTTAATAAAAGCTCGTTTTCAATCAATTTGTGTTCAGAGTAAATATTTATATTAAACATACACTATTATTATTAACTTTAGAAGGCATGTATGGTATGTAAGCTCTTACTATTGACTTGGTAAGAACAATTATTCAATGACTAATCATTTGCTTCAACATCAGTCAAACAAAAGTTTGCAGATGGAGTTTGAGGTGTTCAATGGGTGTAAGCTGTTTTGAATTAGTAAATCAAAGAATAAATTCCAATCATTGTTCAGGAATTAAAAACAACCTAGTGCAGAAACTATCTCCCTAATCATGATTTGTAGATATATTTTCCCTTTTACTTATTTCAAATATAAACTATAAACCATTCCTAGCGTGGTTCTTTGTGCCTTCTTGTCATGGGGCAACATATAATGAACGAGCTTTCTTCCTTTAGAATACAGGAAAAGGTTTGCAATATTTAAGTCTACCCTTTTATGAGAATGTCTTAATTTATCCCTCGTGATTAGTTTTCTCATTTTTTTTTTGTGCTGATTTCTGTATGTGTTATTTCAGAACTAGATAATTGATACAGTATTTGACTGTTACACATGAATAGTAAGCAGTTAAGACCACATAAAATTGTAGAACTTTATTATGGTGAGTGCTACAAAAACGTGGTTGATTCTTCTAAATATCTTCAACGTAAAGTAAGTACAACTTGGAATCATGAGATATGATCCTTCTAAAAAAATACTCTTATATATTATGAAAAAATAGTGTAATACCTCACAGCATAAAAGCTGCATATTAGTAACAAGGGGGACAACTTGGATGAAAAAAATAAAAATTTTGTTGACGTCAATTGGACACTGGAGCTTCAGGTTTTTGAGCATGAAAATGAGAAGTTACAGGAGAGAACCCCCACCCTCCCCTCAAGGACAAAGTCTAGGAGGAGCAGATAAAAATGTTGCAGAGTGTTTATCTTTTCAATAATTGTTCAGCAAATCAAGTATATATTTTGATTTAACAGAAATGAAGGTGTTAAATTGATAATATTGAACCATCCAAATATATGGTTTGCATGTGTATTATTGGCTGTCATAATTATTAATTACATACTATTTATTCTTATTTTTATTATTATTATTATCTTGCATATTAGTGTCCATTTTTCTTAATCTTTTAAGATCATTAATTCGTTTAATTAATGAGGATTTATGATCGCATCAAAACAAATACATTAATATATATATATATATATATATATATATATATATATATATATATATATATATATATTATATATCAGTACGATGTGATATATTTAAGCCACGACTACAAATATGTTATTTTATGCAGATTTTATTGTGAAAAATTTAGGCAGAAATTTCATGCAACTTTTTCTAGGAAAGTATATATTATACTATATTTATTTGTGGAATAAAATTTGTTTTAATAAAGGAGTTTTTTTTTAATTATTTTTTCATATAAAAAAATATAATTTATATTTATGTTATTTTTCTATGTTTTTTCTTAAATATAAAATGATCATAAATAATACAAAAATATTTTTTTCTCCATATCAGTTTCTCTGTTCTTAAAATTTTATCGATTTAATTTTATAATATTAACAATTACTAAAATAAAAAACATACTGAGGTGCTAATCTATCCAGAGAGACTTCTCGGTTAAAATTGTAATAACTATCTTTTATTATTTTAAAATTAATGCAATTATTTTATATATTACTATTATTATTAATATGATATTATTTTAAAAAATAGTTACTTACCTAATATGTACACCCGTGCGATGATTTAAAGTGGCATGCATTATAATATGAATTGTTTCTTTATCAACCAATAAAGACATATACTAAATGAAATTATTCTCACATTTTCGGGAAATTACATTACCTAAAAATCGAAATGAGATAGATAGGTTTTTCACTCCTACTAGCAAAATTGATAGAAAACTTAACTAAAAAGCTACCAAAACCAAGTTGAATTCCTATGAAAGATTTAAAAAGAGAATTTTTTATCAAACAAACTTAAATAAAAATTAAGATTTTTAACCTGTAAGATTCTTATAAAAACAAAAACAAAAAAACTTAAAAGAGTAACATCTTCATACTATGAAGAAAGACACTCTCCTCAATGATTGTATGTGTCAAGAGACGATGAAGAATGCAGAGTTGGAGATGGATGCTAACAAAGATGATGAGTTTTGTAAACTCTTAGCATCTTTTTGGGAGGTGGCCTTGAAGGTGGTCTTGGAGGCAAATGTCTTGCTTCCTCTGTTTTGTTTACATGCAGAGATATTTCTCCTGTTAGACTAGGAGGACAGTTATCAACCTCCCAGAATGTTTCTATCAAATGCTGAATCTCTGGATCCATCTCTGCATCCTCGTACGATGTTTTTCTTTTCTTCTCCGAATCATTATCAATAGATATACAAGGTTTCCACACTCCATATCTTCCATGTGCCATTTTAACTGAATGTCGTGCCTTCATATTTTCTCCATTTGCTTGGAAACAAAACCCATCAACCACCTCTTTGTCCTTTCCTTCAACCCTAACTGCATCATCTTTTCTTCTTCCACCATAATTCATCTCTTCCATGCTTTTTCCACCCCTACCATTCATGTTTTCTCAACAAATCAAACCCTTTCTTTCTACTTTATTTTCTGCCACTTTCTCAGTGTTTCTGATATTTATTTATAACAAATGTTTATGAGAAGAACTTGAAAAGATTGCCAAATGACGAATTCCGTTTTCAATATTTCCTTTCTTGTTATCAGAATAATATCTTAATTTATCTTTTATCCTTATTTTTCATTAGTTTTACGTTATCATGTAATATAATTTCAATCATGATTTGCTTATAATCAGTTAAGATTCTGATAGATTTATATCAAATATATCGTTATAATATCAAAATATTCATAATTCAAGTAATGATTTCCAGGTAAGTGATTATTATTTTTTAACCTTTTTACGAAAATCATAATCCATATTTTGTTTCTTTCTTTACTATAATATTTTTTAAAACTCAAAATAGTTTAATTCATAGGGTTTTACTCATTAATATAATTATATATAATATTATTAACAATTAATTTACTCAATAATAATAATATTACATGATCAATTATTTATAATAAATTATCATTAATAGACATCAATTTAAAGATTTTTTTTAACTTTATATATATATATATATATATATATATATATATATTTGTGTGAGAAATAAAAATTATGAATATAATATAATTATAAAATATCTATATTTTTTTTAAAAATATTATAAAGTGTTGAATAATTTTTGTAAAGAAAATATTTTATAACTTAAAAAAGAAAAACAATTTTATAGTATATAAAATTTATGTGTTTTGTTTAAACATTTTGAAAGACTGACCCATGAATAAAATTTATGAGAGAAGCAATTCCCTTTGGGAAGATCATGTACTATTTTACAATTATTATATAAATTAAAATAAATCACAATAAGAAAGTGAAGCATTAGAAACACAAAGTAGGTTGATTTCAACAGGGCAAAACTAAACTTGGGGCAAAATTACAAGCCCAAAAGTTAATTTTTTTTTACGTAAATTACTATTTTTTTTTAATATTATAAAAGAGGGTCAAATTATATTAGTTATAGCGAATAAATCATATATTATAAAACCATTTTAAATAAAAAAAAATCATGTTATCTAGTATAATATCTGTATTTTTTTTTTAATGTAAATTTGTTTAAGGTAATTTAACTTTGATATTAACATTGACATGATTTAAAATGACTTTAAGTGAAAGTTTTTTTTTTTAATAAAGTTGTGCTAGCATAATTTATATAAAAACAACTAAAGTTGTGGCACCTAATACAAATTATGTTTTTTTTTTAATGAAAGTTTATAGTTAAATTATTTTTTTAAATAATTATATTATTAAAGAATTATTAATTTATTTATTTTATGTTGTATATAATAAGTAATACAATTTATTATATTAATATATAATTATATTTTATATAAAATTTGCATAAATAATAATATTATTATAAATTTAAATTATATATTTTTAATCAAAAGAAAAAAATATATTAAAATTTATAATTTCTCACACATTTATTCTACAGTTTTTTTTAGAGTTCCTTACTTGTAATATTTTATTTTTAGTATAAATTATTTAATTAACAATAAATTACTTTATTAATAACACAATAATTTGTTGTGTGGAGTTATTTTTTATGATAAAAATAATTATTATATTTTTCATATAAAATTAATGAGTTATCTTCTTTATAATAAATATAATTAATAAAATAATATTTTAAACAAGTTTAAACTAATAAATATAAGAGAAATAATATAAAAAAATAATTATTATAACATTATATATTAAATGAAAGAGGAGTGAGAATAAATACCTAAAAAGAGTGAAAAACAGTAACTAAAACACATAAAAAAAGTGAGAAATGAAATGTGATAAAAAAATAATAATAAATCTTAAAAAAATAGTAATATAAAAATATAAAGATACAGAAAATTTAGAACCTAAAATAAATTTTATTTTAAATTTGCGCTGTGACTTTGATATTCTTAAACTACAATTTAAAAGGATTATTTTCTGAATTTGTTAAGTAGGAAAATAAAATTTTGAAACCATTCTTACAGAAATGAAAAAGAGAATTTGAAGTTATTAAAAAATAACTTTACATATAAAAATATTTTTTAAAATTATATTTAAAATTGTAAATAAATTGTGGATAAAAATAAGAAATAATTTTCCTATTTTATTCAATAAGAAACGTTTAAAATATTAGACTAATTATTTCAATGTCCATAATTAATTGATTTTTTTTAAATTAATAACATATTACAATTGTAATTATTGAGTTGAAAGTATTTTATAAAAAAAATTATTTAAAATTTATAATTAATTATTAATATGTAGTTGTATATAAATATTTAAAATAAATGAATATTTATTCGCTTGATTTAAATAATCAGTTAATGTATAATTTTGAAAATCAAACTTACCTCAAAATCTTTTTAACTTGACAATATTTGATTATTTAAAAAAAAGTGTTTCATTTAAAAATATAAATATAAATTAATATAAATATTAAATTGTAATTCGTTAAAACAAGATAAATATAATAGAAAATACGAATTGTTTTTGCCAGTCTATAATAAAAGTTATGCTTATAATTTATTTTTTAATTAATAAACTTTAATAATGTAATAAAATGGTAATCCGTCTCTTTTAATTTATATTTATGATTGATATAATTGTGTTTTGATAATTATTTTAAATATGAAAATTATATTTTGATAATTTTTTTTACCTATAACGATTTGAAAACTTTATTATATAATAATAATAAAATAATAATAATAGTAGTTTGATAATTATGGATGAAAAAGTAATTATATATTTTAAATAAAAAAATGAAATAATTATCGAAACAACAATTATATAATATTATAAAAAAAAATTAAAAGACGTGATAATAAGTCCCAAATAACTCAGAGAATAGTCATTTGAGCTTAAAAATCACGTTTTATATTCTTAAATATGGTTAAGATAATTATTTTTAGAAAATTTTGAGAGAACTTCACCAAAAACGCTAATACTAAGCTAAACCTATTTCATATTTGTTGGTTTAGTTTGGTTTGAGTTGAGAGGAAGGAAGAAGGAGAGGATACGCAACAATGGCGGAGAACGCGAAAATGGTGGACCTCCAACTCACCTTGAAGCCTTTCTATCAGAGAGCCTCAGAAGCAGAGGTCACTCACTCTTCATTTTCTTATCCTATCACTCTCTTTCATTCATTTTTCTCTTCAAAACCTATCATTCCTCAAACTATGTGCGATTCAATATCCATTACTTGAGTCCTTCGCATTTTCGTTTAGCATTGAAGCTTAACCAAACTCGTACTCGTAGCTGTGAAGAGTCCAGTTGTTTAATAAAATTTGGAAGAAATCAGGTTAATTACAAATTATCAGCAGAGCATGTTTTAGAGTGAAACTCCGTTTTGCTTACTGAAACGTGACAATTTTGATTAGTTTTGTTTATTCGCCGTTTTCATCTTGAAATATGAAAGTATTTATTAGTTTAGTTTTTTCTTTCTCAACGTCAATTTAGTGATTGCTAATTTTACTCGACATTTTATCTTGTGGTTTCTATTATTAAGGGCAGAAATGTGGGAATGTTGAAAGTAGAGTGCAATTTTAACATTTGTGCCTCTCGTATGACATTTTGAAAATTAGCAAGCAACAAGATGTGAAAATTAGATTTTCCTTTTGGTTCTGGATACTCCTTAAAGTTTGCTTTTGGTCCAAGTATAGCCTAAGATTCCATAATTTTGAATCCCTCTTGCTATGTCTAGTGCATGGTTTCTTGATATAATGCATCAATTGTAATTGTAATTCATCGTAAATTTCCATTTCCTGTAGCTAATTGAGACATACCACATAGCTTTAGGTGGTTAACCAGTTAGTTAGTTGAATGTAAGAACTAACGGATGTATAAATAGGCATTTGTAGCCACCTTTAGAAAGAATTCAGATAATCAATTCAAGATTCACTCTAACCTCTCTCTTTCTACATATCATTCAGAACCCTCCACCATGTATATGTCGTGGGAAGACCCTGACCCTTGGCAGGAACTACTTTATTTTCCCTGATGGTTCCATTAGGATTTCTCTCCTTCTCTTTAAAATAATAGTACAACTGATTTTTCTTTTAGTTTTAAAATTATGATTTAACAAATAATTATTATATTTCTTAGCCCCCCTTTCCTGCTGAGTTTTTTCGGTAACTACACTGATTTATCTGGGAACGTAGGCATACAACTAATTTATTTTCTTTATTTTTAATTTTGGAAAATGATTTCATCACATTTTTAATGGTAATGTTCTTATCTAAACCAAGTCAAGCTCTTCATGCTAGTTTCATCCTCCTCAAAGTATTTTTAGTTTCTAAAACATTTTTTTTACTACCTTAGTTACTGCAAAATGTTGTCATAAGCGTGTTATGGATGAAGATAACACATGATTGAAGTTTACATAGTTAAGATAAGGGTAATATATGAATACAAAATAATACTTTATTTTGTTCCATTCATTACACAAACAAAGAAATAAAACTTTTTTTCTACTCTATCATAATATTTCCAAATATCCAAACAATAGGGTTGAAGTTTATTTCTGTTGTTATTCATTCCATTCATCTCTTTCCAACAATCTAAACATAACCTTAGTTCTTTATTTAATTATTTTCAGTTGGTTTGTTGGTACCACTTTCTACTTTGTAATATGCATGCACTTGATGCGGGAGGGAAAGGCTGGGACAATAGCGTGAAACAGAATTTGGATTGAAGGATAGGGATATCAAAATGTTAGGAAGGAAGATATTGGGCCTAAAGCCCTTTAGTATATCGGAGAAGAAAGAATGCTCATTAATTGTAAATAAGGGCGAAGTCAAATAGAGTGGCTTGTTACGACATTTAGACAGTTTGTTACAACAATTTGGCAAAGGAGAATAACAAATACACTGTTGTGAGAAGAGGGAGGGGGTACGGTTTATTTTGTAGATTGACTATTAACTCTTTGTAAAAGGAGAAATCTTTCAGTGGAAGGGGAAAACCCTTATAGAATAGAGTGTTCTTCTATTTCTTCTTGTTTTCATTCTATTCAATATTTTTTTTTCTGTTTTTTATTCTTGGTTCCTTACACAAAAGTAAGGGTTCGGGAGTAGAAACCTCATATGAACAGTTCAGTATATTACAATGAATATCCCTGGAATAATTTCCAGAGTGCATAATATAAGTTTATCAATATCCAAAAGTTCACTAGATAGCTCTTCTATAGGTACCTTAAATTTACCAATAGGTTATGATTTTTCAAGGAAATTGATAATTTATAGTGTTTTCATGTAAATTCTCTTTTATGGTAATTACTTATACAAGTGCATAATCAAAATGTTATTATAATTGAGCCCCTACCCGGCTTGTTCTGCACCAACATTCCTTCTATTTTGAATAGATACAGTGTCATGCTAGCTTGATGTTTCAAGTATTAGGTTGAACGGTTTAGTAAATAATTCTATTGTTAAATCAATCAACCTAGATTATGTGAAATTGAACTGTGTATGGGCTTGAGGTTAGAGTGGATTTGACTCTGAAAAATAAATACTTAATGGACTTCCCTGAGACATTCTTTTTCCTTATGCTTTCCATATCCTGGGCAGATATGGAATCGAGCTTCCACTATATTCTGACCATAAACTTGCTGAAATACCAACTGCATGAAATTTTTGCACTGTTCTGACTTGTAAGACACGACAGCTCTGTAATGAAGAGAAAAGGATTTTGAAATGAAATTCCCTTGTTAGAATTTGAAAAACTTGAGAGAGCATTTACCTGTGTTTTTATTTCTGGTTTTACTTTTTAATTACAAATTGTGATCTTGTTTTCAATCTATTATATAGCAAAAAAACAAAAACAAAAAGGTTGTTTTCTGTGTTTCCTGTATAAATTTTGACAAAAAGGAACAACTTGGATAGAAGGATTTCTTACAAGTTGCAACTCTCTTACCAGCATATCTTTGTTGTAGGAGCGTTTATCAAGACTAGAAGCTGCCTTGAATAATAAAAAAGGTAGGTGCTAAGGTACTCAACACAACCAATAGTAATTTCTGATTGAAGTCTGTCCTTGAGATTGTGTTACTTGCATATTAAAATTGCTCAGATACTGGAAACGAGGAAAACTTGAAAGTGATCAATGATCTTCAGTCAAAGCTAAAAGCTGTAAATGCAGAATCTATTTCAGAAAAAGAAAAGGTTGTCCTCATCTATGGTTGTTTATTTACATTACATTTTGTTAATGGTTTAAAATTATACCTCATTTACTGATCATTTTTGTTTGCAGATTCGAATGCTTGAAGAAGAAAATGCAAAACTTCAATACCGGATTGTTCATCTTGTGAGATCACTCAAGGAAACTAATTTGAAGTTAGAGCAAGTGAGTGTCACTGGTTTCCTTCAATGCTTTTGATTAATTAGTAAATGTGCATTATTGAGTGAGTGTGGCTTTAGAAGTTTGTGGCCAATAGTGTCATACAATAATTTGGATAATATCTTTCATGTAGAAATGTGACAACTGATTTTCTTTTTCTTTGTTACACTTCTGAGATATATATGGTTCAAGATATTTTACATATTTTAAGGTGTTGCTTTGGTTGAAGTCCAAATTAGGCATTATATCTATTTATAGAAGAAAGAATCAAATTAATATGGAATGAATCATATTTAAAAGAATAGCTTAATTTGCCTGACAACTAAAGTTGGTTTTATGTGCTGCTATAATCTTTTTTTTTCTTCTTTCAGTAAGAAAAATAAGTAGTTTAACAACGTGGATAGTTCTTATACGCAACCAGTATTAAATTTCGGCAAAAAGAGTGTTACTATATTTGAGTTTGAGTTTGAAAGTCAATTTGGATGGTGAGCATTTGCATCAATGTTTGATTGCTCTTCCAATGGTTGTTCAAAATGATTTAATGAAATTTGTTCAACTAATTAAATGCCTTTTTAGTAGGTAAAAGTTATGTAATGCTGTTGTTTGGAATCTGGCTCATGACTAAGTTAGTAGCCTTTTTCTGATTTCAGGCGACAGTGGATGACCAGCTCCAGAACATGAAATTGTAGGGTTCCTGAGTTTATGAGCTGAAATTGACAGTTGCTTTTTCTTGTGTATTTTGCTTTATGAATGATATTCGTGGTGAAGCTAAATATGTTTAGCTTTATTGGTTTTACATCTTTAAAAATCAGTTCTTTGTTTAGCTCATGCATTATGGTAGACGCACGAATTTCATTCATTAGGCATATTGCTACACAGCCACAAAAAATGAGCCAGGATTAAACAGTCGGTATAAGAGATGAAGGGAGGATGACTTGTCCATGCAATAACCCGACACATTTTGGCTTCTTATTTTGTCAAACTGATTCCAGGTATTGGCAGTATCCCACATTTTTTTTTTGTTTCATCTTATTCTCAAGTTGTATTATATGGGACGATGATTAGGGTTAGTCCTAGTTTTATATTTATTATCTTATGAAGAAAATATTTATATTTATTAGAAGTCCAAAGATATTTTATAATCATTTAGGTTAAACAAGATTATAAAGCCAGGTCTAAATATATAACATCTTTTTTACCATAAATGAATTTATATGATAACTATTTTAATATGATATAAATATGTCAATTTTTTTCTCCCGTTTAATGTTTTTTTATATAACCCAAATTATAATGTCATAATGAAATGGATGACAGAGAGGTAAATCACAACAAATTTCAAATTTGCTAATGATGTTGCACATTGGCATCACAGATAAGATCTGAAAAAAAAAATTAAATTATTCAATTTTTACGGGTTCAAATGGATCTCAACCGTTTTTTGCAACTCAAATCAATCCAACATATTCTAGTTCAATTTAACCAAAGTACAAATTTTTATTGAGACAAGAAAAAATGCATGCCTTTATTAAAAAAATCCACTCATAATATTGCCATTAAAAGGTATAAACATCATCTTTTGGTGTAATTAGTCTACATAAACTAAATAGTAACACATTATAGAAAAATATGATTATATCATGAAACATCAAAGATAACTACTAACAACCGAAAAATTCATATAATTTGATTCAATTAAAGTTCATGGTATCCAAATAAATTTGAGTTGGATTGCGCCAAAAATGTGAACCAAATAAATTGGTTCAATTTGGATTCTCATATTGATCGAAATTAATGAACACCATTGTATGTGGTTGTTCCTACCTCCATTTTTTTAGGGTTTCTTAAAAGCTAGAAACTGAAAAACAAGATTTGTAGTATGTTAAAATTTCAGCTACATTTACACAAGAAATTATAGAAGGGCAAAGAGATACTAGTGCCGTATTTTATGCCAGCTCGGGACCAGAAGGAAGTGGCTCATAACCATCATGATGCTTTGTAGAATCTCCTTTTTCAACTGGGATGCACTTAAGTAGAGCAGCTATTGGCATGCTAATTGCTCCAATTACCACGCTCAGTACCCAGAATTGCCAACTTAGAGGCACTGTGCTGGCAAATGTTCCCAGGAACTCAACTATGAGTACTTGAAATGCCACTGTGGAGAAAACAACCGTAAAAAATATCCAGCTCTCAAACATGCCCTTGAATATGTTTATCTTTTCAATATCTCGGCTGTTTATCTCATTGAAAACCTAGCAAAGGAATGTGGCAATGAGAAAATAGCAAACTAAATGAGCAAAATACAGTGGAAATTTTGATCATTTATACAAAGCATCTGCAATGGTTTAAAATAGTATTTAAGGGCAAAATGAGGTATCATAAAGGCAATAGCAATGGTAATAAAATGCTTAAAGTTTTATAGCCGTACACGGTTGCAATATGAAATCATCATTGACCCGCAATTTTAGTTAATTAAGTGTTTTTGTCCCTCTTTAATGTAACTTTTTTCATTTCTAATAAAAATTTTATTTGTTTTGGTTTTCAATTTAATTTAATTTCACTGTTTAAAGCCCTATGCAAACAAATCTTATAGAAACCAAAAATTTAAAAAAAAAAGGAAAAAAAAACTGAAGGAAACAAAAACATATTAATTTAAATTTGTTAATAAAGTCAAGTAACTTATGAAGTGATTGAATTAAATTATTTTTACACTGTCAGATCATGTAATTATTATTCTAAACCTTTTGGGTAAATCATCGAACACAAGAGAAAGTTTAACATGTATTATTAGTCAATTTTTCTAACACCAATTCTGTCAAGCTTTACTGAATCGTTTAATCATTTTGAATCTTTCTTCCACTTTTTATCTCTAAAAAGTTTAATCATATATTTGTCAATTACGATCATCACAATTGGTGTTAACGAGGGTGCATACGGTACTTTACCTGGCAAAATACAAAGGAGTTGAATATCAAAGTGTTGAGCACTATAGTTGAATCTGAACCATTAATTCTCAGTAGTCTCTTCCCGTCAAAAGTGAGAACCGCAAGGACAATTAGTTGGTATAAACTTTGACCAAATATATTCCTCCACATGGATTTGGTAATAAAGTTGGTTGTCCTTCCAACTGGGGGTCTTAGCATAAGTCCATCACTGGGAGGTTCAGTGGCCAAAGCTAATGCACCCAGAGTGTCCATAATCAGGTTGACCCAAAGCAACTGAACAGCTGTGAGGGGAGCAGATCCTGAAAAGAAGGAAGAAAACATAATCTTCTGTTCATTGAAAAAGATTTAACACTTCAGTGGAAATAAAAATTCATGACAAACCTGTGATACAGGCAGAAACAAAATTAATAATCAGAGCAACAATATTGACTGTTAACTGAAACTGCACAAATTTTTGAATGTTTATGTATATGGCCCGTCCCCATCTGGCCACATTGACAATGGTAGTGAAGTTATCATCCATTATAATGACATCAGCATTTTCTTTGGCAACCTGTAAAAGGATTAATTATAAAAAGAAAACGTTATTAAACTTTGATACAATAACCGGACAATAATATAAAAAAGACATAGAATAAACATGACAAGGATTTTGAAAATAGGTTTAATTACTGGTCCCCATAATTACAAAAACTTTTCCTCAATGTCCTTGTCCCCATACCTAAATATTCCCCCTTTAGCGTTACACATACCGATTTTAGTCTCTTTCGATTCAGTCCTCATTTAAGGACTAAAAGGGATTAAAAATGGTATAAGTAGGAACTAAAAAAAATATTAAAAATAAATTAGTATGTTTAGGAACTTCAAAGAAAAAGTAAAATAGGTACAACACGTAAAATAGGAGATTATGTCCTTGAAAGGTATCAATGTTGGCGAAGAGTGAAAGGAGGGACAAGACGAGGGAAAGGAAAAATATAGTCAGAACACAAGACAATAGTTTGTCTTAAACAAGATGCAGGGCAACTACCCAAAAGCATTACAATGGAATGCATACGTAATACCATCAAATTCATCATACTGAACACATCATGGCCACAAACCTCAGTTCCAGCTATGCCCATAGCAAGTCCAATGTCTGACTCATGCAGTGCAGGAGCATCATTGGTTCCATCACCAGTAACAGCTACAACCTCACCAAGCATATTCCTCAAACGGGTTACTAAGGTATGCTTGTCAAGAGGTAAGGATCGTGCCATAACCTGAAACAATGTTAAGCACCTTAGAAAGATAGGCTTCACAAATGAGTGTTAAAATCACAGAATTTAAAATGAGATCATGACCTGAATTCTTGGTATAATACTCTTCATTTGCTCTGGAGACAAATCACGAAATTCCGGTCCTTCTATAGCTACACCATCCTCCGTAAGTATGCCACATTCTTTAGCTATGGCCCTAGCTGTATTGATGTTATCACCGGTCACCATGCGGACAGTTATTCCAGCAGCTAAGCAACTTTGAACAGCTTCCTTAACCCCAGGACGGACTGGATCCTTGATTCCCACAATGGCTATCAGAGTATAACTATCTTCAGGGATGCTGGTTTCCCCTAGGGGTTCATTTACATCTTTAACAGCTAAACAAAGAGTTCTCAAAGCTTCAGAGGCTAAGCCATTTATAGTGTCAGAGACATTCTTTGCCTGATCATCAGAAAGATCAACAACTGTTCCATTCGGATCAATCACTTTGTTACACAATTTTAATACTATTTCTGAAGCACCTTTGCAGAAAGCTTGGGCACCTCCATCAGGAAGACCTACTAGCACGGACATCTTCTTCCGGACTGAATTGAAAGGCTCAACCTTAAGTATCTTATATGTTGCACGCTGCACATCAAAATCACCACCTGAAAGCAAGCCAAATTCCAATAATGCTGATTCTGTTGGTGTTCCCAATATTGTTGTATTTCCATCTTTGTCCTTAACTACTTCAGAAGAAGTATTTTGAAATATAGCTCTCAAAAGGATGCTTAAGACTTCTTCGGGTATCTCTGTCTTCAGTTTGTCAACGCTCTCCTTACCTTTAATCTCCACGATCTTTCCACAAATCCAAATTTTATTTACCACCATATGGTTAGTGGTCAATGTTCCTGTCTTATCTGTGCAGATGCAAGTCGCCGAACCCATAGTTTCACAGGCAGAAAGATGTCTCACAAGTGCCTTATCCTTCATCAACTTTTTCATTGCAAAAGCAAGACTGAGTGTCACAGCTAACGGCAACCCTTCAGGAATTGCAACAACTATTATAGTTACCGCGATAGCAAAGTAGTCCAGCAGCTTCAATGCATCATTTGAAGACCAACTAGCAAAATCACCACTAACTGCTTTTTCGACCACAAACCTTATTGTCAGCACCAGAAATGTCAGCACAGAAAAAGCCAAACCAATTTTTCCAATAACAGTAGCAACTCCATTCAATTTCACTTGCAGTGGAGTCTCATCTTGTCCTCCCTCACTTAGAGTTTCCATCAACTTCCCCCATTCAGTCCTCATGCCAACAGTCGTAACTATCATCTTCCCCTGACCATCTTGAACTTTTGTTCCCGAAAGAAGAAAAGGTCTTTTTTCATCTATATCTACTGGTTCGCTCTCACCTGTCAAACTTGACTCATCAATTATCAAAGAATATCCTGATATATAAATTCCATCAGCAGGAACTTGATCACCAGTTGACAAATGAACAATATCTCCCACAACCAAATCATAAATTAAGACCTTCTGTCTTTTTCTGTCCCTTGTGACCTGGACAAATATCTTTTTCTTTTCTTTGTCCAAATCCCTGAACTGTAGGGATTGCTGATAGTCACTGATAGCAGTAACAATGACTACCAAGAATATACTAAGTATGATTCCTAGACCATCATAAATACCTTTTGGCCATCCTTCAGTGGGAAGCCCTATGGCTATAGAAACTATCGCACAGACCATGAGAATGATTAGTGTTAAGTCATGCAGTGCTTCCCAAACAAACATCAGGAAGCTTTTAGAAGGTTTCTCAGTATAACGGTTGACTCCATAAATCTCTTGCCTGGTATCTATACTGTCTCCACCAACACCATCTTCGACTGAGGCACCGAGTTTCTCTATAATACCTTCAACTTGACCAATTTTTTTATATTTCTTGTAATCATGACCTCGAACCAACAATGCAATATCATCTGGTTCAATACCAAAACCAGCTTCTCTCGTCTTTTCTGACACCTTGTATTCAGCTGGACCAATAACTGCATAAGAAAACCAGATGAACTATGAGAGACCATACATTAAGAAAAAGTTATTAGTTCAAAAGCAATCATATGAATTTTAATCATATAAATTGGAGCGCCTTACCATCCATAAATTGTAGTGCTGCCCTTTCAGCATAGATAATGGCACGAATCTTTCCCTGATGGAGTATAATATTGTCAAAGTAGATAACAAATTAACAATGTATATCTAAAAACGGATTTAATAAGAAGAATAACGGTCATTGAATCTGATAGAGGTCATGGCCATGCATTTAAAACTTAGCACTTTGCACTTGGAATGACATGTCTAAGCAAGAAATAAAAGTGGAATACCCTGTATACTGACTGAAGGTATTCCATACAATCCTTGCTAAAATTGAACTATGTTAATGTTTAAGTGAATTCTTTCTAGAAAATGGATGGAATCTTATGATAAAGAAATTAGCCTAGTAAATTAAAGTTGGGTATATTGGATATATTATATCATTAAGGTGTGTTTCAAATGAGCAGGGTGTCAAATAAGTCTGGTCCAATAAACCAACCTAAAAAGTTTGAAAATTAAGTTATGAAAATGATATCGTAAATCAAATTAGATTGTTGAATGTAAAGATTAAAAACTCACTTACTCTTCGTCTTGTGGTCTATCGATTAAAATAAATTATTTAAAAAAAGAATAATAAAAAGTAAAAAATAAATCTTTTAACTTTAATTATAAAATAAATGAACTTCTACTTTTATAATTTATAAATAAAATTATTATATCTAAAATAAAAGTTAATTTCATTAGTAAAACTTAAACTTTCAAAACTACATTTTTAATTTATTTTAAAATATATTGAATTAGACTACCAATTTCTTTTACTCACCTCGTAAGATTAGACCGCAGTGAACCCTACCGATCATTTTGACAATTTATGAGAATTATGATATTTGTTTTACGAGATGTGAAGATTTCTAGTTGATTATAAAATATCAAAATTAAACCCCAGTTTCAGTATTCCCAGTTCGTGATACCTTTGATATTCTTCTCTCCTCTTTCGTTTCCAAATATAGTCATGAAATTCAAGGTTTGAGTCATTTGACTTTTCTAAGATAAGTCCTCACAAGTTACAGAGGTAAAAAAGGAATCATCACAAAGCTAACAAATAAAAAACAGAGAAACTCTTAGAAAAAGTGTGTTAAGGAAAATGTTGTTAATGTTCCTCAAAATAAATAATCTAAGTGGTTCACACTACATACATCCCATTCCAAAGTGTTCTAATTTTTTAATGAATCATCGACGTTTCTTTCTTTATTGTCTAATAATGTGATCCATTCATTTTAGAAGTGTTAAACACAATCCATATAAGCATCTTTTGGTCTTAAACCCTTCTTAACCGGAAATCTTGCTAGATTCCAGCTAGGGAGATTCTTATCCATCCACAAACTAAAACTCCGAACTTTTTTACAAGAAAAATCAAGTTCACGTGAACCAACAAGAGTGATAAATCAATAGGATGGGACAATAAGCATCTTGGCCATACTTGTCGCTTGATAAACCAGCGGATGCAACTTTTAGTTGAAGTACTCAACAACGCATTAGTTTATGTTTGGATAGAACCAAAGAAGATAAACAAAGAGAAAGGAGATAACGAAGAAAAAAAATACCAGTATCATTCAATCCTATAAAAATGTAAGATTATTTAAAATCACGATGAATTTTATTATTTAATTATAAAAATAATAAATAATTAATTTAAAAATTGTTTATTATAATATATCAAATTTTTATCTAATTATAATTAATTTAAGTTTTGATGTGAAATTAAATAACTTTAAAAATATATTTATTTTAAAAATTTCAAAATAAATATTTATTTTTAATAATTATAATTAATAATAACATTTATAATATTTCAAATTTATTATATAATATTTTTAAAATATAGTATATTAAATTATAATATTTTTAGATAATTTTAAAAAAATGGTAAAATATTTTTCTTTTTGCATATAAATTTCAAATTTTTTGTCATTTACTTTCTTTTCATATTATCAAAAAAATCTATTTTAGCAACTACGTAACCAAAGTAGTAAATGCTTGTTGGGAAGGAAATTTCCAGGAAACTTCGTTGCTAAAAGTTATTATCTAGTTGAATTTAAAAAAGAAAAAATAAAAAGCTATTTGAGAATGAAGCCGTACAAAAAGCTCAACTTGCAATGCAACGCACGAAACACGACAAGCATAGTTTCGCATTCCGACCTCAACAATCAGAAACACTGTTTTTTGGGTATGACACCATTGAACGCGGTAACGACACGTTAGTCGCTGTGCATTGGGCAAGTCATCGATATCTACAATGACTTTTAGTATTTAAAATCAAGGCTCATACTCGATCTTTCTTTAATCATATCTCGTGGGTTTTCTTTTCACAACACCTTTTTAATCTCCACATCAAAATAAAGAGCGCGAGTTACTAAAAATCAACATTTAACAGTAAATCCCGATATCGCTGGGTTGAAAAGATTTGTTAGGTCATTAACATTTATAATATCATAAATAGAATTAGTTTTTATTAAGTCCATTAAACAAATTCGTGACGTAAAAAAAATTATATATTACTAGTGCGTAAAAAAAATTATATTGAATAATCAAATACACGTACATTATTTAAACGATCTTTAATATAACGTGTCATTTTAATGTAAAACAAAAATGTTGTTCTTTGAGTACTTGAAGTATAACAACAAACTAAAAATCTGGGGTAAAAAATTAATAAATTTATAGAAAAAGGTAAAAAAATCACAAAATCATAGAAAGAATAGTACAACCTTCTCAAAATAACAAATCGCATGACAAAACTAAATCCTGAAAAATTTACATTCGTGTTTCATAATTTATTATATACTTTCTTCCATATTTATAACAAATATTGTACTGAAAGTCTGCACAATATTCTTAAGTGTAACTTTCGCAAAAAATTACTGTATAACCGCCAGAAAGATAAGGATGAGATGTGTCACCCGCGAAAATTGACCACACAAAAATAACCTATTTATTATTATTGTTTGTGAATATTTTAGTTACAAATAATCCAATTAAATAATTAAAAGATTAAAAACAAAAAATATGAAACATTATTTTCTTCCGTTCTAATTTAGAAATTAATCCACTTCAAATTAAAATAAGATTTTTCATATTTATTAAACAGTATTTTACACAACCTTTCATTTTCATTTAATATATATAGTCATGATAAGACTTTTTATTATGCCTTAACTTAAACTCAAATTTTTCTTCCCATTTAAAAAATCCGTTCTGAAATGGATAATCAGTCTAGATTTATATTTAATATTTGAGTTTTGATGTTTTTCAAATAAAATTGATTTTAGTGAAGTTTTATAAACTAATTGAAAAATTGTATTTTAATTTTAATGAAATAAAAATTAAACTATATATTTTAACGAACTTATACATTAAGAAAACTAATAAAAAAGTCCACACAAGATCCGATTAGGTCAAAGCATATAGAAGACGTAAAGATTGCATTATGCTTCAAAAACTATTTATGGTCAAATAAAATCAAGATTTTATAAATTGGTCAGGATCCGCAATTATCGTAGAATCGTAAAAAAAAATACAGGACTTTCCGCAACCACATCTTTGTAAATGGACCAATTGTTGCCACGGTAACCGTATAAATTTTCATCTGAGCCTTTTTGGGAAAGTTTTCACAAAATCATTCACGATTTGGAATCCACTTTTTCGAATTACAATAATAAATAAAAAGTTAAAAATTGGTATTCATTTATTAAATACATTGCTTTTTTATTTTCCAAAACTTATAAAAATCCTTTCAGATATTTTAATGAAATATCCTTCGCCAACAAAATTCCTAAAATCATAATTTGAAGATTTCCGATTTCGAAAAAATCATGGTTTTTATTTTCATTCATAATTTTTTTTTTCTGTACTACATGATACTTCCTAGATTATCGCAGTTGTAGCAATAGGAAAATCCGCAACAACTCTGTCTCTGGTTTCAATTTGACACCACTGAACGTTCCAACAAGCACCGAAAGATTTGCCTGTGACTCAGTTCATTTCAAACTAATAACAATCTTTTCGAGTTAGCGCGTTAATCCGTTTCGTCTTTTCGAGTCTCTACTGTGATGTGTTACTATTCATGACCTAATTTGTTATTACCATAACAATCTTCTTTAGTTCCGTCCATTGAGGAGAAAGCACACGAGTTCAAAAGGGAGAAAAAAAGAGGTAATGAGAGAGAACCTGTAATTTGCGGCACTTCTCCTCTGCGTGTTTGCGTTTGACGAGATCGGCGACCCAGCGGAAGCGTCGGCGAGGGTTTTTGACTAGCCTCACGGCGGATCTCCATTTGGCGAGGGCTTCGATGGAGCGATCCTTGGGACTCAATTCGAAATCCCTTAGATCCATGAGACTCTCCATTGTGATGCTCAGGAATCACTCCGCAATTAGTTCTGAGTATATATTATTGAATTTGTTGTAATGGCTTCTGCTCTTATTCTCTTCAGTGGTGGAGCCACACAACTAAAAGATACCATCAAGCGCTTAGAATTCAACGTCAAATAAATAATAATAAATGAATATTAAAACGGAAAGCTTTCTCAAGAATCACATCAAAGTGGCACCCACGTCAACAATCCATTACCAATAATCGTGTTTATAATCACTAATACAACTTATAATTTTGTTCACAAACCCTTAACAATTACTATTTATGTCATTTGACCGTTATCTTATTCTTTAAGTCATTTTATTGACTAATTTTGGTCGGTCATATAAAAAAAGTTTCTTTTTCTAGAAGTTAGTTTTCTATATATTAAGTTATATTTATCTCTCAATAGACTTTTATTCTGACACTATTTTTTTTTTCATTTTTATTAGCAAGTCTTGTCATTTTAATTAAAATAATTAAATAAGTAAAATTATAAATAAAACGACATGAAATACACCTTAAAATACACAAATATATTTTTAATAATGATACTAGTAGATGTTATTTAAAAAAGGTTGTTTATGAATAAAAAATATCATTGTAATATATATGACTTGATTTATATAATTTTAATCAGAGTTGACATTCATATCTAAAAAAATGTTTTTGTTCTTTAATGATTACTTTAAAACTATGTTTGGAGATATCGTTCAGTTCTTTTTTCGTTGACAAATAATTTAATTTGTTAGTAACTATATCAAGCAATGTCACCTTCTTTGTTTAGTGAGATGTTGACACATTTTTCTCGTTAGTATGCATTGTACGATAATTGTGGCCAAATTTGCTTTTATAAATTTTTTAAAAATTCCGATTTCGCGTAAATATAATGATACGATTTGATACTAAGAGTTCGAGGATGACTCTAAATTTTTTTAAAATAAATATAGTATATAATTACTTTTTATTTAAATTGTATTTAAATACACTATTTTAGTAAAACATATTTTTTTTTATTATTATTATTATTATTATTATTATTATTAAAGTTGTTTGATTTTAGTTAAATAAAAATTTTGTTGATATTAAAGTTGTCAATTAACTTACAATTTTAGTAATTTTTTTATTTAATTGATTGACGATTTTAATTTATATTTTCTTAATATAATTATAAATCCAATTTTATGTTGACACATACGTTGAACAAATATATAAATTACAAACTATTTATAAGATTTATAGGGATAATTTCATTCTGTTCAGAATAAAAATTATTAATTTTCTTATATGTTCCAAAAAAATTTCCTAATAGAAGTTTATATCGACAATATTTAAGAAAATTAATTTTAAATAAGTTAAAAATTGTTAATTTTATTATTATCATAATAATTATCTATTTCGACAATAAAAAATATAAAATTTTATTTTATTATATAATATATGCATATTTTTCTTTATTAATTCATATTTTTTTAAACAATTTAATATATTTAAAAACTATTTAATATTATAGACATCTAAATAATAATTAATTATTTATTTTATTAATATTTTTTAAAATTAAATAAATCTTTAAAAATAAAAATTTAATTTAAAAATATAAAAACTAAAATAATAAATTAATTGACAAATTTAGTATAAAAAAGTTGAATTAAAATCATCAATCAATCAGTGAACAATTTCAGTATAAAAGAAATTAAACTAAAGTTGTCAATCAATTGGTGATTTGAAATTTAAAAAAATTGTACAAAAGTAATTTTTTTTTTTTTTAAATTATCACATAAAAAAAGTTACACATAAGTACATTCGTGTACCATTTCAACCAAAATCGTCTTTTCACTCACAGTGAAATCATATATCAAAGTACGACTTACCAATATTGGGATTCTTTTTTTAATTTACCCATTTTTTTAATTTACCTATTTTGGGAATAAATAAAGCAAATTGACTTACACCAAATTAAGCACGACAATAAGGACACGACCAATGAGTTTGTATCCCCAACTTTTTTTTAACAGTTATGATCTTCTCACGACAGTTATGATCTTCTCGTGATAGTTAGAATTAGAAATTAAGTTTATTTTTTATTTTTATTAAGCTTTTCATCCTCAATTTATATTATTTATAACAAAAATTATATTTATAATAAAATAATTTTAATATTTTTATTTATTTTTTATATAAATAAATATTTATAATTTGTAATTGTTCTAATATGTTCATAAGTCTCACATTGTTTAGAAGTTGAGGTCAAGGATAATTTATATATATTTTTCTCTCTTAATTTATTAAAACGCCTTATAAGAATAAAACCGTGACGGACGAGAGTTCCAAAGCAGGTAATACTTCGGATATGGAAATTGGGATTGTGAGCTTATGGTTCAATATATACTCTCATGAGTCTCACATCGCTTATATATCCTACTCTCTTAACTAAAGATAACAAAACGGGTAAGGCTTGTGCGGGCTGACCTGCCAACCCGCTATAAATATGGCGGGGTGGGGGCGGGTTGGTGTTTTTGTCCCACTCGCCCCACCCCATTAAGTTCGTTAGCCTCGCCTTACCTAATTAAAAAAAAAATATTTTTTAGTGATATAAAATAGTCATAAAATAATATATAAGTTGAAATTTTGTAAAAAAATAATTAAGAAAATTTCACTTTCACTCGTAATAGGAAACATTCTTGTTATTCAACACACAAATTCTTATCTCTTTGTCCTTATTGCTCATCATCAAATGATTGTTTATCCCGAGCATTAATTGTTTTTATTCTAATGACTTCAATTGAATGTAAGAGAATTATGTAAGAAGAAAACAACGTGAAATTTTATCAGATAAAAAAGATATAATATAACTTTTAGGTATTTGAATTTTTCAATATAAAAAAATAAATTTTATAAGTTTTAACATTATTTATATATATTTGTTATCATATATTATTATATAAATTTTATTATTATTCTAAATTATAATTTTTTAAAATAATGTATTAATTTATATTATTAGCTTGAAATATATATATTGAATTATTGACAAATAAATAATAATTTTATTATTAAATTTATTCAAAAATTTGATTAAAAAAATTATTATTTTTTTTAAATTATGGCGAGTCAACCCACCAACCTATCGACTCGCCCTTTAACGGGATATGTCAAGGTCTACAACACATCATGACTATAGCGGGTTAGTCCGTCCCGCCCCATTTTTGCTTGAACAAAGACGGGCGGACCAAAACGAAGCAGACTGGTCTATTTTTCCATCCCTACTCTTAACCCACCGAGGTGCTTTTTAAGAACAAAAGTTCCAAAATGGGCAATACCTCCGAGATGAGATCAGGACATACTTGTATTTAAACATTTGATTTTATATATATATATATATATATATATATATATATATATATATAAGTTAATTATTTTTTAAGTTGTCATTTTAAAATATAAAATATATAGTTTATAAGAAAATATTAATAAGTTAATTCTTATTTAATTAGTTCAAAGTAATGCAAGCTTTAATTATTAATTCTTTTTAACCTTCAAAATATAATTATTTTATGAAGATAAAATTTTATATATGATAAATAAAAATAATAAGATCTAAAAAATATAATAATATAAAATCTAATAAAGATAAATTAAAAATAAAAGAATATTAATTATTACTAATATTCATATAGAATATTTAGAAAAAAATAAAAAATAAAGAAAAATTAATTTTGTGTTCATAGTTAAAAAGATTGAAAAAAATAAATTGATTAAAGAAATTAAGGGATGTGAATAAGTGAATGGTAAGAGAAATAAAATCATACAATGAATTAATTAATATAAAAAATTAAAAGAGATAAAACAATAAAAAATGGGTAAAAGAAAAATAAAAATAATAAATATAAAAAACAATTTATATAATAGAAAAAGAAAATATTTTTTTTTAAATATTAATATTTTAAAATTTAAATTTAAATATAAAATTAGAATATGGTATATCTATACTCACTACGAATTTATGATTTATTTTTATAATATGTAAGTGAGGATATGAGTTTATGATTTGTTTTTATTATAAGGGATAGTAGTTTGTTTTTATGTTAAGTGTGTTAATTGGTGAGTGAAATCTTATATTTGTTTTAAATAATTGTGAGATTTATGTAATTATATCTTTATTTTTTTTAATTATTATAGATTTAAAATTAAATTAAAGATAACTAGAACAAAAGTTTATTATTTATAATGATCTGAAACTAACAAATAATAATGTGTCGAGTAAATTTCATTAAAGAAAATAAACAAATACAAAGAAAATTCCAACCATTCATGTCATCTTCACCATTCTCAAAATCTGATACAGTTACAGGTGCATTTCTTGGTGCCCAGTCCTTCACAAGCAAACCAACCTTCAGCACTTCCGTGATCAAAACTGCGTTTTTAGGCTGGTCAGAGTGCATAGGCCATGCTGCTATTCGCACCCCCATGGTTATGTTCTCTATCCCCTGTTGAAGTGTGGCTCAGAATTTCCAATTGGGGTGCCCGATCCCTTTAACTCTCTCGTCAAACCTATTTGGAAGCTCATGCTCTTTTGCTTCACTCTCATCCAAGATTTCCCCTTTATCAGCATCTCTCAGCACCCAGATGAACTTCTGCTTGCTTTGTTCCAACCCGGTCGCAATCTGTAGGTTTATTCCTCTGTGAAAGTTATTGTTGTCCCAAAAGACACATATATGACTGAACTTGGCTCCTGTTTATCAAGCCACTCCATGCATGAGTGCCTGAATCCTTTTGAATCTTTCTTCTCAATGGATAAAAGGTTGAATGGCCCCATTGCCCAAACCTTAGTGCCTCCACTGACACGCTCCTGCAACTCAATGTAAGGACCTTCAATTTCCCTCTTCGTTGTTGTAAATACTGCCATCGTTGAAGTTCAGGAATTCATATTGTGCAGTAACAAAATCCTGGAATTGGGTTGTCATGTTGTATTTATATAATTTATTATATATATTTATATATATATATATATATATATATATATATATATAAATTATTATTCTCTATTTGTTATGGATTAACATTAATCAATAAATTAATTATGTGTAATTATCAATTATATTACACATCATCATTTTTTTATAAATAATAAATTTAATTTGGGTTTCGATGAACGATCTGTGATAGGTTGGATTGTTCAGAATCAGTTATTTATTGAGAGATCCCTAGTCTCGCTAATAGGTGGAAAAAGCTGATACCCCATTAGTCGGTTTTACGTGTGACAATAAAACACACTTTACACATTACGTTCAAGTAAACCTATCGAAATAGAGCAATATTCTCTCATACGCGCTCTATGGATCCTTCAACAATTTCAGGTACACAATGTTTTAAATATATTATATTTTTGTATCTTATATTATATTATTATGTATTTCAAACAATTGGTATCGGAGCCAAAAAAGATACGAGAATATAATTGTTCATTATTTTTTGAAGAGTGTATCATAAATTTTAATAATTATTCATTATCAGAAGGCATGAAATTTTAATTTTCTCGTTTGAGTTCAAATTAATTGAGTAAGGAGTGAATTTCAAAATTCTTTTCTAGGCGGAGAATTCTAATTAAATAAAATCCTCAATTATAAAAATTAGAGTTTTTTTTTTCCGTTTGAACCCTAAATCGCAATCGAGGTTGAAACCTAAATCTACAATCGAGGTTTTTTCTATTTGAACCCTAAATATGCAATCGAGTTTTTTCTTTTGAACCCTAAATCTACAATCCTTTTAACATGTTTTGAATCAAACATTTATGTTATCAATCTCTGTAACAATGATGGGCAAAACAATTTAGATGTTTTTTTCGAACCTCTTCTTCTCGCGCGTCTTCATCCTCTATGGTGGCTGTGCCTCTGTTTTCCGGTTTCACTGCATGGTGGCGGCGACGGTGGTTTACGCACCGCACGTCTTCATCCTCTGTGGTGGCTGCGCCTCTGGTTTCCGGTTTCACTGCATGGTGGCGGCGATGGTGGTTTACGCACCGCGCGTCTTCATCCTCTGTGGTGGTTGCACCTCTGTTTTCCGGTTTTCACTGCCATGGTGGCGGCGACGGTGGTTTACGCAACGGCGTGGTGGTCTGCGACGGTGGGTATCTGCGTCGTCGTCTTCCTCAGCGCACCTCCTGCGCGCGCGTCCCTGCCGACGAGAACAGTGGCCCGCGAACTCGCTTCACCTCCGCTGAAGCATGCGTCTCCCTTTTATGATGGCTGATGTGGCGTTTTTATGTTGTCTGTAAGTTGCGGTGGTGATGCGAGGAGAAGAAGAGTACTCGCTGCGTGGTTCAAACAATTATGTATGGTTTTGTGAAGTTCAATTGCTAAATTTCTCATTAAATTAAATTAAAATTTTATATTTTGTAATATATTATATAGATGGTTGATTAATTATATATATATATATATATATATTAAATTATATATATAAAATCTTATCATTATTATAAATTCATGTATCATATAACTTCATTATAAGCATGATATAATTTTATATGATTGTGAACTCATCTATCATGGTACAGTTATATGAAATTTTGTGAAAATAAAATAATTTATTTATTTTGTGAAAATAAAATAATTTATTTATTTTGTAAAATAAAATAATTTATTTATTTTATTTAATTTTATTATGTCAATTTTTTGTCCGGTACCCTATTGGTATTAGATTTCTAGTACATGAGATGTGCATTGTATTTTTTATTTGGTACAATGTAATTTTGAATTTTATTATGTCAATTATTTGTCTTGTACCCTATCGGTATTAGATTTCTTGTGACATGAGATGTGCATTATATTCTTATTTTTATTTTAATTATATTTCTTATTTATTATGACTCAGGACCCTTAGGCAGGGTCATAGTGAATGAGAAATTTGATATCATAGACATGTTTTGTTGTGTATTTAGAGACATTTATTTTGTTTATTTGCACAATAATTGTGCGTATTAAATGTTTCTTTGTTATTTTGATACCAGCTTCTTTGCCTATGCAATTGACTTCGGTCAAAACTTTAAATGTGACAAATTTTGAGGATTGGAAAGAATCTCTGGATTTGTATTTAGCAATTACCAATATGGACCTTTGTTTGAGAGAGAAGGAGCCTCGAGCTCTTACTCCTGAGTCCACTACTGTCCAAAGAGCTTATCGTGAGAAATGGGAACACTCAAATAGGGTGTGTTTGATGGTGATGAAATACACCATGGAGAAGTCTATTCGACAAAGCATTCCGGATGATGATAATGCTAAGGTTTTTCTGAGATCAGTGGGTGAGAAGTTTAAGACTTTTGACAAAGCTCAAAAGGGTCAATATCTGTCACTTCTTGAGAAGACCAAATATGATGGTGTCAGTGGTGTTCGTGAGCATATGATGAAACTTGTGCACTATTACAACAAACTCAAATCTTTAAAGGTGGAGCTTGGTGACAGTTTTTTGATTTGGCAGGTTATGGAATCACTACCTTCTCAGTTTGATGTGTTGAAGACTTCTTACAACGCTCAGAAGGAGGAATGGACAATTGATGAGATGATAGCTATTATTTCCCAAGAGGAAGAATCTATTAAAAAATCCAAGCCGCATAGTGTGCAATTCACAGTTATTACTTCAGGTACTAAACCTGTTAAAAAGGGTTTCAAAGGCAAATCTCGCCATGAAAAGAGGAACACATGGAAAACATCAGTAGGTTTGGAGCCTAAGAAGAAGTACTTTAAGGGGAATTGTGCCTATTGTAAGAAATTTGGGCATAAGCTAACTGACTGTTATATTCTTAAGAAGAAGAATGCTGATAAGGTAAGCACATGTATGTTCTAGCTTGTTTTGAATCCAATGTTGTTGATGTTCCTCCCAATTCTTGGTGGTTTGAATCGGGTGCTACTATTCATGTTGTGAATTCTTTACAGGGGTTCACAAGCCTGAGAAAACCAAGTGACCTTGAATCCAAGATTATCATGGGAGATGGAGCTAGAGCACAAGTTGAAGATATAGGAGTAGTGTCTTTAAATTTACCTTCTGGACATGTTTTATTTTTGAAAGACGTTGTTTATGTACCTTCTATGCGAAAGAAATTTAATTTCAGTTTCAGCTTTGGATAAATGTGGCTACACTTTTGAATTTGGCAATGGAAAACTTGCTATTTATTTCAATTCAATTATTATTGGTTTAGGAGTTTTATGTGATGGGCTTTACATGTTAAATATGAATGACATGTCTATTAATTCTATTGTTGGACATAAGCGTAGTAGAGTTGATGAAAATTCCTCTATGTTGTGGCATAGACGTCTGGGGCATATTTCTAGACCTCGGATTGAGAGGTTGATTAAAGAGGGTATTCTGCATGATCTGAATTTTTCTCGATTTTGATACTTGTGTTGATTGCATTAAGGGCAAGCTTACTCGCAAAAGTAAGAAATGCAGGTGCAAACAGGTGTGATGATGTGTTGCAACTTATTCATACTCGATATGTGTGGACCTATGACACCCATTTCCATGGGTGGATACAGGTATTTTATCACGTTTATAGATGATTATTCCAGCATTTGGATGGATAGATCTCCTACAAGAAAAGTCAAGTTCCTTGGATGCTTTTAAGTCTTTCAAAGCTGCTATTGAGTTGAAAACTGGAAAGAAGATAAAATGTGTAAGGTCTGACAGAGGTGGAGAGTATTATGACAGATATGATGAGACTGGAAGAAATCCAGGACCTTTCGCTAGATTTCTTAATGAATGTGGTATTGAAGCTCAGTATACTATGTCCGGTACTCCTCAGCAAAATGGTGTTGCAGAAAGGAGGAATCGCACTCTTCTAGATATGGTGAGGTGTATGTTGAGTCATTCCTCTTTACCGAATTTCCTTTGGGGAGACGCTTTAAGGACTGTTGTGTATATTCTTAATCAAGTACCTAGCAAGTCTGTTTCAAAGACTCCTTATGAGCTTATGACTGGGAAGAAGCCAAGTTTAAGACACTTTCATGTGTGGGGTTGTAAGGCAGAGGTGAGACCTTATAATCCTCAGTTGAAAAAACTTGATCTTAAGACTGTCAGTGGATTCTTCATTGGCTATTGTATCGGTTCTCGTGGTAGCAGATTTTACTGCCCTTCTCACTCCATCCGAGTTATTAAGTCTGACCGTGCGATATTCTTTGAGGATGATTTGGACAGTGGGAGCAGTGCGCCACAACCAGTCACTCTTAGAGAAGATCGTGTTGTTGTTCCCGTACCATCCAATTTTTTTCATGCAGATAATGTGATTCCAGTTGTCCGTGATGAAAATGATTCGGTTCCAGATTTTGTTGATGCTACATCACATGTAGTAGATGAACAAGTTCATGATGATGTGACTGAAGAGGTTCCTTTGAGGAGATCTCAAAGATTACGCAAGTCTTCTATACCTGATGATTATCAGGTGTATCTTCAAGAGCATGAATATGATCTTAATGATGTTGATGATCCTACTACTTTTAAAGAGGCTATCTCTAGTTCTCATGGTTCTGATTGGTTAAATGTTATGCATGATGAGTTAGCTTCTATGGCCCATAATGGAGTTTGGGATCTTGTGGATTTGCCACTCGGTTGCAAACCAGTTGGGTGTAAATGGGTCTTCAAGACTAAGCGTAATCTAGATGGAAAAGTTGAGAGATATAAAGCCAGACTTGTAGCAAAAGGCTATAGTCAGAGGGATGGTATTGATTATAAAGAGACTTTCTCACCCGTCTCTACTAAGGATGCTTTTCGTGTGGTTATGGCTTTAGTAGCTCATTTTGATTTGGAGCTTCATCAAATGGATGTCAAAACAACTTTTCTTAATGGAGATTTATTTGAGGAAGTGTATATGATTCAACCTGATGGTTTTGCTAATAAAAACAATGAGCATTTGGT